CGGCGCGCCCATCAAATTCATATGACGACGTTCATTGGTCAGCTAACTTGACATGAAGCTACATGATTGGTGCAAATACCGGAATGTCGGTCGTTCATTCACACCCAACCTCCTCGAGCTCTCCACGGCGTCCAAAGCTGCTCCGCAAGGCCACTTGGCACTGCGGGGCATTCTGCTGTACGAGTCTCTATCAGTGTACGTTTCGATTCGGTTGCTTAAGAGCACTGTCTTCTTGCTTGCATGTAATTACCGTCGAGTTAGCTTCTTGGTTAAAGAAATCGTGTTCGGAGAAGGTTGCTGAGCGATGCCTTAGCTTCTTCGGTGTACCCGGTATGAGGCAACGTTCGCATGAACCTGTCGAGGTGTTTTATCTACCAGAAAAGTGCCGTCTGCCTCGTCGCTGAAGTTTTGCCAGCTCACAACTCACTCACCGAGTCCCTTAAACACTCAGTTCCTTGTGATCGAAGCTTGATCCTATTTCGTAGCATACTTACTAGTACGTGTTACGATAGTCCTTCAGCCCTCTTCGCCAACGTATACCGCGACCATCAGAAGGACTCGAATAATAAAGTGAGCGCGACTAACTTACTACTGGATCGTCCCTTCCCAGTAACTACTACCGTAAATTCTTTGCTTGTCATCGCCGAATCCCGCCCCTTGTCGTCCGCAAAGTGCAAACTTGGCTGCAGCTCTCGGATCGCGGGTTGGTTATCCGGAAGCTATCCGGAGACGTCCGTGACGCACGGACGCACAGATATTTGTGAGGTCGGAAGCCGCAGCAAAAGATATTGCGATGGACAGCGCGTGGACAGGTCGGCCGATGGCGGTGATGGCGGAGGTTGACACATGGCCCATTAGAGCTCAAGAAGAACGTCGCTCTCATCGAGAAGGTCGTCGCGAGCAACAACAAGGAGAAGCTCGCGCGTGTCTTCCGCACGACGTCGGCCATCCGCCGCGGCTTGACGCCGGCCGAGCTCACGCGCGCCGTGACCGAGATCCTCGCTGAGGACAACGAGATCCGGACGTCTCTCCTCCAGTTCATCGGCCTCGTCAAGCCCGATGCGGCGGACGACGTCGACATGAATGCGGGCGAAGACGACCCGGCGGTCGACGACGTCGAGAAGGACGCCAGCGTGCACATGGAGCGAAGCGAGCTCATTGAAGTCGAGACATACCTCAGCCTTCTCGTCATTGCGCTCTTGCTCAAGTCACAGCTCGGCGCCGAGGCGCAGGCGTGCGCCGACTTGGTGCGCCAGCGCTGCATGCAGTTCAACCGCCGCACGCTCGACTTGTTTGCGGCGCGCGTCATGACGTACTTTGCGTACGCGTTCGAGCGCTACGGCGAGGGCTACACGGCGATCCGCCCGCTGCTCCTCACGGCGCACCGCACGGCGTGCCTCCGCTGCGACGAGATTGGCCAAGCGACGGTGCTCAACCTGCTTTTGCGCAATTATCTGCACGAGAACCTGTACGAGCAAGCGTACAAGCTCGTGTCCAAGACGACGTTCCCGGAGGCGGTCTCGAACAACCAGTTTGTGCGCTACCTCTACTACGTCGGCAAGATCCACGCCGTCCAGCTCGAGTACACGGACTCGTACAACAAGCTCATGCAGTCGATCCGGAAGGCGCCGCAGAACACGGCGATTGGCTTCCGCCGCACGGTCTACAAGCTCGCGATCATCGTGCAGCTGCTCATGGGCGAAGTCCCGGAGCGCAGCATCTTCAACCAGACCGAGCTCAAGACGGCGCTGCTCCCATACCTGCAGCTCACCAACGTACGCATAATTCATCGTCTCTGCTCATGCGGGTTGTGCAAGGCTGTGCGCGTGGGCAACCTCGAAGACTTTACGGCCGTCCTCAACCAGTTTGCCGACGTTTTCAAGGCCGACAAGACGCACACGCTCATCCTTCGGTACACGACCAGCGCCAAGCATGATCTTACTTGTGCGTCGACTAGGCTGCGCCACAACGTCATCAAGACGGGTCTCCGCAAGATCAACACGTCGTACTCCAAGATCCTCTTCTCGGTTCGTCCATTGAACCTTGTACGTGGTGATCTGATGGTCGCCAGTAGGATATCTGCACCAAGCTCGCGCTCGACACGCCGCAGAACGCCGAGTTTGTCTGCGCCAAGGCCATCCGTGACGGCGTCATTGACGCGGTCATCGACCACAAGCACGGCTGGATGCAGTCCAAGGTACTCTTCGCCCTCGCATCGACGGCAATGGACCACGCGCCTAGGAAACCGTCGATGTGTATGCGACGACGGAGCCGCAGCAGGCCTTCCACAAGCGCATCACGTTCTGCTTGGACGTGCACAACGAAGCCGTCAAGGTCCGTCGATCCCTCGACGCCATCCTAGATCTTATCGGTCTGCTTAGGCCATGCGCTACCCGCCGGGCGCGTACAAGAAGGACCTCGAGTCGGCCGAAGAGCGCCTCGAGCGCGAGAAGCAGGAGGACGAGCTCGCCAAGGAGATTGAAGAGGAGCTCGACGAAGGTCTCTAAGCGCTCGTGGGGCCATAAGCTGCGAATCACATGATCATTCTGCTGTGTCTCGACCGCATGTACCCGCGCATGGCGTGGCCAGTCGTCCGAGCAGATGCAACGCAAGCGAAGGCAAGAGATGAGCTCGTGTATGACAAAGGGACTAGGAGTGCTACGACGCTTCTTAAAGCGGGATGTTGCCGTGCTTCTTCCACGGGTTCTCGAGCTTCTTGTTCTGGAGCACGTCGAGGTCCTCGCAGATGCGGAGGCGCGTCGCGGTTGGCTCAATAATGTCGTCGACAAAGCCGCGCTGGGCCGCGACCATCGGGTTGGCAAACTTCTCTTCGTAGTCGGCCGTGTTTTCCTCGACGTTTTGGCCGCGGAAGATGATCTCGACCGCGCCCTTGGCGCCCATGACGGCGATCTCGGCCGACGGCCATGCATAGTTGATGTCGCCGCGGAGGTGCTTGGAGGCCATGACGTCATAAGCGCCGCCGTACGCCTTGCGCGTGATCACCGTGATCTTGGGCACCGTGGCTTCCGCATACGCGTACAAGAGCTTGGCGCCATGGCGAATGATGCCGGCGTACTCTTGGTCCGTGCCCGGGAGGAAGCCGGGGACGTCGACGAGCGTCACGAGCGGGATGTTGAACGCGTCGCAGAAGCGCACAAAGCGCGCGGCCTTGATCGACGAGTTGATGTCGAGGCAGCCCGCGAGCTCCATCGGCTGGTTAGCCACGATACCGACGACCCGGCCTTCGAAGCGCGCCATGCCAATCAGAATGTTCTTGGCGTAGTCGTTCATGATCTCGTAGAAGTCGCCATTGTCGACGAGCTGGTGGATGACGTCGCGCATGTTGTACGGGACGTTCGGGTCCGGCGGCACGATCGACTCGAGGGTCGGGACCGGGCGGTGGCGGTCGTCGTCCTTGGCGCGCGTCGGCGGCGACTCTAGACAAACAGATCTTATCGATGCAAGGGATGGAGAGGAGTACCCTTGTTGTTGAGCGGAAGAAAGTCAAAGAAGCGGCGCATCTCGCGGAGCGCTTCGACGTCGTTGTCAAAAGCCTTGTGCGCGACGCCCGACGTCTTGGTGTGCGTGACAGCGCCGCCGAGCTGCTCCTGCGTCACCTCTTCGTTCGTGACCGTCTTGACGACATCCGGACCCGTCACAAACATGTACGACGTGTCCTTGCACATAAAGACAAAGTCGGTCATCGCCGGCGAGTAGACGGCGCCACCGGCGCACGGGCCCATGATCATCGTAAGCTGCGGCACAACGCCGGAGGCGAGGACGTTTTGCTGGAAAATGTCGGCGTACCCCGCGAGCGACGCGACGCCTTCTTGGATGCGCGCGCCACCCGAGTCGTTGAGCCCGATCACCGGCGCGCCCATCTTCATGGCCTTGTCCATGACCTTGATGATCTTCTCGGCGTACGTCTCGGACAAACTGCCACCCAGCACCGTAAAGTCTTGGCTAAAGACGAACGTCAAGCGGCCGTTGATCTTGCCGTGACCCGTGATGACACCGTCGCCCGGGTAGTGCTGCGTCTCCATGCCAAAGTCCTTGCAGCGGTGCGACTTGAGCATGTCGTACTCACGGAACGAGCCTTCGTCGAGGAGGAGCTCAATGCGCTCGCGGGCCGTGAGCTTGCCCTTCTTGTGCTGCGCTTCCTGGCGATGCGCGCCGCCACCAAGCAGCGCTTGCGCGCGTGCTTCCTCGAGCTTGGCCTTGAAGGCCAACTTGCGCGCCGCCGGGGTCACCTCGGTCGCCGTCGAGAAAGCCGCCGCAAAGGCAGGCATCTACACATACACCATGTCAGCCTTCCACTCTACAGTGCATGCTCGTCTTACGGGCGCGCGGACAAAGGACGGGCGGGTCACCGCACGCAGCAGTACGGATCGCATCTTGGTGCTTGTGATGGCCACAAAAAATAAGCAAATGACGCAATACGCTTTCAGAGGGTGCTACCACCTGTGAAAACGCATACATCTGGCCCGGGACCCCGGGGCACCGACCAGAACGACGATCATTTGGGATCGTTCGCCAACGTTCGTGGCGCCAGTAGCTGGACACCGCCACCCGCGCGCCCGCCGTCGCGATGGACACACCGTGTGGTCATCGATGGTCGCCACCAGAGAAGAGCTTTGAGAGTAGCTACAACACTGGTCGCTCCGCCTGCTCGTGTCCGCTGCTCGCGTAGCGTGCTTCCAGCACAAAAATCCCTGCCTGAGGCTATGCGTTGTTGAATACTTTGGCATTGAGGCTCCATCCGTCCTGTCAGAGGTGCGACCTGCGTGGTAGTACTCGACCAACTCGTCTCTGGTCGAGCGATGTGGGAGGAGCTTCAGCCGCTGCTTCGTGCTGGGGCACGGCCGGGGCACGCGTATAAAGTGTGACAAGGTCGCCTATCGTTTGCATACAAACTGTTTTGCCAAAGCGCGGGTGCCGGCAGCGGTGATTGGCTAAAAAGCGAACGGACACATCCTGATGCGTCACGAGATTCAACTTCTTAGCCAATCATCGGGGAGCGGATCCAGAATTGGGCCAATCGCACGGCGACGACCTTGAAGTTGGGGCGCACTTCGTGTGCAATCCGAGGGAAATCCCCGCGCCACTCGGCATCGCGCATCCGCCGCAGCGACCGCGTCATGTCCAGGCAGCTGCCTTCGCATGTCCTAGCACTTGGTCGCTGTAGTCTTTGCATATTGCCCGTAGAGAAGACGATCGCAATGTGTATCGATCGCCGTGCATGCATGTAGCCACGACAGGTTGGCTCGCATGTGCCTGCCAGCACCCTTGTGGATCCAAGGTGGGTATCTCTGCAACGTTGCTGCATGAACATGCGTCCATCACGAGGGCGGCGACATAGGCACGAAGCAAGACTAGAGAGTGCCGAGGATCGACCTTGTTGGTTGCTCTTCTTGGACGGTAGCTATTCCTGCAACGCGCTAGTAGCATCGCGAATCGAGAGATGCTGCGCTTCGAGTGTCTACGATTGCGCCCAAGGAGCCGTGCATGTCGTGGAAGAGCGAGGTTTGGTCTTGTCGCTCCCGTTCACATCACTGGGCTTCAAGTCGCATGCTCGTAGTTGAAGTCGCCGACGTGATCGCACCCGAGCTCGAACAACGCGCTCTTCTTACGGCTTGCTTCTACATGTTGAAAGGATGTTGTTGATCCAAGGATCATACCGGCGTCGTGTTGGACTCCACAGAGGCCCAAGAGACGTGACCATCATGTGACTCATCCGCTCAAGCAGCGTGGGGAAGACCGTGGTCTCGGTGGTTGATGACTTCATATCTTCTGAAGTGTCCGGCGACGGGCCGTGTCCTTTGTGTCTGCAAAAGCGATTTCCGCCACCGTCTGCGCCGAGCTGCACGAGAATTCAGTTGCTTGCGGCATCGTGATGGCCTTGCATAGACTGGTACAGCTCGTGTGTTGCTCCTTGGTTGGCCGAGCTCGCATATTCGATGATATCCCAGAGAACTCCCATCATTCCCAGTTCATGTACTACGACTAAAGTGGACGCACTCGACTTTGCTTCAGAAGGCCGAGCGCACTTTGACTCGGTATCTCGTTGTCGATACCAAATGACGACGATTCCTCGAAGTCCATCGGCCAAGCGATTCAGACAAAGTCGAAAAACGATCGGGCGTCGGGTGCAAATCCTGCGCCTGGATGTCCACTGGAAGGCCCCGCGTGTACGGGTTGCTTCCATGTCAAGCTTCCTTCGTCCGACGCGGTCATGAACTCACGCAGCAGAAAACCCCAAAGCACTTCCTCAGTCCTGATGCCAGGCACTGCCCGCTCTGCGCTGTGCATACGCGCGAAGCGTACGACCATCTTCCAGCGCTGTCCATTCAACCGCGCGGTCTGGCGCTTTCGAACCGATGCGTGATATCTTGCAGATGCAGCTTCCGTCGTCGGTCGGTGGCTTTCTCTACGATGCAGTCGCTATGCCGTTCTCAGCCCACACGCCGACCATTCGTGCCATCCGGCCGATCTTGCGCGCTTGCATTTGGTACTGTCTTTGGCAACCGAGTGTTCCGCACGACGTTGACGCCTGTGCAGCTGGCGACAAAAGCGAACAATAATCTCACTCTAGCACTCTAGTACGTCTGCATCTCAAAGTATCGCAACTGGAAATGACTCGTTTACACCAGCCTACAAAACGTGGCAGGTCGCTTGGACCTCGCTGGGTTTGGGGCTAACCTTGATCCCGCGAGTCAGCGGACGTCTCTTGAACGCTGCGAACTTCCTCATCTGGACTGCACTTTTATCCCACATGGGCTAGCCTGATGGTCAGTGATAGTCTTGCTGAGGCTTCAACCCAGTGCTTGGTTGACGTTATGAGGTCGGTGGGCTCCATTCTTCGTGTCTTTAGCCTTCGACAGACTACTCGGACTACGCCATCTACTGTTTGCTCGACGCGCGGCAACATACTGAATGTTGGATTATCGGTTGCAATATGACAGTGGCTCCTTACGCGACGTCTGACGTGCCCTTCTTGACGGTCGAGTGCTTGCGCGTGACGCTCGGAAGCTCAGCGTCCTCCATGCTCTTCTCGCGCACGAGGCGAGCGTACTCGATGGCTTGCTTCTTGGCGATGCGCCGGCCGAGCGTGAGCATGTAGATCGAAAGGCCGATCTCGAGCGTGAGCGCCATGACAGCGACGACCATGTAGCCCTCGAGGAGGACGCAGCTCGTGCCCGAGAGGTTGTCGTCGAGGCCATGGCTCTCGCAGTACGTGCGGAACTCGGTCTTGGCGAAGTACGGCTTCATAAAGGTCGAGATGGTCGCGATCGAGAACGCAATGAGGCCAAGGTGCAGGAGGTAGAAGAGTTTGGCGCCATGGCGCTGGAGGTGGTTGACGCAGCTGCAGCAGTTGCGCAGCGTGTAGAGGAAGGCGAACCCGATCGAGACGAACGCGCTCGTGAGGTAGAGCGCCAGCATCGCGATGCCCGTCTCGCGTGAGACTGCGATGGACGGCAGCACCGTCAGCGCCTGCAGCGCGAGGACCATCAGCATCACGCACTCGTCGAGGATGATGCACATGCTTGCGGCTCCTGTCGTCGGCTTGTGGTGTTCTGAACAGGCGGCGAAAAAAACACCTTCTGCGTAAAAAACAATGTTCGAAATCTCAACGCATTTCTTCATCCAAAAAGATTTCGTGTCATCTCGGGCGGCGAGATGCGAGCACCGTCTTCCAGAAGGCCCTTGCAGCATGGCCAGGCAGGCGCCGGAGGACGCGAGGCCATCTACACCCAACGTTACTGGTACCTCCGTCGTCCGTCACATGAAGGTAGGCAGTCTACTGAAGCAGGTAGTAGCTCGGTGGTGAACGGTCCATGCGCAGCTGTCCAGCATTGATGGTCTGTGGGCTAAGATCTGATGGGCATGACCGAGATCATGGCTTGGGCTTGTATTGGCCGCAGCAGCCTCAAGCGGGCAAGTGTCGTCAGTGCGCCATGCAGCAACCTCGGCTCGAAAAGTCCAAGTGCCAGTCGATCCGCAAGCAATTTTGAGAGGACAACGTCAGCTGCCCTTGTCCGAGGACGCATCGCAGCGGACAAGAAGAGGAGGATGTGGCTGGCATTGCTTGTGGCCACACAAAGGCTGTGGTTGCGCAACTTGGCTGCCATCTGGACGGTCCAGCCAGATGGATAGCACGGAGCTGGCCAAGTGGGGTCGATGGACGGATCAAGATCGACGACGAAGTAGATGAGGCAAAGTTCTTAGTTAATAGGTTACAAGCTTAAACACGCATATCGGAAAACATGTCGATGAAGGATGGACAGGACGTCATGCGCGTGATCGCGCTGCCGAGGCGCTCAAAGTCCGAGCGCTCCGAGTAGATTTGGGCCGAGATGCGAATGTACATCTGGCCTTGGATCGGGAGCACTTTGGTCACGATCTGGCACTGGTCCATGAGGATGTCAATGACAAACTCGCACACTTGCAGCTTCTCGTCGGCCGAGAGCGGCTCCTTCGCGTGCTTCTTGGCCGGCCACTCGATCGGGAGGCGGATCGCACTCACAAACGGGCTGCGCTGCCACGGCGGCAGGAGCGGCTCCGTGCCCCAGAGCGTCGCGAGGTAGCTCGAGGCCCAGTCGATGAGTCCTTTGTTGTGGGCAAAGACGCGGGCGAACCCGAGGTTCTGGTAAAAGTCGAGCGACGTGGCGATCGTGAGGTAGTTGGACTCGTCCTTCGTGCCCTGGACGGCAAACTCCTCGAGGAAGCCCTGGTTGTAGCCGAGCGACGTGACGACCGGGCGGATCACCGATTGGTGCTCGCGGTCCACAAACAAGAACGAGCTCGACTTGGAGCCAAAGAGCCACTTGGTCGTCGTGCCCACGTAAAAGTCGGGGCGCAGCTCGCGCAGGTTCAGCGGGATCTGGCCCGGCGCGTTCGCACCGTCAATGAGCGTATACACGCCACGGGCGCGCAGCATCGGAATGAGCTTCTCTAGCGGGAGGACGAGGCCGCCCGAGCTCGTAATGTGATCGAGCACGGCCACGCGCGTGTTGGGCGTGATCGCAGCAATGATCTGCGTGATGAGCGAGTCGTAGGACGGGATCGGGAGCTTGACATCGACGACCTTGAGCTCGACGACCTCTTGTGTCATGTAGCAAATGTGGCGGAGCGTGTTAAAGACGCCGGGGTACGTCGAGCTCATACACAGCACTTCGTCGCCGTCCTGGAGGTCGAGCGAGCGCAGCACCGAGTTGACGCCGTGCGAGATGTTGGGCACAAACACAATGTCGTCCGAGTCGGCACCGACAAACTCGGCGAGGCGCTCGGCCGACTTGCGGAGGAGCGTCGGCAGCTCGCGCCGGTAGAACCGGTCCGGGTTCATCTCCATGCGGTTGACAAAGTACGCCTGCGCGGCGAGGACGGGCTTGGGTGCAAAGCCAAACGAGGCCGGGTTCAGGAACGTCGTGTTGGGCTCCATGTTGAAACAACACCGCGCCGAGCTGCCAAGCGTGAGCTGGTTGAGGAAGCACGTACAGTCCGCCGGCAGCATCGAGAGCCGGTCGAGGTCCATGAGCGACGGCGGCGCCTCCGAGCGCGGCTTGACGGTGGGCGAGACGACGGGCGCCGGCGGGCCCGCGCTATGGCCACTGCTCGAGTACACAGCTTGTTGCATGCTGGGGCTTACTGGTGCCAAAGCGTCTTGGGAAATGAACCTCGTTTTGGTTCATTTTATTATTGTATTTTTATTATACGCTTTCGAAGAAAAGACCACGTGACTTATAAAAAGCCGCGTCGGGACATGCGCCATGGTTTTGCACCAATGAGAAACCGCCAGAACGGTGGTTTTGACGGAATCCGCCACGTGATTGGACAAAAGGGTAGCCAATGGCATCGCGCAATGCCGCCGACGCAATTCGCAGCGCGGAAGCGGACGCCAATCACGCCGACCAAGATGGCGGCCAGCTGGAGCGGCGCCTGCGACGCTCATGCGATTGGACCGTGGTAGACGAGCAGCCACATGGAGGTGCGACGCCGAAGCCGCGAAGGCTCCGCCCAGATACGCGGCTGCCAGGATGCGAGTGGCGACGCCGTGGGGACCGGCCGCGAGAAGTAATGGCGACGCTGGTGTACGTGGCAGCTGCAGATCGCGCAAAGGTTGCCCGTTCGCGGCGAAAGAAGGCGGCGCTGACTATCCAGGGTGAGCGGTCAACCCAACTTCAAGGCGCCGTCGACGTTTGTAATTAACAATCTCGGACTACGTCGCCGCCAAGCGCTTGGCCTTGCCGACCGGGTAGAAGGACGTTTCGCCCGCCCTACAAGACACAGACTGACATACGCAATATGTTCGATCGTTGGTTTACATGAGAAGATCCGCAACGTAGCTCTCTTGGCCCGTGTACTCTTGCGGCCGTTTCTCGTAGAGATGCTAGCCCAATGATGGCGACCTCGACCCAGATTATGATGGCGTCATACCTGGCGGTAGAACATGTATTGCCACATGTTGTGGTCGTGGCGAACGTGCGCGTCAAAGCCATCGCCGTGCCGCTGAAACTGCAAGCTACGTGGCGTCACCAAAGATACGTCGTCGGACAGGGTGAGCTACCTGTCGATGCCGCAAATGAAGCAGTTGCTCTCCATGTCCTTCTCGATCGACGCCCGGTGGTCGCGCAGCTCGCCAAAGGCGTCGATGATGATCCCACCAATGATGTTGAGCAAGAGCACGCAAATGATGAGCCAGTACGACACGTCAAACCCGAGACGGAGCACCGAGATGGTCGGGTTGCTCTGCCACGACACGATATGCATGACGGACGCAATGTCCTAATCCAATCATAGCATGCATTCGACATGGGCGACGCGCATGCGAAACCTGGCGCAGGCCTTGGTTGAAGTGCGTGATGACGCACTCCATGAGCGTCCGGCAGCCCGTGTTGACTTCGTCGAGAACGCCATATTGGTCATGAAAAAGCATGTAGCCGACCGCCGTATAGATGTACACGACGACGCAAATGAGGTAAAACCTACAAATACAGTGGGCACCGCCTCGTGACACAAGCCAACGTAGTACGTCTGAACGAGCGAGTTGCGGTTCTGCTCGACGGCCAAAAGGGCATTGGAGAGGGTTCGGTGGAAGCAGACGTCCAAGAGCATGAGGGCATAGCACACGATGCGGAGACCGCGCACCGAGAGCGCAGGCACGAGCAAGACACAGCCGAGGCAGCTACGCAGATCATCGCGATCACATATAGAGACGTACATCGCAGTACCCGAGAATCGAGTACAGGAGATTGTACTTTGTGTTGTAGACAACGAGGGCCAACGACGACACGCGGGCTTCGATGGGCACGTCCGTACTTGGCACTGGTGACCGCGACGTTGCTGTAAACGTCTTGCATGTCCCACTCGGTACCGTTTGGCGATCAAGTACAAGCTTGACGAGGTCGGACGGCAACGACAGCAGCGCATGGGTTGTCAAAAGCGGTGTCGTCACAGCTTCGTTCTGGAGCACACGCGGTGCCCCCGCCGTCTCGGCGCGGAGGCGTTGCCACTTGTAGTTGCTCAGAATATACTGTCGTCGCGACACCATCGACACGACAAGGCGCACGAGCGACAGCCCAAAGTGCGACACTGCCATGACCACCGCGAGCACGTACACGCGGGCGTCGACGGTCGCCATGTCGCCCGTTCCAAAGCTCTAAAGCAGCAACTTCTATCGTGTATGAACCATGCATTTCGTACGTGGTTGAAGAGGTGGAGGCCGTTGAGGCCCAGTGCGAGCCAAAAGGTCCTACATCAAGTGCAGTCAACGCGACTACGAGCTATTGCGTGTAGTACAAGTGCATGACGGGGTCTTCAGCGTGTAGCACGAGGCGGAGCAATGGCGATGGCGACGCATCCAAGTGGGCGCAGTATTGTAGTTCTTCCAGCAGCAGCACCGAGTACCGGTGAAAGCTGTCCAGCTTGCTCATCTGCGACCGCAAACGTTGAGGCCAAGCTCGGTGATAAACGTCGTACCTGGCTGTCTTTGGTAAACATGTACACCATGCGCTCGCGCGAGTCGCGAATGACGCGGTGCTCCCAGTGCGACAGACAAATGTCGGGAATCTACACGCGTCTCCTGCTCGCCATACAAAAGCCAAAGCTTCGTACCCGAAAGTAAATGGTCTCGAGGTCGGTCTCGCGCACAATCTCGATCGACCCGACGCTCGCTGCGAGCTTGGTCCAGTTGAAAAATGACGGTGCACCTGCCTCGAGCTGCGTCTGCATCGTCGCAACCGCATCATCGCTAGGCGTCAAGAGTGTCTGAAAGAGAACGTAGACATCGCAGCAGATGGTCCAGTGGCTGCGCACTTTTGCTTGGAGCGTCTCCACCGATACCTCGTCTGCCTCGAGCGATGTCAATAGATGACGCTCGTGCTCGGACGCGTCGATCGTCACGGCGGCCTTGGCTACACTCGTCGTCTCGAGAGCGCGTTCGACAAGTCGGGCGTAAACGTCATACTCGCGCTTGACGTCGTTGCAGTAGGCACTCCACGTCGCCACGTCCAGTGTCGCAAGCATTCGGGCTGGCATGCGAGCATCTCGGTTGCCTTCAAGGATGCTGTAGACGAGCACGATTGCGCTGTGCTTGAGCTCCTGTACTTGGGTGACGCTACAGTTGTCGTACACAAGCGGTAGTTCTGCGTCCGACGACAAAGACGGGTGGGTCGCATGGTGGTGGCGCAAAACGTCGTTGATGGCGTGGAGGAGTTCGGTGGAAGCGCCCACAGAGCGTTGGTTGGCGTCGCAGCCCTGCACAAACTCGGCGAGCGTGTTGAGCGCCTGAACAACGACGCCGAGGTGCATTGCCGACGTGATGTTCCACACCAGCGAGTGCGTGCGCGGATCCACGACCCAGAGAAACCCACAGAGGTACGAGATGACTTCGTCGACAAGGTCGTACGTGCGCACAGCGTTGCGCTGGTTCCGTACGTAGTGCTGCATTGGTGCAAAGTGGTTTTCGCAGAGAAGCCGGAGAAACTCGAGAAGGTCCATCACGATCGGCAAGAGCTCGTCGTCGTGCGGCAGGCGCAAAAAGTGCACGAGACGACTCACAAAGGACTCGCCAAGCGCTTGAACATGGCCAAACATGTCGGCTTGCACGCGTGGGTTGCCGTCGCGCAGCATGGCCAAGCCGACGTGGAGAGTCTCTTGGACTAGCGTCGGATACCCGTGGACGTCGTGAATCGCTTTGGAGAGCAATTGCAGAACCATGGCCCCACCACCAAGGCGAGCGAGTCGGTCTTGTTGCTCGCAGAGGTCCTCGTCGCGGCCGTCAAGGAGCCATCCAAGAAGGTTCAAATGCACGTGCGGCTGTTCATGGGCGTTGGTCGCGCTCTCTTTGTCGTGCTGGCACATGTAGGCAATGACGTGACTGACGACATCGTCCATGGACGGTGACAAGAGGGCTTGAACAAACGAAGTTTCGGCTTGGAGCAGAGTCGAGCGATACAGCGCCGTAGACTCGAACCCGCTGAGAAAGCCCCGCAGCTGTGCCGGCACAAAGGCTTCGATGGGCGTGTCGACAGTACAATTTGCCGCAGCGTCGACGCGGTACCGGAGCCGGAAGGACCCCGAATCCTTCCGTGGCCGCATGGACGTCGCCGTCGAGATTGCTCGAATGCGTGGCGCCTCTCGCTTGACCTTGTGCCAAAGCGACTGCCGCTTGATCTCGCTCTTCCAGACACGCAGGACAGAAATCGTGCGCAGCTTGTGGCTCACGAGGCGCGAGAAGCTGCTCGCAGCAGACGTGAGCGTAACTGAAGGCGAGTGCTCGGCCAAAATGCTGTTCTCCTTGATGCTCGACACGACTGCAATCGTGGCGGCCTTGGTTCGCTCGGGCAGACGCGGAATGTCCAAAATCTGTAGCAGCATAAGACAACCGCAAGCCAAGAACAAAGGCACCTTGACGAGGACCGCGACGATGTGCATTGTCACTTGGCTGTGTTTTGCGTGTGCAGTCGTCAATGTCATAGCGACTTGAGAGAAAAAGTTGGTCAGCATCGGCAGGACGCCGTCGTCGAGAAAAGCCAGAATCGCGCTGAAGATACGCGCCTCGGACGTGAGCGTCGCCAGCGTCACTTCGACGTTTGCGGGCAGCTCCTTGCCCTCGAAATACTTGGCGTCGGCCATGTGGAGCACGACAGTGAGGTCGTGTACCACGTACTGGAGGAGCGACCACACGGCGGGGTTCTCGGCCAAGCCAGCGATCGGAATCTGGACGTCAAAGTACGCCGCGTCAAGGAACGCCAAAAGGGCCTTCCGGACGCTGAAAACGGTGCGACCATCGACGAGCGCGCGTACGATTTCGTTGAGCGAGAGAAGCGACCGGCACTCGACTTCGACGCGGTGGTTCTTGCCTTGGCTACATGCCGAGAGAAGGTGCAGCAGCGTCGCGTGGTAGTGCAGTCGATGGAGGTCTGGGTGCGCTTTGAGCATGCTCTCGATGCAGTGCGTGCTCGTCAGCAACACCATCTCGAGTGGCTTGTCGACGCGGGCCATCAAGTCGAGCCGTGCTTGGTACCCTGCCTCTTCCGTAAAGAGGTCGAGAGTCGTCGGGTGCGACGAGAGCGCGTTGAAGACGAGCGTTTGGTTGGTCTCAATGTACTCGCCTTGCTTGGTCACGACCAAATGCAATAATACCTCAAGGAGCCGCGACCGCGCCGACGGCGCTTCGAGGAACGTGGGTGCCACGAGCAAGTCGGCGACGCGGGTCACTTGCGCGGCCGGGATCGATTGCACGAGCGCTTCGTTGTGCCCCAAGACGCTGCGCACGAAGTCTAATGCAACATGAGAAACAATAGACAGAGCATAGTATGTACGAGACACTTCGCTCGGGAAGAACGGAAGGTCGCGCAAGAAGAGATCGACGTGCGCCACAAGGAGTGACTCGAACGAGCGGTCGCAGCCAATCATGTGCACGAGAATCTGGTAGCATTGGCGAATCCACTCGGTGGAAGCACGCGTCGCTTGGCGTTGGAGAAGGCCAATGACGATCGTGTGGAGTCCAACATGGAAGAGAAGGCGCTGCATTTGCTGGTACTTTTCAAGGGGCTGCGCCGTCACGACAGCCAAGGCGCGATGGAGCGGCACCTCGGGGTTTTCGCCGTCCATTGCGTGGGCAATGTCCCGGAGCTCGTCATAGATGCGCTCCCACGCGTCCGATGTCAGAATCAAAAGGCTCTCGGCGATGCGCCGGATTTCGGGGAGTGTGTTGAAGTACGAGTAGAGCAAACCGAGCGCCAACATGGTAAGCTCGTGGCACCCGTGGCGACAGAGACTGCAGAGCACGTCGACGTAGTGGACATTTGCGTAGCAGTCGTCTTGGACAAGCACCTATGCCACGTTTGATTCCAAGCCTGCGATAGTCGTGAGGTAGATATACGGTATGGAAGGCATCTTCGAGAGCCAGGTGCGTCATCGCACTGACCGCCGCACTGTGTTGACGCACAACGTCCACAAGCGCCGAAACTTGGTTGTTGAGACGCCCCGTCGCAAGCTTGGACAATACATGGCAGATGCGAACCTTGATGTCGACGGCGTCGCCCGTCGCCGAGCCGAGGTACGTCACCAGCACGCGCACAAGCGCAGTGAGAAGCTTTGGAGTCTGGTAGTACCCAAGGCAGACGCAGGTTTCTGCGAGTGCAATCACAGCCAAGAGCAACTGGCGCGTGCCGCGTGCCAACACTTCGGGATCTAGAGCACCATCACTACCTCGTCAAGATACAGATCTGAGGAACGCACTAGCTGCGATGGTCCGAGTCAAATAGGTTTCGGCAAACGTCGCGTACGGCGTGATTTGGTCCATGCATTCTTCCCACGTCCACGACGACGACGGGTCCAGAGTACGCGTACACATGGGTTTGCTCGGCACGAGCCAACTTCGAGCGTACTACCAGCACAGAGTTGAAAAATGATAAGAACGATAGTGTACCGAGACGGCGGAGAAATCTTGCTTGTAAAACAGCGTTGACGCGTGTCCGTGGACGTCGTGGGCTGTCATGTATGCGCACAGCCCCGCGCGGATGCAATCGGGAATGGTTTCGTTCTCGAGCAAGCGGAGCCCGTGGTCGACGACGAATTGCATCAGCGGGCTCGATGGTCGCGCGTCATCGCGGTGCAGCCGTGCGAGGAGGCAAAACGCATTCGCAACATACAGCTGTGTTGGCTCGCCGAGCGCACTGGCAACAACCTCCCACGTCGCCGTCATTTGGGGCACAAGCACGAGCACCTACGACGCACACGACGTTCAGACACACAGTTGGATGCAAAGCAAACCTCCGAGCCTTGCACCACCAACGTAGGCAAGATGTTCCGCACCAAGAGCTCCTCCAGTATGAGCGCTTGGTTCTTGCCGAGCACAACGCCATTGCACGTGCAGAGCGTCTCGAGGTAGACCCAGTACTCGTGGGCCCACTCAAACGCAGCCGGTTGCGCCATGCGATCTAGTGTCTCTTGGATCTGGCGGCGCGAAATGCAATGTAGGAACGACTCGTTGTCGCGCACGCAAGCTGTGAGCGCTTTGGCGACAGCTTCGTTGGCGCCGAGGAGGTCTTGTAGCATCGGAAGGTACGGGTGGATCGTGCGCTGGCTTGTCGGATCGTCCGTGACGTAGTCCTCGATGAGGAAGCAAAGCGCGCGGACACACGTACGCAGCTCCGCGTGCCGTTGATACGCGCCTTGATGCCTACAACAGAGTTAGGACAGCACCCAATGTGGGTGAAGTGCCCACGCGTGCAAGATGACTGCAAAGTTGTCGAGGAGCGACGCCAAGACAGACTGATCCCAGAGGATGAACTTGAGCGACGGGTGCTGGCGCAGGACGCTATGCACCGCCCGTAGGCAAATTTCAAGCGGCTGCACGTCTTGAAACGTGAGTCCCTTCAAGTGCGGGACGCGCTCTAGCTGTGCGCAGTGTCGTGCAAACTGGTTCTTTGTGAAAAGCACGTCCAAAAGCACATACACCTCGGTTGCACTCGGCAAATGCACTCGAAAGACGTCGCTGTCGCGCACGGTGCGGCAGCAGTGGAGCGGTATGGTCGCGTCGTCACTTCCTGCGACACCGCAGAGCCAGACACCACTCTCGTCGTGCTGGATGTGAAAGGACGTCGATCCAGCGTGCTTGCTTGCGAGCTTAAAGAACGTGGCGGGCCCGTTGTCGGTTGACGAAGCCGAGATGCACAACGGCGCGTTAGCAGTGATGCCGAGAAGCTTGCCCGAAGCGATGTGGCGCAGCTGAATGACATCGGACGCGATCGCTTGGCCGCCCCACTTGGCGTGGAGGGGCTCGACCGCCCAGAGTGCGTTCGAGCTCGTTGTAGAGTTTAGAGCCAGAGCGTCTGATGTGAGTTGGAGGACGTGCTCGCTCTCGACGTGGCAGAAGCGCAGAATATCGCCGCCGCGCAGCGCCGGTATGCTTGACGTTGGCGACTCGTGTTTAGCAAATGGCACGAGCTGCCACCGTGTCTTGCCATAGCCAGCAACGACATCGAGAATGCTCTCTCGGAAGCGGCTCGTTGCGACGTCGAGGTAGCGCTCCCAGCGGGCGCTGTAGAGATGCACTACGTCTTCAATAAGGACAGTGTCGCCATCGATCTTGGTCTTGACTGGAGCTTGCACTTCCAGCCACGAGTCCAGCCTACGAATTGTACTTGCTGCAGCATCGACTCGCATTCGTACATGTGTACCATTGCTCGCGAGCTGGCACGTCGCAAGCGACATTGAACGCATGTGGGGACTCGAAGCCAACCTGGCAGTGGTCCATGTACCATCCATCGGTGAAGGCTCTACCTTCATCGTAAAGGGCTGGACTCCGCGCTCGTTGACGTTGATGCAAAGCACTTGGTTGGTGTGGTAATGGACGAGCTATACCGTCCAGGTCTATGGATAGAGGTCGCAGGCATGGGACGTACGCGAATGCATTGCCCAAGCTTCACCTCGGTACCATAGCCCTTGCATGTCATCTCGTGCTCCAGTGCATGCTACATGGACCATCGCATCATCTGGCATGGCGAGGACGCGCACGTGACGTACGCTGTCGAGCTTCCTCTGGAGGTCGACGCGGACAATGTCTTCCTTGTTGAGCACGGTCTCCACGCGGAAGACGCATGGAAGGACGCTCTTGGGCTCGAGCACTTCGGTCTGCGTGAGCGTCTCGACCACAGCCGCTCGATGGACGATCCTACATGCGCAGGATGCATCGATACCGTCACCTCCATCATCATCTTGTTCGTCTACCCCGAGGAAGGAACTGCATGCTCGCAGGAGGCGAGGAAGCCGATCGCGGGATGGGGGTCCGCGCTCGACTCGGGGGACCAGGACGGGTCGCTGCCTTGAGCGACCAATAGCACGAGGTCGCCGACGCAGAGCTTGGCCATACCCCCAAAAGATCGACGTTTCTTTTTGGCCAATCATATGCCACAGATTAATCCATCAACCAATCCGCGACCGTAGTTGCAGACAACCTATGATTGGCCTGTTATTTCAACTGTCGATGCATTTCAGCCAATGGCACGCAGGACGAGTTGGGAGAAACATCATTTGCCAAGTTGCCATGAGCGCGGTCTGCGTCGCGAGCCCGCCGATCGAAGACGACTGGGACATGCCACTGCTCTTCATGACGTCGCTGCCGACTAACTTCAAGGTCAACGCTGACATCGCCGCGCTCGCGAGCTTCACGGACGACTACGAGGTCTCGGATGACGAAGGCCCGTCGCCGCCCAAGACAGGCAAGGTGCAGGACAAGACCAAGTTCCGGTCGTCATCGCGCCACGTAGCCAAGCCGTACGCCAAGTCAAAGAAGGCCAACATGGCCGAGCTGCAAGTGTGCATGAAGTTTTTCAACATGTAAACGACCCTTCTGTGTATTTAATACGAGCGCAGCACACGACTGGGTTGCCTTGGCCCTCGACCTCACTGCTGCAGCGTATGCCGAACCATTGCGCCGACACAATACACTTCAAAATACAATTGACCACCCGGAGCGGAGCCGGTGCCAAGGTGCGGCAAGTACCTTAGCTTCACGCCGTCCGCACGGTAACGTGGGATGGTCATTCCGCTAGCTCGTCAAACTAGATCGAGTGCCAATGTCCGCGAGATACACTATTCATCAACGTGCCATGGGCGACGGCTGATCATGAGGAGCAATGGCGAATGCGAGCTATGGACCCAGTACAGTCGCCGTTGGCTCCGTTGCTGGATGTTCTTTCAGCGGTGCTAAAGTCATCTTCCTAACAGCCCCAGAGTCACCTTCCTACCGGCCACAGCCCTCTGTCAACCGTGGCCTCCACGTTCATCCTCCACCTCCGTTTCTCAACTCGGTACCAACATCAAGTGACAACTCTGTCCATACGTCATGATACAAACGCCTATCATACACTATTTGGCACCGACGGCGGCTTACAGCTCGCCTGTCAGCACATACTGAATGTTGAGCATCGTTGTGAACGCGAGGAGGAGCGAGATGCTTGTCGCTAGCTTCGACTCGGTGTCTTCGAGCGATTCGGGCAAGAGCTCGCAGATCGCAACAAACGCCATTGCACCGCCGGCGAACCCGAGACCTGCGGGTAAAATCGGAAGAAACGTCTCGACAAAGAGGAACGACGGCACGGCAAAGAGCGGCTGCGGCATGCTTGAGAGGATGCACCACACGGTCGCCGGCAGCAGCTTGAGCCCGCGCGGGATGAGCACCAAGCAAATCTGCACGGTAGCATAAGCCATCATGAGCACATTGGACGAGAGAACGCACCGCGAGGCCTTCGGGGATGTTGTGGATTGCCAGCGTCAGCGACACGAGGAGGCCGCGACGGTCCCCACCTTCGCCGCCAAACGAGACACCGACACCAATCTAACGCGTATCATGAACGGAGCGTCATCAAGCTACTGGACGTACGCCTTCCGAGATCGAGTGCAGCGTCATGACGGCCATGATCAGCAGCGCCTTTTGCGCGTCGAGCCCTATTTGCCAAGTTCGAACGAGGCGAATAGTGACGGGAAGGCATACCATCCAGGCCACACACTTTGACGTCTTCGTGCTCGTCCAAAATGATCTTGGTCGTCTTGATGAACGCAATGCCAAAGAGGACACCGAGGAGGAGCCGCACATTGACCGAGAGCACATCGTCGTCTTTGGACTGGACATTGAACGCTTCGTAAAAGAGGCAGCTCGTCGCTGCCAGCATCATGCCAGCTGCCAGTGCTACAGTGCGAGAGGATGATGACCACGCTTTTTGGGATCGAAGGACCTACCATTGCAGACGCCGAGCCAAAACTTTTCAATGTCCTTGACCCAGAGAAATGGCACAGCGCCAAAACCCGTCGAGACCGCCGTGAGCCAGCCGCACCACCAGACGTAATGCCAACTGCGGATGCCACCCGTGTACGGGTAGCTTATCAGCGTCACAGCGATCAAGACCATGGTCACAAGCGCTTCCGGGCGCAGCCATGCCGACGTCGCTGGCTTGACGACCTCGGCCTTCTTGAGCGCATCGGCGTCGAGGGCGTCGGCGCCGTCTTCATTGACCTTGAGCGGCTGGACTTCCATGTCGAGGCTTCCCGCCGCCTTGCGCTCGGTGCACGCAGGGGCGCTTGGCGATTCGGTCTGCGCCATGCCAAGCAGGAATGAGGTCCGGTATTGCTGTCCTCAGTTAATAATTGCGCGTCATAAAATACATTTCGCTACGCGTTCGCACGTTCTCTCTGAAAAAACGTATAGTGCGGGGTTTGTTGCCATAAAAATATAGCGGGTCAGAGAAAAGCGCCAGGATAAATCCGAATTCTATGTCGGGTGACAGGACAAGGCTAATAACACCACTCTTTGCCACCACCGTCCCTCTCCTTGGGCGAGCGTGACGTGGCACGACGGTGGCGAGGCGGCATTCACGCGTGCGTGCTCCATTATCTTGTTGAAGGAGGATGCTCTGCGAAGCACCACTGTAAAGAGGGCAAGGGCAGAGAACGTTGATGGCAATTATGGCCTTGTTTTGCTTTTGGGAGAGACAGCGGCTCGTCTCTGCTTGAAAGTTGCGTGCACTCAGCCAGAAATTTCAACAGGGCAGAATCCTAAACGTAGGACAACCCACAGTGTGTTACATACGTGGCGGGCCGGATTCGAAGCGGTCCACGTGCTCATGCTGGGTGCGGCACGCGCTCGATGTCCGAATCTCTACGCCGAGCCATCCCACGCTGCATCGTCGGTCGCGGATGGTACTCATGCAGCCTGCTTTTCGGATTCAACAAGCAGCAACTTTAGCTGCGCTTGCATCTGACGGCCGCGCCATGTGCCACCGTCGTCGTAGCATTATGGGTGCATGGCCCATGCAGGCAACGGCGTCCTATCTGCTTCGAACTTCAGAAGCGCCATAGAAACTTGAGAAAGCTTGGCTGCATGGCCGAGCGACGTTCCGACGTCCTGCGACTTGGCTGTGCGGCACTGCACTCGGCTCGCAGCATCGCGACACTTGATATCTTGCAAGTGTCGTCACGAGGCCAAGGGCGTCGGCGGCCGTTGCGAGATCCAGTGGCGGTATGCGAGCACACGTCGGGTTCAGTCCATACCGGGCTAAAACGCACGTTTTATTCGTGTTTAAACGCTTATGTCGCGGGTTTTACCTTGGTTTTATTCGAAACGCGTTTTTCTCGCAATTCGATTTTCCGGGCGGCGAGGATGGCCGACGATCGGAAGGCGTGGAGTGCGTCCATGCTCACCTTTCGCGGGTACACGAGGCTCATGAAAATGCTCGGAGACGACGAGCACAAGCATCTTGACAACGAGAGACTCGCGAAGCTCGAGTACGTGAGCGTGCGCCACTCGGGCCTCAACTGCGCCAACCCGACCGTGATCGCCATGCCCGCGATCTGCTTGCCGTTCGACAGGCTTGGCGGCGCCATCGCGCTCCGCGACTACAACGACGTGCAGGCCATCATCGGGCGATGTCGTTGCGGCTACGTGTGCCAGGCCTACTACTTTCCGCGCGACAGTACGTCCTATCTTGCGCAAGTTGGCTGGTCGACTCATATCATGGTAGAGTACGGCAATAGCAGGACGGCCATTGCGCTCAAGGTCATGGACAAGGATCTCATCGCGATCGAGCGCGACGACACGGACAATGAAGTCCGCATCATGGCCCAGCTGCAACCCCATGGGATGCAAACGCCACTCGCGAGCAAGCACGTCCTTCGCTGGGACCGCGCCAGGTGCGAGAAGAACGATTACATTGCGACCGAGTACGTCGCGAACGGGTCGCTCTCGTCTTTTATGCGCCGCGCGTACGAATCGCTGCTCAAGAAGTACGCGCAGAGTACGCTGTTGCCACTCGACGTGCGCCGCAGCGTCGCCCACGAGTTCTTAGCGACCGTCGCGCTCCCGCTCTATGGCAGCATCCTCCAAGGGCTCGTGTACTTGCACACGCAAGGCGTCTGCCACCTCGACATTGATCCGTACAACATTGCGGTCGGGCGCGAGCATGGACCCGAGCCGGCGTCGCCGTACCGGTACTTTGCCACGTACATTGACTTTGGCTCGAGCCAAATCCTCGACGGGCGACTGCTCGTCGGCGCAGGTCGCGAGAACCCAGCGATCAAGGCCAAGATCACGTACCGGTCGCCCGAGCTCAAAACGAACGCACAAGAACGGACGAGCTACATCAACTTTGTCAAGAAGAACCGCGGCGCCATGAGCCTCCAGGCGGAGCGCGAGAAGATGCCGAAAGGCTTTGACGGCCGTGCGTCCGACCTCTACTCGGTCGGCGTCGTCGTACGTTCACCTCTCACGCATTCGCTTCAACGAAAATGATGTCTAGGGCATTGAGCTCCTCTTGTACGGCTACCAGCTGCCGGGCTTTCTCGGGTCCGCCTTTGTCTCGACGAGCAGCAACCCCAAGTGGCGTGACTTCTTCATCGATCACTTTGACAAGAGCGTGGTGTGTCCGACCCCGTGTCTCTTTTGCGACCACCACATTACACTGCCCGAGTCAGCGGTGCAGATCCTTCTGCGCCTCGTCGGCACCGACGTCAAGGCGCGCGGCTTCGCCGACCAAATCGCACTGGCATGGCTGGCCGCGCACGGCGACAAGACCGACACGACAGCGCCGTACTACGGCGTGGCCACGGCCATGGACGACGTCGATATGGCATCGCATTCGGCGTCGTCGGCCTAAGCTTATATATACTCTAGACTTGTCCAAGTCCGACAGATGATTTGCATGGACGAGCTACTCGCGCAACGCAAAGCTGGAGCGACGTCCGAGGAACCGCGTTTTCTACGCCTTTGACTGTGAGCTCTTGCGAGTCGAGAGCAAACGTACGGGACCGTCGGTGGGTGGCGACGGCTGCATGCTACTACTCGACGCTGCGTCCGTGGCCGGGTCCAAGTCCAGTGGCTCCATGAGCTCGTCCTAAGCACGAGACGCGGCATGAGTTGCATGCCCTTGTACACTGCGCACACCAAACGATCGTGGAGCTCTTGGTTGCTGAACTTGGGGCGAGTGGTCTTGAGAATCTGCTGCGCGGCAGTGCTCAAGGGCGGCACAGTTGGCGGGTCCCGTCGTACGGGTCGACGGAGGCTTTGGACTTCCTTGATGAGCCGCGACATTTGGCGCTGTAGCGTTGCTTGCGACGCTTCCAGGGACGCAATCGCTGCCGTCTGCGCGGTCGCGTCGGCTTCGAGGCGCGCCTTTTGCCGACTGAGCGCCGTCACGAGCACGCGCTGCGTGTCGAGTTGCTTCGAGAGCGTGTACACGAGCTCCTTGGGCGTCTTCTCTATGTGGCTAGCAGCAGTCGGCGGCAGCGCAGTCGGCTGCGGTGCTGTCTTGCGTCGTCCGCCGAGGGGAACGGGAATCTTGGACACGGGTCGGCTCGCCTGTACGTACAACTGCTGAGGAGAGAAGACTGTGGTTCATGTACACTGCGTGCGCGCCAGAGACCAAAGGCCATTGCAACGCGAAGAAGGCGCCGACGCACGGCCTTGACAAGCACGCGTCGCAGGGCTTTCTTGGCCTTCTCGGCCGCGCTCAGCCGCGCTTTGACCGGGTGCAGCCACGCAAAGGCGGGTCCAAGCAGAGCGGGCTCGGGCTCGGAGGGCGACGACGTTTTGGCGAGCGCCAGCTGCAGCGCAATGTTCTGCTTTGTGAGCTCTCGCACCAGGTCCTCCATGGCAACACAGCAACCGCTAAGAACCCAGTGGAAACGGGCGACAAGCGTTTTCCCTGTCGAGGGTGAGAGGAATATTAGAAAGTGGTTACTCGCTGTCGCTCTCGCCCAGTACGTAGTCGTTGGCAAAGGCCGCTGCCATGAACGCCTTCTGGAGCTCCAGCTGCAGCGCCGGACGCGCCAAGCTCGACGTCGTCGCAGGTGGCAGTGGAACGTCGCTTTTTGCAACAACGACCGGCGCTTCGACCTCGACGCCGTTCACACGCTCGGGCGGCAAGACCCGCTGGTCGAGGACATCCTAGCAAAGTCTGCTGTGAGCCATCTCTACTATTCCACTGCCAACGACAACGCACGTGGAGTTCGTCAACGACTGAATGGAACGAGGTCAACAGGGCAGTATCGGGCGCAACTGTCGGCGCTTCGTCAGCCTCAAGGCGCCCGGTGCTGAGCGCCGTGAACACCTCTGTCACGGTCGGATCGACGGGCGCTGGTAGCTCGACGGCTGGTCCGATCAGAACCACGCTGTCATGACCGAGAGGCGGTAGCGCGGGCGCCTCGGGTGTGGCTCCATCGACCTAAGGACACGACTTAGCGCTGCCTCTAGAGTGCGTACTAGTACGTGTGGGACGGTTGCTTCTTCCCACGTGCGGATGGCGGTGACGGCGTCGTCGACAAACTTGGCCACGCGCGCACGTGTCGCTCCGTCGTCGCTGCGGCCATGGACAAGGTCCTGCTTGTACGCGTAGAGAAGGGCATTGGCCGAGTCGAGGGCGACTTGGATCCGGTGGGCGTGGTGCCAGCTGGGCAACGAGCGACGCCTTGCTGTGTCGGCGGTCGCACTTGGTAGCGTCGGCTCCACCAAAGCCGAATCAACGTCTACGGCGGCACGAACGCGAGATTGCAAGGTGGTGACGGTCGTGATGAGTCTCTGGAGGCGCGTCACGGCGTCGCCGAGTGCCGACACGGACGACGCGACCTCGGAACGAAGCGCGTCGAGCTGCTTTTGCAGTGCTGCGCGCGCAGCCTTTTGCTGGTTGCTTAACGCGAGCAAAAGCAATGACGGCGCCGCGTCATTGGTCACACGGACGTTCATGACGTACGTTGGCTCCTGCAGCTGCGCAAAGACCTCACGCAGCAAGACACGCAGGTGCACGCAGCGTAGGTCATCGACTGAGCTCGCGCGGTTGGCCTCGAGCCGCGCAATCGGCGGGAGGAGCGTATCGAGGTGGTACCCTCGGTGGACGACCTCGGCCGCCTTGATCCGCCGCAACGAAAGTGTCACCACGTCCTACGAGGTGCTGCAGCCACGTACTGTTACAACAAGGTATACCTCGAACGCTTCAAGGGTCGAATCAAACGAAGCAAGATGATTCTGCCACGTGCGTAGCAGCACATGTGCACGGCGCTGTGATGCGTGGCGAACCTACACCATTGCGTCGTCAGATACCAGTCGAGATCGCGAGTACGTACGTAGAAGCACCACGCGGCGATGCCAAGTCGGACCAAGAGCACGCTCAGGAGAATCGTAGCAAGTGCGACGCGGAGCCATCGGAGCGAGCCCGCGATCGCGACGCCGTAGAGGACCGCGACGGCAGCGACGATGGACGGCGGCGGCAGATCCGCGTTTTGCCACGCACATTGCATCGAACCAAGCAGCGACGGCTGCATGCCACTGCGTAGACCATCGCGGGCATCCTGGAGGCCTTGCTGTTGCAGCACCACCGTCGATGGCCAGCCCGGCAACACACCAGCGTGAAGCGAGTGCCACGACATTGCCGCCCATCGGCTTTGCGCTTGAGCCACTTGCTGCGCCCACTTGGATACATTGGCGACATGGAGAGAGGACGCTTGCAACTCGTCGTCGAGCGGGCGGGCGTCGGCGGCGCCGACGGACGCCAGGTACGCGTCGAGTGCTTTCGAGTGCTCGGTGACATACATTCTTACAACTAAATGCACGCAACGTTTGGACGCCGAGTGATGGTGCTTTTACGTATGCGAAAGAACAAGCGCCGGTACAGCTTGGCTCGACGGCGCGCCAGCGCTGAGAAGGGCGCCTTCAACTTGTATAATGGTTTGTCGGTGTCATCGTGTTGGCTGTCGACTGGTGTGGCAGGCGCAACGCCACCCTTTTGTGCCAAGTGGCGTGCGAATAGCCGCAAAGCGTGTTCCAAATTCGGAAATTGCGAAATCGTTTTTCGTTTCGCATAAAATGAACTCGACGTTTGTATGGAAACCGGGGTTTTACGCGGAACCAGTTATTAAATTCCCGTGTTTGATTGGTGAGACCGAGATCCCCAGAAGCAATGGTGAAGCAAGCGGCGAAGCGGCGACGTACCGAGACCGACGCGGAGGCCGACGCGCCGGTGCAGCATGCGTCGACGACGATGGAAGAGAAGGGCAAGCTCCTCATTGAGGAGCTCTTCACCAAGTACGATTACCTTGGGTCGCTCTTGAAGGAGTTCCAGGCCGAGCTCCAGGTGCCCCACACGACGCCGATCGCGTCCGACCAAGCATGGTTCTGGTTCCTCGAGATGAAGTTCCTCATCACGTTCCTCCATCAAATGTCCTACATGGAGCTCGCGCTCTCGGCCACCAAGCCCGACACGATGACCACCTTCCAGTCGAACGCGGCGACGAAGGACCGCGCGCACTTGACCGACCGCGCCGAGATGTCGGCGCGCCTCATCTTCTTGGAGCGGCTCATGGAGTACGTGGCATGGCTCGGCGACCAGCGTCTCGCGCTCACGCAGCCGGCGCCGCGTGTGCACCGCCTCGCCAAGCGCTACGGCATGAACGCCAAGGAAACCGAGCTCTTCCAGCTCATGGTCATCTTCCAAGGCTGCCAGTCGACCACAGTCCGGTCGCAAATGGTCGAGGAAGACGTGAACCGCAAGATGATGAGCTTCCAGCGCCTCGCCGGCATCTCGGAGATTGACATTGAAGAGTTCCACGACGACAGCCGCGAGCACGTCAAGGAAGGCACGCTCCTCGCCGACTGTGACAACTACATTACGATCTTGACGCTGTCGTCGATCTCGGTGCGCGTCATGCTTGGCCGGACACTGTCGCCGTCCCAGATCCTCAAGCTCAGCCAGACGTCGCTCGAGGCCATCTTGCGCGAAGAAGGTATCGTGTACGAGCACGTGCTCGAGCTGCAGGACGACGCGATGGCTGGCAGCGACAACGAGCACGACGACGACGACGTGGTCGACGAGACCGAAGAAGCAGCGACCGAAGACGAGACGCCGCCCGACGACAGCATCGTTGCCATCGAAGAAGACGACGACGAAGAAGTTGTCGACGATGACGACGATGACATTACATCGGCGTACTCGTTCATTGGCAAGTACAAGCCGACCAAGAGCGCGAACGGTAGCACCGGTCCGTCGCCCGACGTGCCGTTGCTGCACCACCTGACGGACAAGAATGCGCTTTTGCCGTACAGTCCCGAGAACCAACTCGAGTACCTCGAAGACCGGTTCCAGGTCGTGGCGTTTGCGATTCGCGCGTCAGGAGCGCGCGTGAAGGACCAGATGAAGGAGGCCGGCACCAAGCAGCCGTGGAACGACAATTATGGCACGACCATGTCGGCCGGGAAGCGCGAGCTCAAGGCCAAGCAGCGCGTCCAGGACCGTCGCGTCGCGCACCGCCTCCAGCTCACACGGTATGTGTTTCATGTGTTGCGATTTTCAGATACTGCGCATTTTGAGAATGGAAATCTCAAAGGCATGCGTAGGACCGCCAACCTCGCGCTGCCGCGCCTCGAAGAGATGGCGACCAAGTTCAAACTCAACGCGTTTGAGCAAAACGTGATTGTGATGCTGATCGGCAAGACGATCTCGCCCGTCCTCAAGAACCTCCTCGAAGGCGTCGACACGTCGGTCGTCCAGCGAATGGACGAAAGCATCACTGTGAACCAGATTCTGAGCGTCTTTTGTGACACGTTCCAGGAGCAAGTCGCGCACCGCGTGTACTTCTACAAGTCGGCGCGGCTCCTCCAGCGCGGGCTCATCAAGCTCAACCGCGGGTCCGACTGCGTCGTATTCCACATGCAATCGTCTCACATCAACACGATCGTAGGCGATGGCACTCGAGCGGCGGCGACCTTGTGGACCAGCGCGTCGACTTGGATCGGCGCGTGCTCGACTGGGTTGTGGGCCTCGATACCGAGATCAACGAGCTCGTCGAAGGCTCCGACCTATACAACCCCAAGGTGCAGCTGTCCCAAGTGGTCCTGCCGGACGAGTACAAGCACACGATTCTGAGCACGGTCACCAGCTACGAGCACTTTCGTGTCTACCGCAAGACAAGCGGTCTCGACCAGACGCTGACGTATGGCACGGGTCTCGTGCTGCTGCTCTGCGGCGCCTCGGGCACGGGCAAGACGATGACGGTCAACGCGGTTGCGCACCACCTCAAGAAGCGCGTGCTGCTCGTCGACTTTCCGTCGCTGCAGGGCAAGGCCAGCCAGGACCGCGGGTACATCCGCCTCGGATACGTCGATATATTGATAGATTGATCTTGGATAGCGAGTGCGACGCCGACTTGCGTGGCTTGTTTCGCGAGGCCGACATGAGCAACGCGATTCTCTTCTTTGACGAGTGCGAGTCGATCTTCAAGCAGCGCGAAATGGGCGGCGACCGCCTTCTGAACGCGCTCTTGACGGAAATGGAGCGCTACGAAGGTACACTTTGACGCAATGTCGCGGAATGGTCGCGGAATGTTCGACGTAGGCATTGTGTTTTTGGCGACGAACCGGCCGTTTGATTTGGACGAAGCCATGCACCGCCGGATCACCGCCGTCTTTGAGTACAAGGCGCCGGACCACATTCAGCGCCGCGAGATCTGGCGCGTGCTCGTCTCGGACAAGCTGCAGACGTCGCCTGACATCGACTGGGACGCGATTGCGCTCAAGTACGAGCTCTCGGGTGGCTTCATCAAGGTAGATACAACGCCCATCTTACAACCGCAAACACACTCAACACTCGATAGAACGCGATTCTCTCGGCGCTGCTCAAGGCTATTGAGCGCAGTCCGACGTCGCCCGTGATTTCGCACGACGATATTGTGGCCGGGTGCGCGCTCCAGATGCGCGGGAGTCTGCACATGAAGACGTTTGACCACCGCGTGGTGCCGTCGACGGGCCTCGACGCGCTCATCGTCGACGAGACGACGAAAGCGACGTTGGCCGAGATTGTCCAGTTTGAAAAAGCGCGCAACGTGATTTACGGCCAGTGGAACTTTGATTTCGGCTTGACGACCAAGTACAACAAGAAGAACCAAAAGGGCGTCTCGGCGCTCTTCCTCGGCCCGTCCGGTGTCGGCAAGGTGAGCGCCGCCAAAGCGCTCGGGTTCGAGGTCGGCCGGCCGCTCAAGCTGCTCCACTTTTCGCAGCTGCAGTGCGACTCGGCCGCCGAGTCGCGTCGTGCGCTGCAGTCGGTGTTTGACGACGCGCGGCTCATGGACGCAGTCCTCGTCCTCGAAGGGTTCGAGATGTTTGGCATCGACATGCACGGGCAGGCCGACCCGGACTCGCCGCGCTTCAAGCTCGAGGTCCGCCGCCTCATGGACATGATGGACACGTTTCCCGGCATTTCGATTCTGATTGCCAACTCGGCGCCGGGCCAGAGCATGAACTTGGACCCCGAGTGCTCGCGCCGGCTCAAGTTTGTGGTCGAGATGAAGCCGCCCAACGCAAGTCTGCGCACGCAGCTGTGGACGTCGTTCTTCCCGCCGGCCGCGCCGCTCGCGACCGACGTGGACTTCAAGAAGCTCGGCGCGCGCTTCGACTTGTCCAACGACGCGATCTCGAACGCAGTGTTTCGCGCGGCGGCCAGCGCGGCGTTGCGCCCCGAAGCGACGCGCACCATCTCGATGGCCGACTTGATGCACGCGGCCGAGACGGAGAAGAAGAAGAGCCGCGGCAATGCGCAGGACATGCGCGACCGGCTCTTTGCCTAACGACTAAGTTAATTCAATAAGTCAAAGAAGACGACTACATATCACGACCAACAAGCAACTTGTCGCATCGCTCAGTGAATGGTGCAGGATCATATCGAGCCCGCAGCTTCGACCTATGCGAGGTACGCTCGTTCGGCTCTCGACTTCTGTGGCCATGATAAGACTGCCGAGGAGGAAACGACAACGACGACTTGTGTGTGTTCTAGTGCTATGCTATACGACTACGAGACAGCTCACGACGGGTGCGACGCCTTGGCGTACTTGGCCCGCGGTCGCGCGTCGAGGTCGGTGGCCTCGGCGCTGCGCTTGGCCGTCGGCGGCGAAATGGTGGCGGTTGTCGCTGACTGGAAGAGCGCGCGCTTGGCCGCGAGCAGCGGCGTCGTACCGCGCGGCAAAAGCAGCGCATGGCTCTTGCTCGGCGGCGTCGTAAACTGATCGGCGTGCTCGCTGTAGCCCAACGTACTTCGGCTCGTGGCTGCCGTCGCAGTCGTACTCGTCGTCGTGGCCAGCAGCGGACACTGGCGCGGCTCGTCGATCGTGTGTTTGCCGAGGTGGCCGGGCGGCGGGAGGCTATAGCGCCACCACTCGTCGGCGGTGGCTTTCGGCGTCGGCGCCACGTCGGGCTCGTCGACGACGATGCGCAGCTGGCGCGTCTTGCGGCTTTTGGACATTCGGCGGATCCTTTTGTGGGGACACTTGGGTATTTGTGGCGAGTTCCGCGCAGTAACTGCCACTGGAGAGGCGACGCCCTCGACGCGACAAAGTTGGTCGCCTCTTAGTACATATGACGATAGGACTTACTGGAGGAAACAGCAAAGCTTGCTATCTACGTGGGAGGGTAGAGGCGTCGGCTTGCAAGGGTGGTCGTGCGGTGGACGCGGCGGCGCGGTGGGACGACCTTTCTGCGCGCGCCGATCCGCCAAGATCGCGGCAAAGCAAATCTTATCGGCGCCCCATCTTGGCCGTGCTATTACGCACGTTTTATACGCGGTGCCTGGAGCTTGTTGAGCAGCGCAGCGAGCAGCTCTCTCGGCTCATTCCTTGATCTCTCGTCGAAAGATCGTTGGCGCCAAATTATCACGCACTATATTCATTATAACACTATATATATGTTGGAACGTGAGTAGTGTGACACTACCGTTGAGATTCACACATAAGCGACTCTAAATACCGTAATGTGGTATCTACAAGAGACACTCTAACATCCCATACGCGGTCGTATTGAATATTGCAGAGCATTGCAGGTACCGAGGACCAGCGACCGGAAGCAACCCGTTGCCCCCGCCGACGCTTACCCCGATCGTCGTCATGTCCCGCGTGCTCGACCTGGTCAAGGAAGCGCAGCTCGCGGTCGATGCGAATGAGAAGGTCGCCGTGCTGCACCGGCTGAAGGAGGTTGTGCTCGAGCGCAGCCCGCCTCCGGGACTGCAAGAGTACATGGCTGCGATGGACGGTCTTGCCGCCATGGCCAGCGAGCGCAATGTGAACGTCGCGAAGACCATCTGCCAGTTCATCGAAGACGCCATGGACCCTGCACGGAACGCGTCGATCAAGTCGCCGCCCGTGCTCTCCAAGACGCGCTTCACGCTCTTCCAGGCGACGGCCGCGGTTCTCACCATCAACGCCGGTCCATCGGCCGTGCGCAAGGCGCTCAAGCTTCTCGACAAGTACGTACCCGCGACGATCTACTTTGTCTGGACGCAGCCGCTCGACGCGCTCGACGAGTCTGTGTGGCTCCAAATGCTCGATACGATCCAGATCCTGCAACACATCATCGACCAGCTCCAGGACGCCGAGTCGATTCTGCTCGCAGCGCGTGTGCTCGAGACGGTCGCGCTTCACTTTTCGTTTGCCACCGACAGCGTCCATCGCGACCCCGCGCGCTCCAACGTCCAACCGGACGCCGTGCACCTCGCGATGATCCCGGCGTCGCACCGCTTTGTGCGCCCCGAGACGCTCGCCGACCTCGGCCAGCACATTGTGCACGCGCTCTGCGACCGCCTTTCGTCGGCGCCCCGCCACCCGATGCTCTCGTTTGGCCGTCGCGAGTTTGTGAGCTTCATCCACTCGATCAGTCTTCTCGCGTGTCTGCGCACCGACTTTGCACCGATCGTCGTGCCCTGCCTCGTCAACTTTCCATCGGCCATGGACGCAGTCGATGCACGCGTCCAGGACACGCTCCTGCATGCGATCAAGGCCAACTTGATCAAGCTGCTCCGCCTGCCGCTGCCGAGTGACCTCCAGGAAGACATGACCAACACGCTGATTGCGATGGATGCCTCCAAGCGGGCGCTCGAAGCCCTTAGCAAGTCGAAAGAGACGCGGCGCATGTACGTGGCGGCGCCGACCGACGCGTCGCTCAAGAACCTCCGGCGCGACGACGCCAAGCGGCGCCTTCCGTTCGACGCCAACAGCCTCAAGAACAAGCGCGCAAAAGTCGAGGACGTCAAACCGACCGCCATCACGGCCGAGTCGATCGTCAACCTCCCGAATGACCACGTCGTGCGCTTCGTGCTTGGCAACATGGGCAACCTGCCGGCGGTCGCGCCCCTGACCGCGTCGGGCGCCAAGCTCGAGCTCCTCCACACGCCAAGCGCGCTCAAAGATCGCATCACGTCCATGTTGTCGCGGCTGGCGACGCCGTCGTCGGTGCTGGCGCTGGCCATGAACGCCAAGAAGACGGCCGCCGCGCGCCGGGACCCGCGTCTGCGGCGCGACAACGCCAAGACGGAGGCGCCGAGCCTCTTGCCGGCGTTCGATGACAACAGCCTCGAGTCGGTGACCAACATTATGTGTGCGAACGCGCAGACGCTCGTCGAGCCGATCATTTCGGTCACAAAGGACGAGGTTACGCGCGAATACAACGCGATCCGCGTCAACATCAAGCCCGTGAGCGACGAATGGTGCCGGCAAATGGCGCACTTGAGCGTCTCGCGCATGCTCGAGAACGAGTACGGCATCCTCACGAGCGGCCACGAAGGGCTGCGCGAGGCGCTGATCTGCCGCCTCGCGACCAGCCGATGGCTGCTGGAAGAAAACGCGCGCGACGCCAAGTCGATGCACAAGCTCATCGTCGACTTTGTCGGCGAGTCGCTGCACAAGCGGCACATGATCCTCGTCTCGCTCGCTTACCACGAGTACACGCGGTCGCTGTACGACAGCAGCACGCAGAGTGTCGACCACGGCCGGTACCCGCGCTTGCTCGAGCTTATTTGCGCAATGCTCTCGACGCGCATCGACCCCAGCGTCGCTGCCGACAAGAAGCTCTTTTACTCGATCTTGTCGCACTTTCCGGGTCTTACGAAAGACGTGCTCGCGATGCTGGCCAAGCAGCTCGGGGACGCCGCCGACAACCAGCGGCTCATCATGGGGGTCAGCGCGCTCCGCAACTACATTACGGACCGCGCGGCGGGCCAAGAGGCGTGTCTGCACATCCTCCTGCATTTTGCCACGCACGTGGAGGAGGCGACGCGCAACCTCACGATCCGGTGCCTTGCCAACCAGATTTACCCGCTCCCCAAGATGCACGAGATCATTGAAGCGCACGCGATGACACTCATGACGTCGCTCTGCGAAGCATCCGACGACGCAGCCGTGATTGCGGACGATAACGAAGAAGAATGCAAGCACAAGATGGGCGACGACGTCCAGGAGGCGCTCACAACCCGCGTGCCGCTCTCGCCGCGCCGCAAGTACTACTTGGACCGCATCGTGCAGCCAGCGGTCACGGTGGACGACACGCTTTTGGCGTTTTCCAAGGAGCTGCAAAAAGAGCACGACTTTAGCGTCGCGCCCGAGAGCGAAGCCCACGTCCTCCAGCGCATGGAGCTGTTCCTGGCGCTCTGCGCCAAGAAACCCGAGCTCTTTGCTCACTTTGTGTCGACGTATGCGCGCGCGTCGCCGCCCGTGCAGCACGTGCTCGTGACGTCGGTCGATAAGCTCATCAAGCATCTCAAGCAGCGTGAGGGCGACGCGGTCGTGCTCGCCCAGCTGCAGCCGTTCCCAGCGACCGCGCTGGACTTTGTGGGTCATGTGGTGCGGCTGCTGGTGTCGCTCTCGCGCGACCCGTCGACGCTCGTGGAACCTCTTCTCGCGCTTTACAACGACCATGCGACGTACCCCGATGCGGTCGGTCTCTTGATTCCGATTGTGTCGGAAATGACGACCGACGTCTTCTTGCCGCTCTTGCCGCGCTTCTTCCAACTGCCGCCCGCACGGTTGACGGAAACCATGACCAAGCTGCTTGCGCCGATCCCGCTCAAGGTCGATCCGACGGCGCTCCTCCTCGCGCTGCACCACGTGCCCGACGAAGCCGAGCGCCAAAAGCCTGTGCTGAAAGCGATTGGCATGTGCCTCGAGCACCCTGCCGTGTTTACGCCTGACGTGTTCCAGGCCGTGATTACGACGCTCGTGCAAGAGTCGCCGATCCCCAAGTTTACGATGCGCACGATGATCCAAGCCGTCCAGCTGTACTCGAAGCTGCGCAAGCCGATGGCGTCGAGCCTCGAAGCGCTCGTCGTCCGAGAACTCTGGACGATGGACGAGACGCTCTGGAAGGGATTTATGAAGTGCGCTGTTGTTGTCCAGCCGCACTCGTTCCCGGTGCTCCTTCAGCTACCACTGGAGCAAGGCCAAAGCATCCTCGAGATGGACGAAGGCAAGGACCTCCTCGAGCCGTTCAAGGCGTTTTGCGCGAAGGATGATGTGGTGCTGAGCGCCGCATGGCGGACGTACTTGGGTCTCGATGACGTCAAGGACGATGAGGCGGTCAAGGATGAAGTCAAGGACGAACCGCAAGCCGAGATCCAGGACCAAAACCAGAACCAGGACGCCATGGGTGATGTCAAGATGGAAGACGACCAAACCAACAGCGCTTAAATCGTAATATGGTTTTACGCGATTTGAAGGGGTAGGTGTGTGGATCATTTGGACGCGGTTTGCGTTTTGGCGGCGGCGGCGGCGGCTCGCTGGAGCCGCGACACTTCGCGCAGGTCCCGTAGGAGGTTGGTGACGCGCGACGGTTTGGCTTCGTTGCGTGCAATCGTCGCTTGGGCGGACGCCATGATCTTGGCGACCTCTGCCGCGTCCTTGCCGGTCGCAAGCAGCAGCTGGACGGTGCAGTGGTCGACGCAGTAGGGCTGCGACTTGAAGACTGGCGACGAGCACCCAGATATGCCACATGGCGCGTCTTTCACCTTCTTCTTCGTCTCCTGCTCGGGCTCGACGACCTGTTGTTGCGGTGCTTGGTTGGTTTCTAACTTCTCGGCACGCTTGCGCTCGGCAATCATTGCTTTCTCGCGCCGCAACGTCTCGAGATGCTGCTCTTCCAACCTGCGCTGGCGCGCCAAGGCGTCGGCGGCCGCGTCGTTGTCAGCAGCTTTTCGGAGTGCTGCAATCTTGCGCTCGAGTTCCAGAATGGGCGCGGTGGCTTGGATCGGCACGAGCGAGGGCAGTGGCTCGGCTTGGTGCTCGACGCGCTTGCCCTTGGCGTGGTAGCGCTCAAAGCAACCGGGGTTGCCCATCCAGCGCGCGCTACAGTACTTGTCGCCACAGCTCACGCACTTACGATCCGCAGGTTTGCCGCAGTCGGCGCAGAGGTTGTCGCCGTACAGTGCGGCTTTGGCCGCTGCGAGCTGCGTCTCGAGGCAGGCACCGACATGCTTGGACGCGACGCGGCAGACCGTGCATACGTGCTTGCTGCAGTGGCGACAGACCGCGTCCGTCGCGCGCGCGTTGCAGGCGACGCAGTGCCCGGCGCCTTCGTAGAGCGGGTGCGGAATCGGCTCCATCGCATGGCTCGCCTTGTTGCCGCGGGCGTGCGTGCGGTCGGCGCAGTCCATGCACAGCGCGTCTTGGCACACGAGGCAGCGCTTGATCGCGACGCGCTCTTCGCACTCGATGCAGACCTGCGCTTGTGCCGGGTATGTCTCGATGGTGTGGCGGGCGCGGGAGCCCTTGGCGTGGACGCGGATGCAGCACTTGTCGCAGTAGTCTTCCTTGCAGTCGAGGCACCGGTGGCTGCTATAGCGCGTGCACTCGACGCAGCGCAGCGGTGCCGCGTGAATGTGGTTGAGCGGCTGGTACGTGTGCCACGACAGCGCTGGTGGGTGGCCAATGCAAAAGCACGCAAAGCAGTAGTAGACATAGTCGCCACTCGACGTGCAGCACACGTCGCAGACGCGGCTCGCGCGCTCATTCTTGCACAGCGAACAGACCACGTTGCTCTCGAACGACATGGCCTCGGGCGCTTGGTTGCTCGATGCGAGCCACGGCCAGCTCAAAATGCGCCTCTTAGACACACGGTCGACGACAAGTGGCCGGAACGGCAGTGCGCGGCCGTACTCGTCGATGGGCGGCCGGCTCAGGCGCTCCTGCGTCGGCGTGTAGACGTAAAAACTGAGCTGACTCGCCTCCACGTAGTGTTCTTCGTACTCGGAGGCTTGCTCGGCGAGGAGCCAAGTTCGGGTGCTACGAGCTACCATGCAGCGGTACGCGAGCTGGAGCACAGTGGCGCAGCGATGGCGGTAGGCGACGAGCGACGTGTACCACCGGTGCAGTCGGAGCATGCGAAAGAGGCTCTGGGCGAGGATCGTGGCGCGGATGTACTGCAGACAAAACTCAAGGCCGCCGACGCGAAGATACAAGGCGGCTTGTCCGACCGAGAGCTTCCGGGCGGCCGCAATGTTGTGCTCCCAGAGCCCGCGCGTCTTGGGTATCACGGCAAGCACCTAACACCGTCGCAATGTCAACACGGACGCTGGAAGCGAGATGCAACGACCTTTGTGAGCTGGGACGGAGTGAGCGGCACGGCACTGAGGGCGAGCTTGGGGTCGTGGGCGACGCCAATGATGCAGTGCGAGATGGCGATCGCATCGAGGAGACAGCGTGCGAGGTGCTTCAGTTGCATGTTGGCGGCAATGACGGCGCAGCGCTTGAGCGCGCTTTGGTACAGTTTGTAGAGCTGCACTTCTTTCTCTTCGGTCGTCGACTGCGGTGGAACGAGCTCGACGCTCAAGTTCTCAGTGGCTTGCTGCGGCCGGCCGCTGTAGAGGCGAATGTACATCTCGAGCTGCTTGGTCGAGACGGGCACGGGCAGCTCTCGCAACGCGCGCACGAGGCTCAGGACGCGGCCTTGCTGGCCCGTAAAGTGCGACAAGAGACTCGACTGCAACACCTTCTCAGACGCAATGCAGAGAAACCCGTGCTTCTCTGGCACCGGGGGCATGCGGGGCGTGAGCGGGTACATTCGGGTCGAGCAGGGCGGTCTCGGTCGCGGCGCCGCTTTTAAAATCGCCTTGTCCTCCTTGGTCCACGCCACGTTGTAGAGCGACAGCAGCTTGCTTTCGGGTATCGACCAGAACGCCTCGATTGAGAGTTTGGCTTTGACGAACGACGCCGCGTACTTGGCTAGCCCGAGCCGATGCAAGTAAACGCTCAGCGACATGCCCTCAAGGTCGAACCCGACGTGCGCGATGGCCGCGCCGGCCGCAATTGTCGCGTGCACGTGCTCGACAAACGAAAAGCTGTAGAGCAAAGTCAGGAACGCTTTCCGGCCGAGGAACATGTGGTGCGCCGCCTGGATCGCACGCGCTGCGTACTCTTGCTCAAAGACGTACTCGGGGGCGTCCCACGAGACTGCGCCGGACGCTGCATTGTAGTAGTACGTCCGACTGTTGGGCTCGTCGACCGTGCGCCACCCAAACGGCATCTCGACTTTGGTGTACGCGAGCGTCAGCGAAGTGTGCCGGTTTGGCGCCAGCGCCGATGCGAGGCCGTCGTACGCCAACAACATGGACACGAGCGCGGACGCGTGGTGGCTTGGAGGCCGCGCGTACGGCGGCAAGAGCAGCGCCGCCTTGGCCTCCCGAAGGACACTGCGATGGTACGCAGATGCAAACACAATGTAGTGGGCTTCGACAAGAGGCGATATGGACGGTACGCTCGGCATGGCCTTGCGCCGGGACCGCGGCTCCATCGCATTGGTCCACTGCAGCGTGAGCGGGTTGCGCGTCGCATGTGGCTGAATACGCAGCGTCACGTAGCGCTGCCGGTCCATCCAAAGCGGATCCCACAGCGCCCGCTCGCGTTCTTTCTTGGCGGCGCGGAGCTGTGTGCGGAGGTAGCTCTGGCGCCGACATCGCCCAAGGAACCGCCGGCTCGCGCGCTGGAGCTTCAAGCAGGCCGCGTGGTGTGAAATCGCGTAGCTGGGTCGTTCCCAGACCATACTGCCCGTTGGCGTGTGGACGTAGTACCAGACTTGAAACTGGTCGTGCCAGTCGGCTTCGTACCCAAACTGGAGTGTGCGACTCAGTTCGTCGAGAAGCGCAGCGTGGGCCGCGGCGGCCTGACGCTCGGCAATGACCTTTTGCATCGCTCTGACATCGTCCTCCCAGACGCGGCGCACAGTGCTGCTTTGCCGGTCGGCGTCGTACGATGCTTGGAGGTGCGTGCGCAAGTGCGCGAGTCGGAGGTTCTTGAGCAGCTGGCGACCTTGCCGCGTGCGCCAGAGGCGCTGGACCATCTTGGCGCTCGCGTCCATCTCGAGAAGGCGCGTCATGCACTGCCGCCACACCATTGGACGGTGCGGTAGCTTGGTCATATGCGCTGCATGCGTCGATTCGAGCAAAGCCGCTGGGATCGGAAGCGACGACGATGCGTGGGCGTCGGCCATGTCAACGACCGACACAGCGAGCAGCTCGGCCATGCGCTCGACTGCAAACTGCAGGATGTCGCAGCAGGCTTGCAGCCGGGTGGTCTCAGCCTTGCCGATCTCCGCGTCGAGCTTGGAGTAGAGGAGGTTGGGCGTATGGAGCTTGACGTCCGAGATCGTCGTGTACATACCGAAAAACATCACCAGCTGGCACGTGGTCACGGCCTTGGCGCGCAGCGACTCGATGAACGAGAGCGCGCGGTACTCGTTGTTGGGGAAGTAGTCCAAGAAGAGACGTTTGATGTGCTACACAATGTCGTCAGAACCAAACGTCGCATCGCAGCTCAGTAGACACCTCGGGCGACTCGATGTAGAGGCAGCTGCGCTGCACAAAGATCGCCTTGACCTCGCGCTCTTCCATGCGCTTGAGCGCCTTCTTGGCGACCTCCCATGCCTCTTTGGCTGCCACGACGCTCGGCGCCCGCCGGTCGCGCTCGCTGTCCAACGTTTCAAGGAGCTCGGTCGCGGCGCGCAGCTGCTGAGCAGTCACCTCGAGCCGGTGACGCAGCGCACGTGGCGGGTGTTTGAAGTCCTGAGCTTCGAGCGTCGCCGCGTTGTGCCGCTCGGTGGCTGTCATCAGAATGCCTTTTTGGTGCGCCGCCCGGGCGACTGCGGTCGTATACGGTGCGTCGAGACGGCGAAAGGTGGCGCTGAGCTCGGCCACGAGGCGCCGCTGGTCGCGCACGTCCTCGAGCCACGTGCGATAATGCAACGCCGACAGCAGCGTCTGCCGGAGGTCCTTGTCGCGCACCAACGTCATCATCTGCGACTCGGAAAGCTTGCGCAGCCCTGCAACACTCTTGCACCTACACCCACGTGAGACATCGCATATCGCCTTGACGAACCATGTACCCGAGCCCCACTAGGTCGTCGTACAAGCTCTCGAGGCCCAGTCGGCGCAGCCAACCCGGTAAACCGAGGCTCACCATCGGGTCAAACGGGTCAAAATGCCGCAGCGACGCCTCGACCGCGTGCGAGACGATCGCCATCAGATGCGTAAACGACTTGTACGGGTTCGCCACGCGCCGTCGCTGGATCGTTAGCAAGCGCGCTGCAAAACGCTTTTGCGCGTTCTGGCGCCACACCCGCTGCAGTCGCGTCGCCATGCGCTGTCGCAGCGCGTCACGCGTCCAGCGCATGACGAGGGCGTGGCGACAGCGACAGCCGCGCCAGCACCTATTCCTTCTCGCTCAGCTGCGATCGACGAGGTCAGCACGTTGTACCGCTGCAGTGTCGTCGCATGCCGACTGCGCGTGTGCATCACACTACGCGTCACATTCTCCATGGCCTACGCGTGATCCGATGCAATGGTATGTCATAATGCGTCATCAAGTACCTGCACCAGCACGCGCTGCATGAAGGCACTCGCAGCGCAATATCGCCGGGCGCGGTGGAGTCCAGCGACGTATCGCCGGGCCTGCCACCCGCGCGCAATGCGCTGAATCGCGATCGCAGCGCGCGTCTTCTTGACAAACGCCCGCGTCCACGCACCATGCACCAGCGCCTGTATCGTGGTGGCAGCAACATCGCGCACCTCGCGCAGCGCTCGGGCGCCATGACACAGCATTCGCTGCTTGAAGGTTTGGAGATGCCGAAGCATGCGGCCGGGCACCGCTTTGCGCCACCAGTACTGCAGCCGCGTCGCAGCGCGCATGCGCCGAGCGTGGTGGACGCGGAACCACCACTTGAGGCGGCGGTGCATCACCCGCTCGAAATGGCGCTGCGTGCGTGCCCAGCGCGCCTTGTAGCACCGATAGGCGCACTGAATTCGAGTCGCGAGAGCGAGGCGTTGACGCCGCACGAATCCTTTCAGATAGCGCTGGAGCGTCCGCGCGTGCTGGTGCCGGGCCAGTCGATGCAATGTCGCCGCCTCGTGGCGCTCGTCCACGTCCTTTTCGCGCAGACAGCCGAGGAGGAAGAACGTCGTGTACTCGTTGTTGCGCCGGTACCACGCCTTTTGGATCAAGAGTGCCGCCGAGACGCGCCGCGCCAGGTACATTCGGACGGCCCGCGCGCCGCGTCGCCCGAGATGCCCGCGCACCATGCGCTGCAGCAGCATCGTCGCCTGCCAGCGCGCTTCGACGAACCGCCGCTCGACAAGCACGACCGTGCGGACGAATTTCCGCCCGATGCGGCCGCGCCAGCTGCGCTGCACTAGGAAGGCTGCCGAGCGCAGCCGCACAAAGTGGCTGCGGCAGAGGTACCGGCGGATAGCAGCTTGCATGCGCTGGATCTGACGGCGCACTTTGATGTAGGCAAACACCGCGATGCGTTTTCGCGCCAGCGCCTGAATACGAATGGCCGCGCGGCGCTGTCGCTGCATGAACTTGCGAAAGCGGCGCCCGCGGTACGGCGCCTGGACTGCAATCGCCGCGGCCCAGAGCGCTCGGCGCTCGAGCCGAATCCGCAGCGGAATACCAAACGGAAGATGCGCACGCGGGGGCGCGAGGTACATGTCACGCAAGGCGCCGTTGATCAGACCGTCGTCGTGGAGCTTGTAGACGCGCTGGAGAGCAAAGTACCGGCGGACGCAGGGCTGGATGCAGCGGGCGGCGACGTCGCGGGCCATGTACAGGTCGGCCCGCGTTGTCTGGACCCACTTGACGTAGCCTTTGTGCAGAAAGGCCTTGACCATGAGCGCCATGGCGAGGCGCATGCGCTTGAGCGCGGCTTGCCGCACAAAGGCGCCCATGCGGTCGTGGTACCGCGCGCGCTCGACAAGGCCTTTCCACTGCACATACGCGACGCGCTGCTGGTTGAGCTCAAACTCTTCGAGCCAGAGCGCCATTGCGTGCTGGAGTCGGTCACGGCAGTAGCCGACGCCGCCCGGCAGCTCAAAGAGAAACTTGAGCGGGAGTTTGTTCCGCATCGAGTGGATGCGGCGGTCCATTCGGACGCGCAGTGCGGCTTCTTGGTCACGCAAGGTGTGCAGCGCGGTGCTAAAGCCGCGCATAAGCGTCGAATGCTCGGCGCTTGCGAGCGCATCGACCGCGGCCGTCGACGTCGATTCGATGGGACACGAGAGGATCGCGAGGAGGCGCCGGCGCTTGTACTCGGCACTCGAAATGTCGAGCGACGCGTCGTACTCGTCGTCGTTGGCAGCGTCGGTGGGGCGGACCACGAGCCGCCGCTTGGGCGCAGGGACATAGATCAAACTCTGGAGTTCCGGGTGCGGTGCAAAGCTCGAGTCTACCATCGCGTTACTGCATGCAAAGAGGAGGGAGTGTACCGAGAATGACTGGGTGGACGTCGCCCCACGGCGTCGGCCGCAGTCGACTACACAGTGCGATGGATGAGACGTTGTCGGCACCTGCCAAGCTACCTCGCGGCCGACCGGCGAACGCTCTGGCGGCTGAACGGGAGACTCATCGGCATCTCGTTCGTCGCCAGCATCGCCAGCATCTGATCGGGCGGGAGCAGGAACGGCCGGCGATCGGTCGGCAGCGACGCTTCGTAGAGCGACGAGGGCAATATGAGGTTGGGTGTCACAGCGAGCGCGGTCGTGAGCTTGGAGCCTTTGACAGCGCGGGTCGGCTTGCGGATGGTGCGCGGCCGCATGGTCGGGGTCGCAGCAGGCGTCAACGTTGCGGCATTAGACAGCGGACGCTGGAACGGATAGTAGACTTGGGGCACGCCGTAGCCCGCAAACCGCTTCTCGTACTCGTACACGGGGAGATCGTCGCCGCTTGCTGTAAGTCCCATGATGTCGCCTTCGTTGCCAAACAAGACGGATCTACGCTGCGCATGAGACACATGGAAGGGGTAGAGGGAGGGATACCGCATCGGCGTGTGCCGGCTGGGTGGCTTGGACCGCGACGCGACGGTGCGGGGCCGTCGGGCAGCCGCCGCCGTCGTCGGTTTGCGGTCTTCTTGTTGGTTCGTTGACGCCACGGGGCTGGTCGGTCGTACATCGGTTGTCATCTTGCGCTTCCGTAGCTTGACGGGCGCGGCAAGCACGAGCAGCTCCGAGTGGAGCGACACGAGATGGCCGAGCCCGGTGCTAGTAGTCGGGTACGGGGCTAGAGAGCAAGGAGGGCGAGGAGAGAGCGTGAGGAAGATATTACCTTCCATGAGCATCGAGATGACGAGACAGCAGTTGACATGGATCTTGCGCGTGTCCATGGACGACGCCTTCTTGGTATGGCGGCAGTGGTTGACGATCTGCAGGAGCGCGTCGACCAAGACGTCCGAGTCCAGCTTGAGCTGCCGCTTGAGGCTCGCGTCGCGCTCCATGAGCAGCCCCAGCGTCCGCGCTGCCATGGCTAGTCCAGAGGATGTGGGAGGCGCTCGCGAGACCATACAGTACCGCGCGTTAGCATCGGGTTGGCTTGGTTGCGCAGGATCCCGATCACGTCGTTGACATACGACGGACGGCCTTGCAAGACCGCGTCGTCGACGTCCACGCGTTGCTGCTTGGCGCAGCCCGCGATCCACGCCACGTCCTCGTCCGGCGACGGCTGCTCCCTGGGCGTCGACCGCTTTCGCCCCGCCATCGCAAAGATACCGTGCCCTTTCAAGCAGGCTAAACGCACGCCCTCTACGGTGGCAACTAGCAAACAACCGGACAAGATGAGGTCGATAATACGGCGTTCTACGACGTCCACCACGGAGAAAAGCCTCTCTACATAGTATTCATGCCCCAAAGACGAAGCGAGATCGCACGGCGTCGTCGGCAGTGGAAGCGCGGCGCTTCAAGTTGCGTGTGTTCAGTCTCATGTTGAGTGTTTAGAACTATAAAATCATATTTGGTATCGATGATATATGTGTTTAAAACACTGCGTTTTTCGATTGACACAAGATTTGGCAAAGCAAACATGCTCGCCGAACTCGAGCAGCGCGCTCAGACGTGGAAGGTGCAGTGGGCCTCCGAGATCCTCCCCGGTCTCTGGCTCGGCAGCGGCAACGCAGCCTCCAAGCTCGAGACACTGCAGCGCCATCGCATCACCCATATACTCAACGTCGCGGACGACGTGCCCAACTTCCATCCGAGCGCGTTCACATACGGCAACCTCGGCGTCACAGACTTTGGTCAGGACGTTGGCATCCGTCGCGTCTTCCCGACAGCATTCGCTTTCCTCGACGACGCCTTGGCGCGAGACGACGGACGCGTCTTGGTGCACTGCGCAGCGGGGGCAAATCGGTCTGCCACCGTCGTCCTTGCCTACCTCATGCACGCCAAGAAGATGGCGCTGGCCGATGCGTGGGCCCATGTACGCAGCCGCCGCCGGGGCATCTGCCCGCTCCGAGACAACCGCAAGGAGCTCATGGCGTTTGAGCTCGAGCTATTCGGATGCTACTCGTTCCAGTCGCTCGACGCCTTTCTTGAACTGCGGTGACTTGAGCGTTATCTGGCGAAGGCATTTGTCACCCATTCTTGCTTCTTGGACTCTCCAGCGTCAGTACGAGCCTGTGGACGAGCTCGGGCATCATCTTGACGGATCATAAGATCGTACATTAGAACTTGGAATAAATATTGGCGCCTGAAGCGACACTCAGGAAGAAAAGAGCGACGGGCCCTCAAAGCTAAAGCCGTGGAAGCGGTCAAAGGAGTGATGCGTTGCTTGGTTGTCATCGTCGTCTTCGTGCTCCCACGGGTCCACGGGCACGCTCGTAAACTCATTTTCAAAGTTGCGCGCTTCGTCAATGCACGCGGGGTCCTCGCACGGGTCGAGCGGCGCCGTGAGCTCGCCGTAGCTAAGCGCAATCCAGTCGATGGTTGCAAAGAATGGATGGCTCTTGATGTCGTGTGCGCCGTGGCCCGACCCAAGGCGCTGGCTCGGGTCGGCCACGAGCAGGTTCCGGATCAGGTGACGCGCCGACGGCGACACGTACGACGGGAACGCAAGAGGTGCGGCGCGGATCGACGGCAGCTGCTCGAAGGTCGGCGGCTCGTCCGTGTACCACGGCGGGAGGCCCGTGAGCATCTCGTAGAGGACGATGCCGAGAGCGAACCAGTCGACAGCCGTGCCGTACCCGCTGCGGTTGTTGCCTTTCCAGACCTCGGGCGCGAGGTACTCGAAGCTGCCACACATGGTCTTGGTGCCCCGGGTCGCCTCAAGGATGCCAAACTTGGCGAGGCCAAAGTCGACGAGCTTGACGTGGCCGTCTGCGCTGAGCAAGAGGTTCTCGGGCTTGAGGTCGCGGTACGCAATGCCGTGGCGGTGGAGGTGTTCGAGCGCCAAGACGATCTCGGCAGCGTAGAACATGGCGATCGGCTGGACGAAGCGGCCAAACGGCGACGCTTGGATCTGAGTCGCGAGCTCACCACCGGGGCAGTACTCCATGACGAGGAAGAGACTGGTTTGGGACTGGAACGCATAGTGCAGATGCACAAGGCCCATGTGCGCGGTGCCGCCGAGCACATCCCGCTCGGACCAGATCTGGTCGGCGCTTACGCCGGCTTTCGACACGATCTTCATGGCATAGAGGCTGCCCGTCGCCTTCTTGCGCACGAGGAGGACCTTGCCCATGGAGCCAGCGCCAATGAGCTTGATAGTTTCAAAGTCGTGGACGCTCACGTCGTTGCTGCCATGCACGCACGACGACGCGGTTGACGTGGTCGAGAGCGTACTCGGCGACCGCGGCGCATGGCGGACCACATGCACGACGTCGTCTTCGCTCTCGAGCGCGACCTTCTCGACGACCCGGCGCTTGGTGCCATCGCTCGTGAAGACGCTCTGCAGCTCCATGACCTGCCTCCGCCGACCCGGCGACGATGCGGTCGTGCCCATGGTTGCCGGCAATGAATTGCAGAATGATCGCAATCAACCACGGGACAAGCACGAGCGTTTTGATTGGCCCGCGGGCCCCGGACCGAAAAACACGCCGGGCGACATCCGGATAAAAACGCAAGATCGGCATGCGATTGGCTGCAATTCGGTGTGACAACGGGCGCGTGTCGTGGGTTGTCGGCGTGTACGGCGAATGTACGGCGAATGTACGGGACCCGGCGGTGGAAGATCCAACGACCACCAGCGAGTCGTCTTCTTGGAACGCTTGAGAAGATGGCGCGGGCCATCTGGGGGTATACGCCACGGCAGCGACAAGGACCATTGAATTTGTTGTCTCTGACGACTGCGCGCGATTGTGAGGAAGACGGTCTTTCCCGTCGAAGTCGTTGGTTGTGCGATGTACGAGAAGTACAGTGTAGTAGCCGTGGGAGCGACAGGACACACATCCACAATACTGGTTGCCGACCTAGCATTCTCAAGAAGAAGATGCCGCTCCTTGAAAGGTTGCTTCCGTTCAGGTAGTTGAGCGCAGCATCGTCCGTGTCTGCGGACAGAGCTGTTGCTGGAGCTGTTGGTTGTCTGCGAAAAACCCTCGACGTTCGAAATTGCTCGCGATCGTCGCGTCGCGAGGCCAGAGCTTTGCATGGGGCTGCTGCCCAATGTACTGGAGCTCACAACGAAGCTTTGTACGGGTTTACTGTAGACACACCGATCCTTGACAACGACCGAGTGCATCATTCCTTCCGTGTCTGTCATTGAGGAGTTGCTTCCGCGGATTGTTCCACGACGCTTCAAGTCTCATTCCAAACCGGGAGGCCATAATAACCGGTAAGAAAACACGAACCGGTTTTGAGGAGCATTGCCGGTTGGCTTTGCCGGTTGGGTGGACCGTGGCTTTAAAATGAGAAACGCCGTCAAGTGGACAGGACAAGGACAGGACACGCGGCGTGGATATCAAGATTGTATTAGCTTCTTCCAGTCGAAGTGCAAGAAGATAGGGTTGCCCTTGACTTTTGCGGCTCCACTCGACCTACGACTCGGGCGCACTTCCGTACAGGCACTGTAGCGCCGATGCGCAAGCGCGTTTGTTGACGCGAACACTCAAGGATAGCGGCGGTCGTGCGTCGCGTCCCGTTACCGATGGCTGCGCTCTGTCGGAGCAAACCCATTTCAACGAGGCCACGCTGTCATGGGTGTCCTTCAAGATGGCCTTTCTGGTTCTTGGCGTGTGCTTTCCACGTTGCATCAACGGTCGTATGGTTCTATATGGTCTACATTCCCATGTTTTATTTTATGCTGATCAAACAAATTATATCATTTGCATATATGGATGTCATCACGTCTCAGAACGTGATACATGTCCATATATCCTTTTGGCGTGGACGCAACGTCGCCTCCCAAGCGCGAAGAGCCACTTCAACTTCCAACGTCCACTTTGCACAGACGGGGTGCGTCTGAGCCCAAACCCGCGTCCCACGCGACGCGCACTGCGCTTGACAATCGACTGCATTGACCAACTAGCACGGCCATGTTCAAGTCGCTCTTTGCCTTTGCGACGCTGGCGCTCATTGGCAGCATCGCCAACATCTCGTTCACGTCGGTTGGCGTCAGCGCCGGCAACTACGGCCACCACCGCGGCGTCAACCTCGGCGGCTGGCTCGTCCTCGAGCGCTGGATCACGCCCGACTCGCCGATTTACACCGAGTCGGGACTTACCGGCGACGTTGTCGAGCATGGCCAGTACCAGATCATGAAGGCGCTCGGCCACGCCCGCGGCGACCCGCTCATGGAGCGCCACTGGGCGACCTTCTACACCGAAGCCGACTTTCGCGACATCAAGGCTGCCGGTCTCGACATGGTGCGCATCCCGGTCGGCTACTGGCTCTTGAACGACGCGCCGGCGACCAAGGCTCGGCGCTCGGTGGCCGGCAACACCACCGACGACGCGTCCGTGCTCGCGCCGGGCTCGCTTGCGTATCTGGACAAGGCGTTCCGCTGGGCACGCAAGTACCAACTCAAGGTACTCGTCGGCGTCCATGCTGCGATGGGGTCCCAGAACGGCGAGCAGCACAGCGCGGCGTCGACAATCCGCAAGATCCAGTGGTTTGACAAGGCGGGCAACATTGACAACACGCTCGACCTCGTCGAGTTCCTCGTGGACCGGTACCAGTACCACGCGGCGTTCCTCGGCATCGGGCTTCTCAACGAGCCGCAGCACGGCAACGACCCGACCAGGTTTGCGCAGCTCAAGCAGTACTACAAGGACGCACACCGCATCATCCGCCGCGAGCTCGGCTCGGACTGCATCATTACGTTCTCGACTGCGTTCAACGAGAAGCCCGAGTTTGACGCCGAGTGGCGCGTCTTCCTCAAGCACGACCCGAACGTGTGGGCCGAGGTGCACAAGTACTACATCTGGGGCTTTGAGGGCCAGAACTTCGACAAGATCAAGGCGTACGTCAAGGACCACGAGGCCAAGTGGATCAAGGAGTGGACGGGCGCGCCGCTCTTCTTTGGCGAGTGGTCGATCGCCAACCACGAAGACACGTTTGTGCTCAATGACGCGCAAAAGACGCAGTACGCCAACCTCGTCACGAATGTCTTCAGACCCGCGCACTGGACGTACTGGACGTGGAAGTTCTGGGCCGACCCCAACTCGTACGTCGCTTGGAACATGAAGACGCTCTTTCAGCGCAAGATCATGACCAGCGCCATGCTCGGCAACTAACATTTGTGATTTTCGTCAGAGAATACGTATTTGTCGCGTTGATTCCTTCTCGTTCTTGTCGTTGTTGATAGTATTAATGTTACATCGATAAGGCGTTCGTTCGCTGGTGGTGCACGCACCCTGGACTCGGCTCGGGCGCGCTGCGCTTATTCGCCGCATGCTCCTTGATGTGATTGCGGATGGTTACGAGCCTACGTAAGCATGAGCATCTGCATAGATAGAGAACGCGTCGGACTTGCTGGAAAAGGCGCCGGCCGTCGTCGGTTGAACGCCTTGACCCGCTGGGTAAGCAGGCGCCACTTGTCGAAGAGCAGATGTCGCGCACGACCTTGACGACGGCAATAATGTTGCCTAACATGCGGTCTTCGGCGTACGCGAGCTGATCGCGCTCCGAGTTGAGCACTTGGGCGAGCGACGACGAGATAAACTTCTGCATAAAGACGGCTTCCTCGACCTGCTGCTCATTCGTCTTGGTCGTCGGGCGGTCCTCGACCTGGACTTGGATCATATCGAGCATCGCATCGACCTGCTCGTCGTTGAACTGTCGGGGGCTTGTCACAAACTCAAAGAGCTGCGACTCGGAGAGTCGTCCTTGAGACGCGGCGCCGCCCACTCGTCAATACCAATGAACGTCATGAGGAGCACGTTCAACCGTAGCAGGATCGGGTCCGGGCAGTGGATACCGGCGTCCGTGAGGCGCTTCAAGTCGCGCATCTCCTTCTCCGCCCAAAGTTTGACCATCTTGCGCGGAGTCGACTTGCAGTAGCCGTGGCGGAAGCGGAACTCACCGGAGACGTACTTGTCGCCTGAAGACGAGGATGACCGTCTTGTAGACCTTGATCGCGCCTTCGCCGCCGGCGCCGAGGCGTGCGTGGTACACATTAGCCTCCTTGCCCGTCGAGAGACAGCCGTTGATCTCGGTCACGACGCCTTGGTTGAGCATGCGCGGGGCGGCAGCATCATGACATTTTTAAAATCCGACGATTCGCGCGATGCCATTGGCTTGAATCGTATCCAAGGCGTGCTGTGATTTGTCCAATTTAATGAATGAAAACCAATCAAAGCCTCGGGTGCCTGGCGTTCACAGGCCAAGAGGGTTCCCCAGTGAGGGTTCCCTCCAGCAAGTGAACGATAAACCCGTGAAAACGAATATTTGTACCTTTGAGAATGTATAACTCATCGGTTGCTGTTCACTTCCAAGTTTGCCATCTTCACAGTCAAGCCAAGCCAAGCACATCGTCGGCCCGACGCGTGTATCATTCACGACCTCCGCGACTACAGCTACTAGTATGGTACGTCCTCCTTCTACCTATTTATCTCTAGACACTTATACGACTGCTGTAGTTGCTGCTGCTTGGTGCTGCGACGATCGATATTCCTTGCGAATGTATGGGCTTCGAGCAGCGACGCGCTCGAGCGTCGAGCGCTCTATATTTAGATGTCAATGGATCTGTGGAAATATCTTGGAGTTTTTATGTGAATCGTTGCACCTGGTCATTCCAGAATTTGCCGCCATACGCCAAGCAGCCTCATGCAGCAATCCGCCGGCCTGCCCCCGACGACGACGCGTTACGGGGCCTCAACCTCGATCAAGCCCTGCCAGCGCATGGGGCACTGCTCATCTGGCCATGGGATCGACGTACCCCGCGCCTGCGGCCGAAGGCGATGGACCTCGCCTGTCGGACAAGGACGCTCTGTTCGATCGACTGCAAACGAAGTTCAGGGAGAACTACATCATGGTCTTCCCGGTGCAGAAAAGTATGCTCCCTTCTCTCCACTATTACATCATGTTCTACCCTCCTGCCCTAGTCGTGACAATCGTCGACAGCATGCACGTCGGACAGGACGGGTATCGTTGGTTCGACCCGGCAACTCCTCGACCAGCGAGAGTCTCGGCCGAGGACCTTCGTGACGTGCAACGCATTCTAGAAGATCAGTGCTCGGCGCACGACTGGGCCATTCTGGTCGACCTCGTCCAGGAGTGCAAAGCGACGGCCGCCACGAAGGAATACGCCGTGGTTATGGCCTTCCACAACAAGTACGACACCACCTCCAATGCATGCACCGAAGGCTCGCGCTCGCGTAGGCTCGTGACCATCCGGAAGCACATCAAGGACCATGTGGCGAGAAACAAACCTCAGCCGTGCGACGGCCAAGCGGCGCAGAAGCAGAGCGCACCTGCGTCAAGTCCAGCGTACGCGCATTTGCATCACGGTCGAATGGATCCCTCAGGTGGTATAGCGACGGCATGCCGACGGGCCCACCAACGCCGACGGAGAAGAGTGCCAAAAAGGCCACCCGCCACGCCAAGGGGTTGTTGACAAGCGAAGCGGAAGAAATCATGAGCGACATGCTCGCCTACGCCAACACCAAGGATGACGAGATTGCAGAACTTAAACAAGCGCTCGAGACGGCCCAGGCAGAGAACGTGCAGCTCAAGTCGAAGCTCGAGACGTCCCATCAGGAGCGGGTCAAAGTCAGCCGTCGCTTGCAAGAGCTGGTTGATGTCTGCCAGCTTGGCGACGACGTCATGAACCTTGGCGTGTCCATGAGCTTTATCTAGTCGTGTCGAAGAAGACATAACAAGTTTAACGTTTATTGTCTCTTTGTCGAGGGTTCTTCTTTCCAATGCTGGCACTTGATGATCTCAATCGACACACTCAACAAGTAGGAATCAATCAACGCGACAAATACGTATGCTCTGACGAAAATCACAAATGTTAGTTGCCGAGCATGGCGCTGGTCATGATCTTGCGCTGAAAGAGCGTCTTCATGTTCCAAGCGACGTACGAGTTGGGGTCGGCCCAGAACTTCCACGTCCAGTACGTCCAGTGCGCGGGTCTGAAGACATTCGTGACGAGGTTGGCGTACTGCGTCTTTTGCGCGTCATTGAGCACAAACGTGTCTTCGTGGTTGGCGATCGACCACTCGCCAAAGAAGAGCGGCGCGCCCGTCCACTCCTTGATCCACTTGGCCTCGTGGTCCTTGACGTACGCCTTGATCTGGTCGAAATTCTGACCCTCAAAGCCCCAGATGTAGTACTTGTGCACCTCGGCCCACACGTTCGGGTCGTGCTTGAGGAAGACGCGCCACTCGGCGTCAAACTCGGGCTTCTCGTTGAACGCAGTCGAGAACGTAATGATGCAGTCCGAGCCGAGCTCGCGGCGGATGATGCGGTGTGCGTCCTTGTAGTACTGCTTGAGCTGCGCAAACCTGGTCGGGTCGTTGCCGTGCTGCGGCTCGTTGAGAAGCCCGATGCCGAGGAACGCCGCGTGGTACTGGTACCGGTCCACGAGAAACTCGACGAGGTCGAGCGTGTTGTCAATGTTGCCCGCCTTGCCAAACCACTGGATCTTGCGGATCGTCGACGCCGCGCTGTGCTGCTCGCCGTTCTGGGACCCCATCGCAGCATGGACGCCGACGAGTACCTTGAGTTGGTACTTGCGTGCCCAGCGGAACGCCTTGTCCAGATACGCAAGCGAGCCCGGCGCGAGCACGGACGCGTCGTCGGTGGTGTTGCCGGCCACCGAGCGCCGAGCCTTGGTCGCCGGCGCGTCGTTCAAGAGCCAGTAGCCGACCGGGATGCGCACCATGTCGAGACCGGCAGCCTTGATGTCGCGAAAGTCGGCTTCGGTGTAGAAGGTCGCCCAGTGGCGCTCCATGAGCGGGTCGCCGCGGGCGTGGCCGAGCGCCTTCATGATCTGGAACTGGCCATGCTCGACAACGTCGCCGGTAAGTCCCGACTCGGTGTAAATCGGCGAGTCGGGCGTGATCCAGCGCTCGAGGACGAGCCAGCCGCCGAGGTTGACGCCACGCTGCGTCATTAGCAAAACGACCACCAGCAAGCACGGCGCGCTGGTGGCAAGTTGCTCGTATCGGAATATCGCAGCTTGCCACGCTATTCCGGAGGGCATCCGGATGCTACTTTGCACATACACTGTACTGTGGTGTTTGACGTGAAATAGAGTGAGCGTTGATGTTGAACCTGGATGGTTGTTGCGGTATCTGCACTAGTGTGCGGCAGGATCGAGCGAGGACAGCACCGTGCGTTGCACAATACATTTGATGCAGACCGTTTACTTTCGTTGTCTTTCGTGTCGAAGCCTAGCACAGTCGTCGGGCTCACCAGCGATCGCTTGTAAAATTAGATATACACTATTTAATGTATCTCGTTACTATTTGCTCCGGACAGTTGAAGGCGGCGATGGCCGACGCAGGTGGGCCGTGGCGGCTCATGTCGTCGCTGCGGAAGCGCAAGTTCTTTGAAGAAGCCAACAAGCTGTACCCGCTGCGTCCACCGGCCGGCGAGCCCAAGACGGACCTGTTTGACTTTTTGCTGGCCACCATGGGGCGGCCCCACAACGACCCAAGCTTCGGTTGCATGCTTGGCCCATGTGACGACTTTGTCGCCGAGACACGCCCCGAGACAGAGGCCGCACCTCGTCCAGCGGTAGTACACGACTTGGACTTGGTGCCAGAGACGCGCTGCTTTGACGAGCCGGCGGCGGTCGTCGCCGCCGATAGCATCGTGCCCGAGACGCGCTCCGAGGGCGGGCGCCACGACGATGACGAGATTGTACCCGAGACGGTGGACATCGCGCCGACCACACGTGAAAGCATCGGTGGCGCTGACGCGCTACACGAGTCAATCTCATCGTCGTCGTCGTACGCCGCGTCCGTGACCTTTGGCGGCCCCAACGACATGAGCTTGAACTCGAGCTCGCATAGCTGTGCGACGCTCGATGACAGCTTTGCGGCATTTCCATCTGCGTACCAGCACCTGCCGACGCCGACGCCACCGGCCGAGACGCTTCGGTCTCCGACGCCGCTCACGCAAGCCGTCGCGACGCCGCCGCTTGCCGACTACTTTGACACAGACCACTACACGGAGCTCGTGCCGTGCTATGTCCTCTACGCGGCGCACTGCAACCTCCATGACGCGCACTTGTCACATCCGCACTTGCTCTTCTGCGCCCAAGCACGTCCGCCGATATCTATAGCTTTTGGATGGCTCATCGCTGGCTCGTAGGTGCTGGACCAGTATCTCGCGTCAAAAGAGCTCATGCACGGCTACATTCGGCGAGCCTGCGAGATTGCGCGCGTCGTCTTTGCATCGCGTTGGGCAAGGCGCCTCGATGCGTTCACCAAGGACATTGACATCCGCGACTACACGGAGCGCGGGCGGTCCATACCCGGTGTGTGTGCCCCGGTGTGGCACATCATTGCCGCGCATTGGCACCATTACAAGGCCCACGTGCTCCATTCGGACGAGTTTTACCTCGGCGACACGTCCGCGACCACTCGGGCGGACCCCGGGGCCCACTGCCGGCACGTTACGTCGGCGTACTTTGCCGCCGACGGCCATCTTCGCGACGACGCCATGCGACGCAGTGTCTATGGCGGCAGTGATGTCGGTGCGCACTACATGACGCTGGTGCCCCGGGATGCGAGCAACCGACGACGCGACACGGACGACCTGCCGCAGCGCATGTACCTGCCGCAAGAGAGCTTGAGCTTTGCTTTCAAGCAGCTCGAGGCCAACTTGCGCGTGGCCGACCCGCAGGTGACCATGTACCCGATGGGCACGTTCGCCCGCGGTGGGCTCTACGGCTCGGTCCTCGACGTGTTGCTGCTACCGACGCCGGCGCGGCCGAGCATCCACGACGTTGTTGCAGCGCTCGAGGTGGCGCACGTACTCGAACCCGGCGCGGTTCGGTCGGTCTCGGCCCACCGCCTTCTCGCGCCGATTCGGTTCAAGCACATTCGACTGCTCCTGGACCTGAAGATGTACCCGCCGCCCATGGCGTACGCCGCCATGATCTACTTTACTGGTCCCCAAGTGTTTGGTCAACACGCGTTCCGCTCCGTCTTGCCTGCGTGCGGCGACGACACGCGCTTCGAGACCGTCTACGAGACGCTGCGGACGATGCACGGGCCGACGCGCCTCGACCAAGTCCTCGACGAGCAGGACATGCTGGTGCTCCTCGGCCACACCGTGTACCAGCCGCCATTGCATCGCTTGTAGTCTGTCCTGATCCATGCCAAAATGTGGTCGACCTTGCGCCATCCTATTCCGAGAGAACGCGAAAGATCATACTGGACGGTACACGACACTGTATTGAAACGAGTCTACTTGGGGGGCATGCGGAGCGCGCCGTCGATGCGGATGACTTCGCCGTTGATCATCTTGTTCTCGACGATGCTCTGGACGAGCTGGGCATAGTCTTCGGGGTGGCCGAGGCGGCTCGGGAACGGCACCGTCTTGCCCAACTGCTCCTGGACAGCGTCCGGAAGGCCCGCGAGAAGCGGCGTGCGGAACAAGCCTACAGTAGCATCGTGAGAGATGGGGATTGAGCGAGACGCGTACCGGGCGCGATGGTGTTGCAGCGAATGCCGTACTGGGCGAGCTCACGCGCGACGGGCAGCGTAATACCGACAATGGCACCCTTGGACGCAGCGTATGCGACCTGGCCGACCTGGCCTTCGTACGCAGCGATACTGGCGGTGTTGATGATGACACCACGCTCGCCATCCGCACCCGGCGTCGTCTTGGACATGCTACGCATACCATATGATGACGACTGCATCCAGCGCCGGCAAGGAAGGTTTTACCGTTCGGCCGCAAGGCGAATCACGTTGAACGTGCCCGACGTGTTGATGTTGAGCACCTGCTGGAACTGGTACAGCGGGTGCGGGCCCTTCTTGGAGAGCGTCTTGGCCGCGACGGCGATACCGGCGCAGTTGACGGCAATGTCGATGGGCTTGCCAAACGCGGATTCAGCCAAGTCCAAAGCCGCCGAGACCTGCTCTTCGTCCGTGACCTAGAGGTAAACAGCGCATGAGGAACGCGCCGCCACGTCACACGTATTACATCCGTCGGGCTAAAGTGGCAGTTGGGGCCGAGCTGGCGCGCGAGCTCTTGGCCGTCGCTCGTGGGCAGGTCGCAGATGATGACCTGGGCGCCCTGCTTGAGGAGGCGTTCGGCGGTCGCGCGGCCAAGGCCGGACGCGGCTCCGGTGACAAGTGCGACGCGGCGAGCAAGGGTCATGGCGAACTTCGACGAAGATATCGGAATGAGACTCGCACTTGAACTAACGTGCGGTTTGGGGTTGTGGGTAATATAATTCCAATGCTACATAATTTAAAAGACTGTTCGGAAGCCATTCCCAGTCGTTGCAATGTAATTTAATACATTCGGCCGTAGCTATTTTTTATAATAAAAGTCTTTATCTATGGACCAATCTTGAGCCGGCTACGCGATCCAAAATAAATATTGTATTTTTATTCTTATCATTTCGATCCTTTTTATAGTATTATTGTAGGATATGTAGCTTACACTTGCATTGGGTATGAATATTGTATCCTGTAAATAAAACAAAATGATTTCAATAGATTTCGGAATTAAAACTATGACCAATTCAATGGCCGCCAATACTGCGGTTGATAATTGGCCGAAGGTTGAGGAGGAGTTGTGAGGATGGAGCACGAAGCGAGTTCCGCGACGTCCGGCCACGGCAGCGCCCTGCCCCATGGCAGCGCCCATCCCGCCTCTAACTCGTACTCGTCCGCGCCCCACCGGCGCTACCATGGCGGCCATGACGATGGCCACACCAAGTACACGTCGCCCCGCCACAACAATGGCCACTACGCCAAAGCCAAAGGCGCGGGGTACTACGGCAACAACAACAACGTCAACCACCACCACCACCACCAAGCGCAATACCACGCGGCCATGAACATGAACGGTGGGCGGTACTACAATGCGCACGTCCAGCCGCCGCTTCCGCCATTGCCTCCGGGCGGCTCGATGCCACCGCCATCGCCGTCGCCGTCGAGCGCCTCGACCGACACGACCGCCGCGTCGCCGTCGCATGTAGACACCATCAAGTGCAACCGATGTGGCGAGAAGGGGCACATGGCGGTGGCATGCCCGCTCAAGCCACGCCACAGCTACAACAAGGGGCCGCGCGTGTGCAAGTTTTGGGCGAATGGCCACTGCCAACGCGGCAACGACTGCTCTTTCTTCCACGGCAACCCGGACCAAGCGATGATATACGGCGCGCCGACGAGCATGATGATGACGATGCCACCGCCCCAGTACATGATGGACCCGGCCGCCGGCTACTACTACCCGCCCGTGCCCGTCATGCCCGCAGGGTACCCGCCAGCTGCCGCGCCATACGAACCGTCGCCGACGTCCGAGACGCCGCCGCCCGAAGGCGAGATGTACGACGCTGCTGGGTACCCGAACGACGCCTACGTCGAGCCGCCGTATGGCGCGCCGCCGGTCTACCACAACCCGTACGCGCCGCCCCAGTACGCTCCGTACGGCCCGCCGCAAAGCGGCTACCCAGGTACGACCTTGACTACACAGCCGCGAGATGCTAAGATCTGACGCAGACCAACGCGCGTACTACCAGCCGCCATCGCACAAGTTGTACCCGCCGCAACACGGCCATTTTTACAACCCGTACTACCCACGCGGGTACGTGGCACCGCCGACTGCCTACTCGAACGTCGACGCCGTCGACGCACCGGTTGTCGAGACGCCCGACGAACCGCCAATGTACGACGAGCCGCCGCCCGTGGCGCCCGACGAGACCCCTGTTGCGACCGACGTGATCGATCAAGTGTACGTGGCATGCGCCTATAGCGTCGCATCTGACCACTGGCAATAGACCGACATCGGTGGTGCCCGACGCAGTGCCGGACGGCGCGCCGCTCGTGGAGGCGGTGCGAGACCTCAAGCTCGAGACCGCGCCCAAGCCCAAGAAGAAGAAGAAGTCGAAGGCGCGTGTCGAGGCTGCGCCCGCCGACGCACCGGTCGCGCATTCGCCACGCTCGGAGAAGGGTCTGCGCAACGACACTGGCGAGAACAACTGCTTTCTGAACGTCGTCGTGCAGTCGCTTTTCCATCTGCAGGTAGTCGGTTGCTCCTTCGAGTTGCTGTTCACATATGTGGTTTGTGCTAGACGTTCCGCAATGCGTTCCGCTCGATCACGCGCCACGTGTGCCCTGGCGACGGGCGCTGTGTCTACTGCGCGCTCTCGGCCGTCTTTGACATGCTTTCACCCGGCGACAACCAAACGGCGTGCAGCTCGGATGCGCTGCGCTCCGTGCTGAGCACGCTCTCGGCGTCGTCGGCAGCGAACGTGTCGCTACCGCCACCGGGCGACGGTCCCAACCGGTTCTCGCTCGGCTCAATGGACGACGCAGCGGAAGCCCATGACGCAGTCCTCTGGCAGTTGCATGAAGCGCTCAAGACGTCGAGCAAGACGCAAGACTGTACTTGCGTGATCCACAGCGTGTTTGGCTTGCTTGTCGGCGAAGAGGCGCACTGCCCCAAGTGCCACACCAAGATGACGGCAGCCACTTACGACACGATGGTCATGGCGGCGTCGACCGCCCAGTTGCACGACCACATTGTGTAGGCTCCACTATCGCACGTGGCATTCTATCTCAGTAATGGTGTAGGCGCAAGAAGGCGCGGACGTTTGACAAGCTGTTGGCGCACGTCGTGGCGATCGGCGGCGGCACGCGCAAGTGCGCGAACTCGAGGTGCCGCAACACGGATCTGCTGCCGTCGAGTCTCAAGCTCAAGGCACTGCCGCAGGTGTTTACGGTCGGTCTCTCGTGGCCCAACGCGCAGCCGAGCTCGGGCTACTTGGGCCACATCGTCTCGAGCATTGCGCCCACGATCGACTTGACGCGGTATCGGTCTTGACCTATCGCATTGGTATCTGATATAGATTCCTAGCGTGTTTCCCAACCTAATTGCGGACGGTCTCGCGCTGCCCCATGGCGGCGGCAACGACGCGCACCTCATGGGTGTCTTTTGCTACTTTGGGCACCACTACCTCACGTTCCTCTTCCAGCCGTCGACGAACGAGTGGCTCTCGTTCGACGACACGGTCGTCAAGCGCGTCGGGGCGTCGTGGAGCGATGTGCAAAAGGTGTGCTTGGAGGTACGCCCCCCTGGGATCGCTCAGTCTAACGCGCGTCGACTAGAACCATTTGCAGCCGATGGTCCTCTTCTACGACGTGGCCAAGAAGCCGGTGGCGGACAAGGTGCTGCAGTTTACGATCGGCGACTTTGTGCTCTCGGTCGCGTCCGAAGTCGACCAAGAGAATTGGCGCGCGACCGACAGCAGCCCGCACACGGACACGGACGTGCTTCGGTCGTCGTCGCCTGTGTCCACCTAGAAGACGCCGATCCTGCCGGCACCGAGATTATATTTATATCCTACCACATTTAGTCTTGGCACCAGGAGGGTAATCGCCGTATAATGCATGCTCGTCGTCCACTACTCTCTCTCTCTTGTGGCCCTGCGTCATGGCGTGCGATGTCCATCTTGCGACGAGCTCGAGGGCGACGCGACCATCGCGTCGAAATAGGGCTGCATGCGTCGTCCACAATGTACCCGTACCTTGCCATCGGCGCCTAGATGTGCTGGGATGGTACGCAAGCGCATGCCCGCGGCGATCGCGCTGGGCATGCGCTTGGCCTACGCCCCTAGGCCATAGCCAGCCCTAGCAGGCCTGGTTGAGGGCCTTCGGACAGGCTGTCGACGCGCGCCGCCCCGTCGCTCGGCTTGCGCGAACGTCATTCACGTGCGTCAGCAGCTGGTCCTAATTCGGGCCCCAGGTGGCCTTCGATAAGGGCGATCTAGAAACGTCGGCCTTCTTCCGCCGGAAAAAGAACAAGCTTTGGCGGTGCGGCCAATCGGAGCAGAGGTGCGCTATAATTTCAACCAATCGCACGCGAGCAACTTCGACCTTGCAGTGAAACGACCCAGAGCCATTGTGAGATCAGGACGAAGCCCAATGGCCCGCCGACTTGCGAAGGTCCGTGGACGCCGACGAGCCCGATGGCTCATGCGCCCGTGCCATGTAGGAGCTTGCCGAGTTCAACAAGAACTCGCCGGAATGGTGCACCGTGGGCACGGTCGACGACGACCTCTTGCACTGGAACGCCATGGTCGTTGGCCCCGTACGTGCCATCGCACGCGCGCCGCGTGGCCTCATGCAGCCGCGATGTAGGACAACTCGCCGTATGCGGGCGGCGTCTTTAGCATCGACCTGCTCTTTCCTGCCGAGTACCCGTTCAAGGCGCCCAAGGTACGCGGCAGTCCTTGCACATGCTGACGCGAATCATCTCGCCGGCAGGTCAAGTTCCTCACGCGCGTGTACCACCCCAACGTCAAGTCGCAGAGCGGCGAGATTTGCGCGGACGTCATCAACGAGGTTCGTATCCTTTGCGCTACGCAAGGCTCATGGCGCGATGTATAGAACTGGGGCCCGACGTTGAACGTCATGTTTTGCCTCACGGCGCTCAAGCAGATTCTCGAGCAGCCGGACGGCGACAACCCGCTCGAGCCCGAGATTGCCAAGCAGCTGCAGTGCAACCGAGACGCGTTCAACGAGACGGCCAAGAAGTGGACAAAGGACTTTGCGTCGTAGCTCGTAGCTGCTGTCTATCCCTTGTCGATGCATGCATGATTGCATACAAAATCGACGGCGCGACGTGTGTTAATATACATGGTTGCCGTCGCTACGTGGCTCTTCTCTTGCAGGTGTCGAGCTTGGCGTCACGAAGAGCGACCATAGCGACCATCGTCGCTGCACGGTTGCCACCAGCTCGATCCGCCGCCCTATTCTCTCGCCGCAGCGGCCCGCTTTAGCCTCCGTCTGCGGGCGTGACGCTCTCGATGGATCATGTCCCTTGCGCATGGCTCGGCGTCGCTCGTCCGGTGGCGGTCACGAGCTGTCGGCTTGGTCGCGCGGCCCGCTCTCTGCCCCGCCGCTTGTGACATGAGCATCCTGATTTACAAAGGCGACTTGTTTTTTGTATGGCCATGGCCACTGCGAATCCGAATTTAATTGAAAATCGGACGATTTGGCCTAATTTAAGGCGCACAGCTTGGCGCCGTCATTACGTGTAATTGGCCATGGCCCTCGAGTCCAAGGCGACGATGGACGACGACGTGGCGGCGACGCCCGCCGGCGGCCTCCATGGCAGCACCATCTCCACATACGCGACGACGTTCCAGCCGCCTGAATGGTACGGCGATCCGATGATGCATGCGAGATGGCCGCATCGAGACTGCACGTAGGGCGGTGTACCCGACAGAGAAGACCATCACCGCGCGCTTCGAGGTCCTGCGCATGAACAAGAGCGTGGGCACACACGAGCTGGGCGGGCGCCAAGTCACGGTCTTTGGCCGCGAGCAGAACGGCTGCGACTTTGTCTTGGCCAACCCGTCCGTCTCGCGCAAGCACGCCACTGTGATCCACTGCGCCAAAGGCGGCGTCTACGTGCGATAGCCTACTCGTCTGACGGCGTCGGCTCATGCAGCCTGCGTAGATCGTCGACCTCATGTCCCGCCATGGCACGTTTGTCGGCAAGACCAAGATCCCGCCCCACGACCCTTACCTCCTCCACGGTATGCCATCGTCCTCGAGCATTTCGACCGACGATTGGGTGTAGATGGCGACGTTGTGACCTTTGGCCAGAGCTGCCGGACATACGTCTTGAAGGGCATTGACCCCACAGGCTTGAGCCAAGCGGTGAAGAAGCCATGGCGCCTCAAGTCGCTGCTCGTGCCCCGGTTTGGCACTGGCAGCAGCAGCAGCCACCCGCCGCCAGCGAAGAAGCCGACGCGCAAGTACAATGACATTTGCATCAAGATGGTCAACAAGATCTGCAGCGGGTCCTTCTCCACCGAGCGCGGTGAAGAATTCGCCAACGAAGTCTCCGAGCTCGATGACGACCTCGTCGATGACGTGGCAGGCCTCCTCGTCGAGAAGGTCACCCGCCAGTACGCAAACGCGACGCTCGTCATCTTGGCGCTGCTCGAAGCGCACGTCGGGCTCCACGCGTTTGAAAATAACTTGACGCCGATCGTGCAAGTGTCCCAGAGCAACCTCGATGCACGCAAGGTACGGACTTGGGTCTTCGCTCCGTACGATGGTTGAAATGGAAATGCATAGATTCTGCAAGTGGTCGCGGAGGCGCGGATAGAGTCGACGAGCCGCATGGACACGCCCAACCCCAGCGACGACGACGACGATGACGACGACTACCGCAATGACGACTATGCTCCCCCCGATGTGAGCTACGCGCCGCCACCGATCCCGTACGCGCCTCCAGCTTCCATGTATGCACCACCGGCCGCCCCCGTGTTTGCCCCACCGCCGGCCATGGAGCGCGCCCCGACGTCGCCGCCCCGAGCGCATGCGCCACTTCCCGGCACCTACAATGACGACGATGACGAAGAGGAGAAGGCGGAAGAGATGACGTCACCGATGCCCGACCAATCTCGCCAACGCGTCTTGAGCAACGAAGGCAAGCGGCTCTTTGCCCAAGCCACGCACTCGCCACTCGCAGCGGCGTCCGGCTTTAGCTTTATCACGCCCAGCAGTCCGTCGCCGGTCGCCGCAGTCTCGGCCTTTGGGTTCATCACGGCCAGCGCGGCGCCCGACAACGACGACGAAGCCGAGTATGACGACCACGAGCATGATTATGAAGATGACGAGAAAGACGAGGAATACGAAGACGAGGAAGATAGCTACGCGCCGGTCGAGATCCCCGAGGGGTTTTTGAGCGAGCGTAGCACGATGGACCCGCAAGACTTCTCCAACCTCTGGCAGTGCGCGACCGTCTCGTACACCTTTGCAGCCTCTTTTGCTCGTCGTTGACGATGGTTGTTGTAGGGAGGAGTGGGACGAAGACCTCTCGCCCGAGTACGACGCCGACTTGCTCGAGCGCTGTCTCTGGGGTCTCCACGTGACATTGCTCTCGACGAGCGTCGTCGGAGGCAGCCAAACGTTCCTGTACCATGCTGAACAGGTAGGATTGTGCTACCGCCTTGGTACGAATGGCGACTGTCTGATGTAGATGTCAAACGGGACCATCTTCCTCGTCGAGGTTGTCGCCAACGAGACGCTCGGCGAGCTCTCGGCGACGTTCAAGTGGATCGAACTCGGCTTACTCTACGACGACGGGCACTTGGTATTCATCCAGCTCTTTAAAGAGTGTCTTGAGCCGTGCTATATGCCCAACCACCCGCGGACACCGTACTTGCGGGTGCTCGAGCGACCGCCAGTGCCGGCACCGTCGCCCGTCGCATCGGTGCACGAGACGACGACGACAACCGCGCACATCTCTGCACCGACCGACGTCTACGCTAACAACGACGACGAAGTCGAAGATGACGGCGACGATATGATGGAGGAAGAGCTGCTCATTGAAGACACGGCGTCGTTCGAGGCCGCGCTCTCGACGATCCCGGAGCTCGACCCGTCGACCTTTGAGGCCTTGTGGCGCGACGCCCTCGACTTGTGCGCTGCTTGCATCTTGGTAGTGGACCACTGACGTGGCGTAGGGACACAATTGCCGACACGGTGGACCGGGATTTGCCGCCGGCCGCCGAGGTCATTGCGCAGTTTCATGCGCGGCGCGTGTTTTGCATTGCGTTTGGGGCGGTGCCCAACGTCGGCGACAAGTTCTTCTTCTATGCCCAAACGGTACAACCTCAGTCTCGCTCCTTCCCATTCGCATCTCTGCTCTAGGCGGCGTCGCAGTGCTTGTACTTTATGGAGCTCACGCTGGAGCGCGACTCGACAAACGTGACGGCCGTCTGCAAGTACGCGCCGACGACGACGCACCCGGTGCAGGAAGACATTGCGATTTGGTTCATCGGCCTCGTCGAAGAGATCCTCGTCGAGCTCGAGTAAAGTGTAGATAGTAGTTCAAGCGTAAACACGGTCGGTATACATGGGCATCGGATACGACGACACTTAGGACGGCACGGCTTCGGTGTGGTCGATGAGTGCGTGCGTCTCGGTCTGCAGCGGCTGCGGCACGATGAGCGAGTGCATCTTGGTGCCGGTGACGGACGGGTGGCGCACGTACCGCACTGCCAGAAGCCCCCCGGCGGCGCCCCCGAGCGCAATGAACGCGACAAACGCGTACAAGACGATACTAGAGGTGGCACTGGGCGGTAAAACGTCCACAAGGTCGAGCGACAAGACGTGCAGCGACGCCAAATGGCCGTTGGCGAAGAGCGCGAGGAGCTTTTGCTGTACCGGGCGGCTGCTGCCCGACGGTTCGAGAACGTCCAGCACGATGCGCACCGCGTTGCTGTGCGACTTGGGGTCGGTCGTCGCCGTCGCCTGCGCCAAGTAGAGGCCGAGCTCCATGGGCGGCAAGTTCGAGAGCGCGGGGTACACGCTGCCGTCGGCGCTCACGACTCGTGTCGCATTGAGAAGCAAGTACAGCGGTGAGAGGAGGTTGAACGGCACCAAGGTCCCCGGGCACGGCGCCGAAGCCGCATACGCGCTGTCGCAGCGAATCAGCAGACTCAGGCGGCTGAAGCCGCAACTGGCTGCGTCCGTGCACGCGGCGCTGCAGTCGCGAAGGCCGTAGACACCCGTGCACTAGTTCAGAGTACAAAGTGTCCACCACAAGATGCATGAACGTACGTTGCAGCGGTTGCCGAGGAGCGTCGTAGCACAGGCGTGGTTGTTGGCGCACGCATACTCAAAGTTGCCGCGACAGCCCGTGTCAATGTCCTCGACAACGATAGAGACACCGTGGGCGACAGCGGCGACCGACGTCGGGTCGTTCGAAGCGAGCGGAAGGCCGTTGTACGACGCATCCGCGCTCGTCACGACGTGCGTCACGAGCAGGCCGGCGTCGACTTTGGGAATCGTGAGGGTGTAGTGCACGGTCGAGGCTTCGACGCCCTCGAAACCCGCAATGTAAGATGGGGCAATCACGACGAATTGCGGCGTCCACCAATTCGACGCGTCAAAGGAAAGTGTGCCGGCTGACGTGAGTGCTGCCACGTTGGGTCGCGTGCTGCTTGCCGTCGGTGTCAGCGTGACGGCCACGGTGACCGGCGCCGTTGGCTGCGAGTCTAGCACGACCGAGTAGTTGAAGACACTCGATGCATTCTCGACGACGATCAGCGGGGCGACCGAGACTGATACACCGGGAAGGTCGTCGTCGACGAGTGCCACGGTGAGGGTGAGTGACCCGGCACTGGTGCTGGATCGGACGTAGTGAAAAGGCCAGGCGGGGGCCCGCTGGGTGCCATCCGAGACGACAAATGGTGTCGACGCGTACCGGCACGATGGAGGCAGTGGGCGGCTGGTGATGCCGACGGCGGTAGGTGTCAACGACGACTGAGGCACCACCGATGTCGTGTCGGCCGCCACCGTCGTGAACGTGATGCCAAGCGTCTGGTTGCCATGGTAGATGTTGTCGTCGATGGCAGCGATTTGGAGCACTTGGGACCGATTCCAGTTACTAGAAACAGCTCATTTAGCAACTCACTTCGTATACTTGACGACGTACCTCGCGTTGAACCGGAGCGTCGTTGGGAGGTAAGCCCCGTACGACGCAGCATTGTACCTTCCACCTGTGACGTACGTGACGCCGCCGACGTTTTGCGACAGATTCTGCGGGTTGAACGCCGTCAAGTAGGCACTGGGCGTCGACACGACGACGTCGACGCCCACGACCGGCTCGCTCAAGAGTTGCACGTTCAAAAGCGCCGGTTGGCCGCGCTGGTGCATGCGCGAGAGCTGCGAGATTGAGACGTCGGAGGTTTCGACCGACGTCGGAACGTCGCCATGGATCGCAATCGACGCGACATCGGCGCACATCCACGTCGGTGCCGTCACGTCGTAGGACGTCTCGAGCCAAAGTGCAATGTAGACTAGGAGAGCGTCCCCGGAGAAGACGATGGGGGCAGGCGAGGCCGAGAAGGGCACCGTGACGCGCTCCACCAGAGTCCAGAGCGTCGCGTCCAACGTACTTTGAGCGCTCGTCCAGAGACTGAGGATGCTGGGCGTGCGGACCGTATTACCCGGCAGCGTCACCGTGACGTCATTGGGTGGCCCAAATGAGGCAATCTTTGCAGCGTCCAACTGAACTACTACAAAGGCGGACGAAGGACCAAAGAGCGTCGCGTTGGCCATTGTGCACGCCGTCCAAAGCTGCGGTGTCGGTTCAAACACGCCTTGACACGGCGTCGCGCTGTTGGTCGCACGGGGCGCACTGCAGGTGGGCGTCGTCACGGGACTCCACTGCCCACGCACCGTTGGTTGTGGCGCGCCGGGATACGCTCGCGCGCCTTCGACCACGGTCACGGCGCCGTCGGTGAAGAGCACGCCGGCTTCATCGTCGTCTGCAATCGCGACCGACATCGTGGCCTGCAACGGCGACGTGCACGACGCCGGCGTCGTGGCGCACACACCATATGCGACCGCGCTGTAATCGACGTCGGCGCTGCGCGCGAGATGCGCGATCGCTCCGGTGCGCGGCCCGGACGCGACGTTGTCATTGGCTACGGCGACATGCACCGTCTGCGGCGTGCTCCACGACTTGCTCGTAAAGAGCACTTCGTTGCGGCAGACGTCGTTGGCGTTACAGGGCGAGTTATCCGACTCAATCGGATCGTCCACCGAGACACGGAGGACATTCGATGCCGAGAGAACGCTGGGCGACGGCAAGTTGGCCCCGAGCGTGACGCGCGCAGCGGCCATGGGTACCTGGTAAACGTTCACGGCTGTCACGTACAGCGTGCTCGTTGTCTGCACTGTCAAAAATTGCGCTTCGACAAGGGACGTGAGACTTGGTGCGTAGACGATGCCAGCCGCATCCAACGCCCCCGTTGCGCCGTAGACGTGCCAGTTGAGCGCGACGCTTTCTGAGGCGGTTGTTGTCGTCACGGTGAAGGCGCGCGAGAAGGACGCGGCTGCCGTGTTGACGGCTGGAAGGACGCCAGTGGTGAGCGACGCCGACGACAAGTAGACGTTGATCGTGCTTACACCTGGGAGCAGCACACGCACCGAGAGCACGACAGCTTCGAGAGCGTACATGACACCAAGATTGGCTTGCCACCACGCGGGTCCAGTCAGTAGCGACATAGCTGGTGCCGATGGCGCTAGAACGGCGGACGCGTTCGCACTTGGCGTGCTCTGGCTGGCGAGCGCAGACGCGGCGACGTTGACGAGCCCTGACGACGTTAAGAGTAGCGACGGCCGGAGGGTCGCATTCGCATGCTTGCTCGACGCCAAGGTCACCTCGTCAATGTTCCCATAGACAAACGTTGTCTCCCGCAGTGCGTAGAGGGCAATGGTCATTTCAGTTTGGCCCGCGGTCGAGAGATCATTGAGCGCAGTTGTGACGTCGAGGCTGAGCCAGCCGCTGCCACCAACGTACTGGTTGCTCGATGGATCCAAAGCTCCTTTTGGCGCAATGTCGGTGAGCCCAGCGAGAAGCGTGCGTGATGCCGCCACGTTGCCAAACGGAACCCCCGCCGAAAGCAAGTCAGTACGCGTCGTCGGTGACGCGGTCGACGTGTCGAGGACGGTACATGTGCCCAGGGCACACGACGTGACGAGCGAGGCGGCTCGCCAGGATGTGGCGGATGTCGCCACGACAGCACCCAGCTGGAGCCCGCCGAGTCCACCGTTTTCACCGCCCGAGAGACGGTGGAGCTGCAGACGTGCGAGACCAACGCGAGCGCTTCCAGTCGACGCAGCAATCGAGGCGAGCGAGAATCGGAGCAGCCCGACGTACTGGTAACTGGTAGCCGCTGTGCTCTCGGACGCATTCGACGCGACGCGTAGCGTCGGTGCGGTGGCACTCGGGTTGGCGAAAGTAGAGAGGGAGGTATCGTCGATGGGAGACAGGGCCACTTGGTGCGGCTGCGAGAGGCCGAATGTTGGCTCCCAATGCATCGGCTCGGCTGTCAACCGCACTGTATAGTCGGTTTGCCCAACCGCCGGGCCGTTCTCGTTGTAGCTGCCTTGGGTTTGGTTGAGCGTGATCGACGCAGCGTCGTACCCCGACACGTAGAAGGCCATTGTTTTTCCAGCGTAAAACGAGTCGGTACTTGCACTCGTGACGACGACGCGACCGGTCACAACGAGTCCGGCGCTGCTCGATGTGTACGCGACATTGACCGACGCACCGCTCGACCATTGCGCCGGCGTGAGTGTCACCGAAGCCGGCGTGAGCGTGACACCTGCCGCCGTCGTGGCCAGCGACAGGACAACGTTGGCTGTGGGCGTACTCGAAAGTGAGAGGCGCACGCTGGCGACGCGGCCGTGCGCTCGGGCGCAGACAAAGTTTGTCGGCTTGCTCCATTGATGTCGCGACTAGCATGGGATTATAGAAAGTGCAAACTCAGAAAGGCCGAGTACCGTTTCAGGCTGCAGAACGATCGCAGCGCGGTTGGCGTCAAAGACGTACGTGGCAACAGATGCGGCGAGCGGAGCCGTAAGAAGCCCACTGGTCGTCGATACCCAGGGAAACGCGTGCTGCGGGTTCCCTGACAAGTAGACGCCCCACGGGCTCGTGTAGATACCGGCGCCGTACACAACACCTGATGCGCCGATCGAGAGCCGCGCGGGGCCGCTGTAGCGCGCATCCGAGCTCGTGGCCGCAAACGTCACGGCAATGGCATTGAGGCCGACCGTGGAAGTGTCAGCGACAGCCGAGATCGTAATGGCCTGGGGGACGTTCCAATTTGCGGTCGTAAACGTAATGCTGCCGGCGGAGAGCACGAGCTGGTTGGTGCCGCCAGCGAGAGTGAGCGTGACGGTCGCCGTTGGTGCAGCGTTCAGGACGACCGAGACAACATCGGTTTGACCCACCTCGGACACGGAGAGCGACGCCTTGGAGAGCAAGACCGCCGCGTCTCCGTCGTCGGCAATCGTCACAATCGCCGACACAAAGTTGGGGACATCTGCAGGACTGAGGTCCAGAGAGGCCATGAGACTCGGAATAAAACTCGTGGGGTACAAAAGGTCCAGTCCCAAGAAGGCACCGCCTTGGACATTCTGCAAGACGACCTTGAAGACAAGGTTAGGGGCCTGGAAAAAGCTATTGTCCGCCTAATGTCGAATGTATCAGTGCAGTATTGGCTCGCAAATGGCGAGGTACGATTGTGATGCTGATTTGCTTGGCGCTCTCGCCGTCCTGGAACGTCAATGTAGTTGCAGGGAGCGCTGTGTAGTGGACCCCCGGCGTTGCCGTGCAGGGACTCACATGACTGCACCCACGGGCTTGGACGACGCCCCAGTCGTACAACGGGTCGTTGACAGTGAGACCGGGCACCACCGTACCGGCGTTCGTGACGACGTCGACAGACACGACACCGCTCGTATACGTGTTGACGCCTGCAAAGGTCCCATCAAAAGCGACCAAAGCCTGATTAGCGTACCGGATGGGTCGGGTTTGCCGCTGCGGATAACGTCGAGGGTGACGTGCGCAGCGTTCTCGACGACGCTGTAGCTGGACGTGCGAAAGGAGAACGTGCCGGCGTCGCGGTCGTCGACGATGTAGATCATGGTCGTGTCCATGGTCGTCCCGATCGCCGCGCCGCCCGAGACCGCCGAGAGCTGCACCTGCACCGAGCGGACGACGGGGTTGTACGCGGCGTTGTTGAAGACGGTGACTGCAAAAGCCTTCTGCACGTCGCCCGAGAGCCAGTCGAAGACTTGCGTCTTGGTCTCGTAGTCGAACGCGCGGCTACTGCCCTGCGTCGCGTTGCCGGCCGTCGTCGTCGTGACGGTGAGCTGCACGGGGGCGACCGTCGACGTCGACGAACCCAGTGTGCGGTTGATGTACACGATCGCGGTGCCATTGTCTTCTCTGCAGTACGTGTACTCGGTCGAGAAGACAAAGACGCCGGCGTCGTTGTTGTCCAAAATGAAAACGTACGTTGATGGAAACGTCCCGAGCGCCCCGCGCACTGTGGGCGGTACCAGCTGCAGCGTGAAGAAGAGGCTATAGTACTCGAAGACGTGGGTGTCAATGATGCGCACAGAAATCGACGCGCTCGTCTGACCGTCCGTGAACATCAGCACTTGATTCGTGTCGACCATGACGTAGTTGGTGCCACGGACGGCCGTTGTCGACATGGCATTGCCCAGCGTGTACGCGACCGAAACGGTGCCGCACGAGCCACCGGTGCGAAGCACTGGGATCGTGACGGTGCCCGCGGCTTCCGAGAACGAGTAGTTGCTCATCGAGAAGGAAATGACACCGGCTTGGCCCATGATCTGCACATACGATGTAGTCGTACTCGTGTCGATCGTGGATCCTGCCGTCGATCCCACCAGAGACACTTGAAAGAAGACGTTGGTCGGATTCACACCAGCCGTCAGCACAGTGACGCTGAGAGTCTGCGTCGCAGCGCCAGCTGGAAAGGCCAGTGCATACGACGTGATGGGCGTATAGTCAACATTGGCAGCAGCAGATGAGGCTGGAATGATGTACGGCGCCGTCGAAACGAGTACGTTCTGGCTTGCAGAGAGGTCGCCTGTCCGCTGGACGACCAGTGACACGGTCTGCGAGCCACAGACGCCGACGCACGTCGCTGGGTACGCCGTCGACGCGCTCGTGTAGCCGCCTGCAAACCCAAAGGTCGAGGACGCCTCTGCTACGGCAAGTACGCAGGCAACGAAGACGTAGATGCCCCGCCAAGCGGGGCGCGCGAGGCCACCACGTAGCATGAGCCGCCTGTCTGCAGTATCCAAATCGACGGTGCACGTAACCGATCGATTGAATGTACATTGCCGTACCGTACAGACAAGGCATACGTAATTCAAGCTTTAGCGTACAGTTGTATGTGTACTGTACAAGTTACAAAAAGCATAATAGTTGCAAGATAAAGCGTACGTACACTCGTGTACGTCGTACATGCAACGGCCATGAAACCGTAACCGTCGTCACTTGAGAATTTTCTGCGCAGGCCGCAAGCCGAAGATCGCGACCGCCGAAGCATGATGGGGGACCCGTTCGACGATGCATGGACGACCTCGAGGTACCCAACGTCATGGAGAGGCGAGGGTGGTGATGGGAAGGAAGCCACGACTACGCGCTCTGGGGCGACCTCGGGGACGTGGGCTTCAGCGGACGCATGAGCGGCTCGATCGGGACGCCCCCGACCGAGGTCCTGGACGAAGCACCGGCGTACGAGCGCGAGCTCCGGGAGCACTACTTGGGCAACGCTTCGCTCGAGACGGAACAGGCGCAGTCGGTGAAGGCGACGATCCAGTTCCTCTTGGGAGGAAGCGCGTCGCCGGTGGGATCGCCGTCGCCACGATCTTCCCGCTCGAGCCCAGTCCAGCCAAAGGAAGAAGAGAACGTTAAGGTTTGCGATACCTTAAGTACATGCGCTCGATCTATGGATTAGGCGCTGGAGGAAGAGAAGTCGTTTTTGGCGGCCGTCGAAACCTTGCGCTTCACAAGGGTGCGGCTGGAGCGGAAGGCCAAGCTCCGCGCCGCTGTACCCCAAGAAAGCCCCGACGACGATGTACGGACGCGGAATGGGCGTGCATCTCGCTTCTACGGCGAATAATGTCTCGTCTCTGTCTTACTATCAAGGAGCTTTCGCCGACACCACCGCGCAAGCCACCGGCGCGAAAGACGACGGCGCGACCGGGCTTGCGTGAAGCTCCGGCTCCATCCACGCGCTACAAGACGCGCGAGCGCTGCACGCGACGGTCTCTCATCGAAAGCTTCGAAACGGACGAAGCCTATGAGCCGCCCATCAAGCACCCACTGCCAGACGTGATGCGTACGGTGAAGAAAGCGCGCTTTTCAAAGTCTCGCGGCTACACGGTCAAGCCGTGCGAGTATCCTGGCTGCGACAAGTGGTCTCGAACCCGCGGTCTTTGCAAGCGCCATGGCGGCGGAAAGCGCTGCCAAGTCAAGGATTGCCCGAAGAGTGACCAAGGAGGAGGTTATTGCATCAAGCATGGCGGAGGTAAGTTAATCGTTGTCTTCCTACAGGGATATTTAGTGTGCACGTAGGGCGACGCTGCTCTGTGTACAAGTGCAAGAACTCGGCGCAGGTGAAAGGCTTGTGCAAGAGTCACGGGGGTACGCACGACTTCGTGCGCCGGCTGTTCTCAGGTTTTTGCCAGGCGTCCGACGCCAATATTGAAGCTCCTTGCGTGCGCCTGGTCCGAATGACGATGCTTGGTTTGCATTGTTTTACGTTGTCCAAGCTACTTTAATTGTTTTCATTGGCGATCGTGACACGCATACGCCGCCATTTGCAGCTTCCTCGGCCCACCAAACAAGCGTACGTCAGTGATGGATCGTACGAGCGACCCGCTCCTCCTCGCCGACGCCCGGGCAAGACGTCATCCGAACCACAGACTTTCCTGAAGTTACGCAACAAAACACTGCACACTGCGCTGGACGCACGACGTCGTCGTCAGCGCCCCAGCGCCGAACAACAAGCGATTGGCTCGACGTTAGCCAATGAGTGTTCGTGAGTCCGGCGCAAGATCTTGCTCACGCCTTCTCCAAGACCGCCAGGCTGAGCGGCAGGCTACTCGGAGAAGAGGCGCGCTGGAAGCAGTATCATGACGATGAGCAGCCGCGGTTCCTCCCACTGTCACTCCGCTGTCTGAGCTGGCACCTGTGCCACTGACCTGCTACTCGGGTTGGTGGCGCCACGGTCGCATTCATCAACTTGCGCGCACGTGATGAGAGCCATCCTCGCGGCCATCGTGGTCTCGGCCTTCGCCCACACCGTCGTAGCTGCAGCCTCGCACACAAGCTCCAGCTCGTCCAGCTCGGACGCCCACGTCATATTGCCGCTCGCCACCCCGCCCATCCTGCGATCCGTGGTACCTGCCAGCACCAACGACCATCAATCGCCGAGCAGCGCCAGCGCATGTACGCACGACCATCGTCCTCGTTGGATGCTAAATCTTCTACATCTGTATAGTGAGCAGCTCCATGGTCGCGCTCTGGATCATCGTTGGCGGCGTGCTTGCCCTCGTCATTGCGTGCGTCTTCTTCGTCGTGAAAGCGTGCGCCAAGCGCCACCAGCCCGTGACCAAGCTCAGCGTCATCGACACGCTGGAGCTGCGGCAGTTTGACCAGCTTGTCGTGCCACTGGGTCCGATGCACCACCACGAGCCTGCGCACGACGAGGTCGCTCGCACCTCGCGCTTCAACTTGCGGCCGCTGCCCTACGACCCGCAGTAGCCCACTGGCAATAGACTGGATGATTGTATGATATACACAATAGAAGATAGAAGAATGAACGCACGGTTGTTGTGCCAATGTACGTACGTTTCGACATACAAATATCAAGTGTAAGCGTACGTTATGGATCGTACGAGCGGCCTTCGATTTCTGTAAAGATACAAGCGACGTGGGTCGAAGCGCTCGAAAGGAGGTCGCCGCCATGTCGTCGGACTGCAGCGTCCCGCTCGAGATGGCCGAGGGCGAGAATGCCGGCGACGTCTTCAACCTGCTCTGGCCAGTCGCCGGCGCGCCCGACATCCGCAACGTGGCCATGAGCATGCTTACGCTCAAGCGCGCGGCCAACGACTGGCCGGCAACCGATGGGTGGCCGTTGGACGTGACATGCGACGAGCCCATGCATGAGGACAGTACAGGTGCCCATCTCCGAGATGCGTGCCCAGTCAAGCTTGTGGATGCATCCACGATCGACCTCAGCGTGCTTTGCAGCCTCTCGCACCTGCGCGACTCGGACGACGGGCTCAACATGTCATCGTCGTCGTCCGAGGACGATGGCTCGCCGCTGCTGTCGGACGACGAAGACGAGAGCGACGCGCCATCGACGCTCCGTGCAAAGCGAGAGCGTACTGACGACGAAGACGACTCGGATTTCATGGCGCGCGTCCAGAAGGTCCGGCGGTCGGCGTCGAAAAGCAGGCGCTTCCGCGCAGTCGACATTCTGCCGTGCAAGCACCCGGGGTGTACCAAAGGCGCCCGATCGCGCGGCCTCTGCAAGCGACACGGCGGCGGGAAGCGGTGTTCGGTCGACGACTGCGCGCGCAGCGACCAAGGCGGCGGCTTTTGCATAAAGCACGGTGGCGGTAGAGCTCTCGACGCTTGTGTTCAATATTGTCTGATACCACGGTCTAGGGCGGCGATGTGCGGTGGAAGACTGCAAAAACTCGTCCCAGTCGCGAGGCCTCTGCAAGCGGCATGGCGGGATTCGCCCGCGTCGGCGCAACCCATCGTGACGACGACCAATGCTTAATTATCGACACCCTGCTCTATTTACCACCTGCACCACCATCATACGTCCTGCACAATCGAGCCTGTCTGTCGCCTTGCGTATTCAGCGACGTCCCACGGCTCTATGGCGGCAAGTCGCTCCGACATCAGACAGTGCGTCGGAATGGCAAGCCCATTGATGATCCCGTAACCGGACAGTATGTGTCGAGCCTCTGCTGCGTTGCTCTGCACCGTACGTTGATCGCCTGCTGCCATCGCCATCCTCTTTGCACGGGTGGCAGGCCTGGCCACTGGCCACTGGGACTGGGTGCAAGCCCAAGGGCGGCGGTGTTAGCTGGTGACGTGGCACTCGGTCGCGGACGAACGTGGCGGCCGCACGCGCTATGTGGCGGAAGCAAACCGAACGGCTAGGATCAAAGAACGATCTTTTGGCGGCGGCGTCGCTCGGACGCGTGGCAGTCCGCATGCTGTGACCAACAGCCCCGTCCTTTTTTCAAGATCGTCTGGGAGGTTCGGTTAGGTGCGCCGTTTAGTCACGCACTTAACCGGTCACTGGAATCTTTTGCAGCGCATACATTGCTTCAGTCAAGTTAAAGTCGGTGAAATTAATGAAACCATAACGGTTATCGAATCCGGATACCGGTTCCCAGTCATTTCCCGGCCCCAGATACGAGTATTATCGGTTTTGCGATGTTGCACGCCAGTCGCCGCCTCCTCCGCGCCCCTGCGCTCGCCCGGACGTTATTTGCGCCGATGGCCGCGCGTGCTCTGCCGACGGCTGCGGCTGACGAGCATGGCTGGGCCAAGTACGGCCTCGGCGCCGTGCTCCTCATGGCCGGCGCGGGCTTGAGCCAAGCCGACAACTGCGGCATCGTCGGCGTCGTGAGCAAGCACCAGGAAGCCAACAGCTTCTTGCTCGAAGGCCTCACGATCCTGCAAAACCGCGGGTACGACTCGGCGGGCATGGCCACGACCAAGCACGACGGCGCGGCGCCGATTGAAGTGACCAAGTTTGCGTCAGTGCAGGGCACGGCCGACTCGATCAACCTCTTGCGCCAGACCAAGGACAAGCACGAAGGCAACACCGTTGGCATTGCGCACACGCGCTGGGCGACGCACGGTACATGACAATGCTGTCAAAAATGGTGATCTCATCATGCGCATGCGTAGGTGGCAAGACGGACGAAAACTCGCACCCGCACATGGACATGAACAAGCGCGTCGCGGTCGTGCACAACGGCACGATCACCAACTACAACGAGATCAAGAACGAGCTCATTGCGGAAGGCGTCACGTTCACGTCGCAGACGGATACGGAGGTCATTGCGCAGCTCATCGGGCACCTCATGGGTGAGGGCGCCGACTCGCTCACGGCGACGCGCCTCGCCCTCGAGCGCCTCGAAGGCACGTGGGGCCTCTGCATCATGGCGCGTGACGAGCCCGGCAAGGTCATTGTCGCGCGCAACGGGTCGCCCTTGTGCATCGGGTACGACATCATCCTTCCTCCTCGTGCGCATGGCCTTATCTCGTCTCTCTGTTCTAGCTACGGCTCCAACTCGATGTACATTGCGTCCGAGACGACGGCCTTCTCGCGCCACACGAAGCGGTTTCTGTCGCTCCAGGACGGCGAGGTCGCGGTCGTCAAGTGCGACTCGGCCGAGCTCAACCCGCAGGACGACAACAACGAAGGCACGCTCCAGCGCTTTCCCACGTCGCGCCTCGGCACGGCCCCGGACGTCAAGGTCCGTCTCTCGCCCGCGCCGTTCCCGCACTGGACGATCCGCGAAATCATCGAGCAGCCCAAGGCGGTCGCGTCGGCGCTTGGCTACGGCGGTCGCGTCTCGGACGACCACGTCTACCTCGGCGGCCTCGAAGCCGAGAAGGACAAGATGCTCAAGATCAAGCATCTCCTGATCTCGGCGTGCGGCACGTCGCTGAACGCGGCGAAGTACGGCGCCAAGCTCATGCGCACACTCGGTTCGTTCGACACGGTGTCGACCGAGGACGCGGCCGAGACGACCAACGAACGCCTTCCTCGCCACGAAGGCGGCATCCTCGTCGTGTCGCAGTCGGGCGAGACCAAGGACGTCCACCGCGTCTTGCAGCTCCAGCATGCGCAGGACCTCCCCATGTTCTCGGTGGTCAACGCTGTCGGGTCGCTCATTGCGCGGACGACGCGCTGCGGCGTGTACCTCAACGCCGGTCGCGAGAACGCCGTCGCGAGCACGAAGGCGTTCGTGACGCAGGTCACGGTCCTCGGTCTCATTGCCGCGTGGTTTGCGCAGAACCGGGTCGAGGTCAACCGCACCAAGCTCGACGAGCTCATCCAGTCGCTCCACCGCCTCCCGATCACGATCGGCATGGCGCTCCGGACGCGTGCGATTTGCGCCGACATTGCCGACAAGCTCATGCCGTCCGAGCACCTCTTCGTGCTCGGGAAGGGCTACGCCGAGCCGATCGCGTACGAAGGCGCGCTCAAGATCAAGGAGATCACGTATCTGCATGCCGAGGGCTACTCGGGCGGCGCGCTCAAGCACGGGCCGTTCGCGCTCATCGAAGGCAAGGAAGGCCAGTTTGGCCCGACGCCCATCATCCTCATCGTGCTCGACGACGAGCACGGGCAGCTCATGAAGACGGCGGCCGAGGAGGTGCGGGCGCGTGGTGCGTACACGATCATCATCACCGACAACCCGGCCATGTGCGACGGCCTCGCCGACGCCGTGATCCCAATCCCGAACAACGGCCCGATGACCGCGCTCCTGGCGAGCGTGCCGCTGCAGCTCATTGCGTACGAGCTCGCGGTCAAGCGCGGGATCAACCCCGACGTCCCGCGCAACCTCGCCAAGGCCGTCACGGTCGACTAAACCGTCGCATATTGTAGTAAGAATATGACGTTGTGTGCATCCCACTCCTCGAAGCGTCGTGCATGTAGCCGGATAAAAAGGCTGTACGAGGTTAGGTTTCTCTTTTGGTTACCAGAGTTGTACAAGTGACAAGGGTTATTACTCGTGGAGGGACTTGGTCGACTTGGCCTTGGCGCTGCGCTGCGAGTCGACGAGGACACGGACGACCTCGGCGACGTTCTCGGGCGACGGCGTCGGGTACGACCAAAAGCCACCGGCGACGCGCTTGGGCGGCTCAACCCCCGGTTGCGACGTGTCGGCAAGCCGCCGGAAGAGGTATGCTCGAAACGAGAGACACTACGTGGTAGGCTTCCTCCTGGGACGAGCAGTAGCGTCACGTACATCATCGCGCTCTTTGGTCATCTTGGTGAGCGCTGTGCGCAACGCAGTGGCCTACAGCATAGCCGTCTACCGTAGGTCCGACAGCGTCGAACGTACGCTGCGCAGGTGGCTCTCAGCGTCGGTCTGCGCCCGTTTCTACGGCCATTCATAGAGGAATGTCGACCAGGAGACAGCGTACGAGCTCGATGGCGGCTAGCTTTTGGTGGGCGTCGGCGGTTTGGTGGAGCTGCGTGAGCTTGGCCTCGAGCTACCTTGCGAGTCCACGACGCTGTTGCGTCACGACGGTCCTACCTCTTTGACGCAACCTTCGACGCGGGTCCGTGCGCTCTCTTCGAGCTCGAGGCTTGCTTGCACCTTTTGGTGCTGTCGCTCCGACTCGGCGAGGAGGTCGGTGAGTTGCTGGAGCGCAAACTTCGACTGCGCACCTTCCCGCTACGTATATATATATATATATAAACGACGGGGCGGGACGCCGACGACGCAAACCTTGAGCTGGTTGTGCAGCTCGGTGACCGTAATGTCGAGGTCCTACGCCACTTCGATTCCCTTCAAACTTGGTGGTGTCTCGTACACGAAGCTTTTGCTGCATGGCGGCGGCTTCCACACGGCCCTGGTCGAGTGTTCGCTCCCGCGCTTGCAACTACAGTCGCGATCGTAGCGGGAAAGACTGGGAAGACTCTACCTTGCCAATCGTATGCCGCAGCGTCGCCTGCGTCTTGGCGAGCTCCAAGCTCAGCTCTGCCTCGCGCGGTCGGCGGCAGAACCGACACACGTGTCCATTGGCGCTGTCGCCGATCGGTGCGTTGTCGTCGCCCTCGAGCTGGTCGGGTGCTGGCGTCAAGCGACTGCCGGTGGACGCGCGACGGCTGCCGGTGGTCGCATTTGGGCGCTCGACCGGCGCTTGGTCGCTTGCATCGGTGGCGCTTGTCTCTCGGCGGGCGTACTGGATAAAGTGGGCGCCCAGCAGCACGGGCGACGTGATGCGCTTGGCAGTCGACGCAACTGAAAACACAAATTCGAGGCGCATGGCTTCGACTTGAACTGTTTGTTGCAGGTGTGAAAACACCTGCATCGTCACCGCCTGGAGCGTCGACTCGATCTACAAGCTGCCACGTCATCCCTTTATACAATACGAAAAGGACAGACCTCGGGTGTCGTCGCTTGGGTCAGTACGGTGCTATTGTCCAGCGACGACGCGTAGGGGGCCGCCGTAATCGAGATGCCACCCGCGATTTTTGCTCGGCGGGTCTCGCCCTCGGCGTGTAGCTCGGCGAAATAGCGAAGCCCGTCGTGGGGCACGGTGTACGCCTGGAGGCAGTACGCGCCGTCGTTAAATTGGCGCGGGCCGGGCAACCGCGCCACCGGGGCAAACATGTCGGCCTCCCGCGCGCACAGCGACCGAACGTACGTGTCCAGCTGCGTCTCGTCCAAGAGGCGCAAGGTGTCCTCGCAGACGACGGCGACGTGGACGTCGCCCGACGCGTCGGCCAGTTCCTGCGTCAACAATGGTTTAGCTGCAGATATATCGCGAGACGACACCTGGAGTTTGAGCTCAAACAAGAGCAAATTTGTGTTTTGAATCGGCTTCTTTCGCTGGATCAACGACGACTTGTGCGAGCAAAAGAGCCATTCGACGAGGACGCCTTCGTCGTCCAACAGCGCCGTGTCGGGGATCGTCACCCCGCGCGCACCGTGCAACTGCGATAGCACAAAGTGTGTCGCGGCCCGGCGGCCGTCCGCCGAGTGCACATCCACGAGGCTGTGGGTCACCATGCGTGGTGACGCGCACGGTTATAGACGTGCAAAGATAGACTACACCACATGTCGTATGCCGGTCGAGGTGACCGCCGACACCGCGTCTGGGCTCACTCCAGTCGTCGGGACGCTACTACAGTGCGACCGTTGACGACTGCTAGTTTGGTGCTCGACTGATGCTAGGAAGAAATCGCTGTTCCATTTCTACCTAACTGCGAGCCCTTGGCCATTTCCCAGAGTCTGCAACGCTCATGACAATAACCATAGCCGTGTGTATTATCGGGGCTTGACGTCGAACGCAACGACCACGTGGCTTCGATCGTCGAGGCCCGCGTCCATCAGGAGCGCCTTGTCCTCGAGGGCTTTCCCGTGAAAATACACAAGGAGCATGTCGGGCTGAACGTCCTGCCCGCGCAAGTCGAGGTGCTTGGTTTCAAGCGTCGGTCGCGCCGAGAGCTTCTTGGCGATCGCGACCTTGAGGTCCCGCACGGACCGCGCGACGCTCATGCGAAACGTGAGCGAGAGGCCGTTGGGAAAGTGGCACGTGATGGGCGCGCGGTGGTCGTCGTCGGGCAGCGCGAGCGCCGACGGCTACAGTGATATGTGTTGAAATCGCTCCACGTTCTATGTGCCTACCGTCGCCTCGGCGGGCTCGGCGGACCCGCGGCGAAAGTAGTCTGGCGTCGCCACGCGGAGCGGAAATTGATTACTGCCGTCGCTTGTGTCGAGCACGGCGTGCAAGTGCGCCTTGATCATGCTCATCTTGTACGCCGCGTCCGGCTGCTTCTTGACCCACTCGAACGGATCAAAGCTGGGCTCGCGCGGCCCGGGAGCCTTGGGTCCCCCACTGCGGTCGCCCGAAACCACGGGCGTCGCCAGGATCGTTTTGGCAGCGCGCGTTTGCTACCAAGCGCATCCTAACAAATCCATCCAGCGGACGCATGTACCCGCTGCAGACGCTCGCGATAGATCTCGTCGGTCGGCACGCGGTCCGGGTTGGGCATCCACTGCGGCTCACGATGCAACGACGAGTGGAAGCCGACAATCATGCGCGACGGCTCGACGTCCAGTGGCTTGGACAACGGGCGCGGGTCGTACGTGGCGGCGCTCACGTGCTCGGGCGTTGCACTCGATGCATTCGACGGGCGCTCGGCGTGCGGAAATGAAAACCCAATCGCTGGCAGCGAGCCCACCGACGGCTCGTGGATGATCATTTCTCGGACGCCGTGTCGGCGCCGGGGCGGCAACGGCGAGATCACCGGCGTCGTTGCAGGTGTCGTTGCCGACGGTGGTCCCTTGCGACGAACCGGACTCGCCTTTGCGAGGCTGGGGTAGACACACGTACGCTCGCTCTCACGGCCGAGGCGGTACGTCTCTTTCGAGACCATGTGGTCGGGTGTGAAGTGAACCTCCCGCGCAGGGCCCGAGCGCAGCAATGGTACGTGCGGCGCAGCCAGGCGTGGTTTCGGGTCGTACGCGCCTGGCCCGGGCCCGACAAACTAGGCGATTTTAGATACCTCGGTGCGAGACGAAGAAGGTATCGTACCTGAGACGACGTTTGCACCGCGTTCCGGACGTAGTCGTCGGGCAGATGCAAGGACGTAGCGACGTCGGCCTCGGTGACGCTCCACTCGAGCCGAGCTTCGATGCGCATGAGCGCTCGAAACACGTCTTGCGACAGGATATGGCGCCGGTCCACGTCCATCGCGCTCGATGAGGTCGTATATGGTTGTAAATTTAGGTTGGCGCATGGAAACGGCAGACGCCCGGCGGTATGACGTCCCCGGCGAACTCGCGGCCGAGTTTACGCCCAACGAAGCGGACGAGGTGCGTCTTGTGGACTCAAGTGCAACGGTTTGCGACGTAACCTGTAGCTCTCGGCGCTCTTCGAGTCGGCGGACGCCGATGGCAGCGGCGCGATCGATGAAGCCGAGTTCAAAAAGCTCCTGGTGCGCATGGACATTCAGGTTCCGGACGAAGAAGCCGACAAGCTGGTGATGGCCGCGGACACGAGTGGCAACGGCCTCGTCGAGTGGAATGAATTTGTGCTCGTACGTTGCATTTGCCAAGGCAAGCACGACGACGATCGTGGCGGTAGATGGTGCTGCAAGCACGGCGCGGCGACGGGCGGTTCGCCAAGCTCAAGAGTTTAGCCGACGCGCTCCAGATGACGCCCATCAACCTTCTCCAAGCCGAAGCCGGTACGACCATATTCTCCTTCGTGTCTCGAAGTTGGATTCGGCGTAGACAAATTTCAAATGACAGTCACCTACCAGCTCTTGGAAGAGCGGAAGGCCACCAAGTACAACCCCAAGACGTACCTCGTGTCGGTCAGTATCGCCGCGCCGCACGATGGCGGGTCGCTCGAAGTCTACGAGACGATTGGGTTTTCGACGCGCGAAGCCAAATTCAAGGCAGCCGAGCTCGCTCTAGTCAAGATGCGCAAGATGAAGCCTGGGTACGAGTTCCCCCTCGGCACGATTCCCGACAAATGGGATGCGTGGGCCTTTGCCAACCTCGCGCGCCGCGTCAAGCCGACGACAGTAGCTCCGTCATTGCGTCCATATTATTCGTAACGAGAGATTCTGTCGCTAGGTATTGACGACGTTGGTGCAGAAAGGGTTTGCACCGGCGACCAATTTGGCCTTTATGAAGCGGCTTTCGGTGCGGCTCTCGTCCCGGCGACTGGCCAAAATGTCACCGATGGTGCTCACGTCCACCGGCGGCCTTCCGTCGGCTTGGCGTCGGTGGATCGACGACCAGCTCGCACGCGGCATGGACGGCCGTCTCGTGCTCTCCGAGCTCCAAGCGTATGGCTTTGACGAGGCGCGGGATCTGCACACGACGCAGATGCTGCAGCGGCGCCCGCTGGCCGACGTCAGCTACGACTTTTGGTCGTGTCTCCACGGGGGGGACCTTTGCGAGGTACCGACAACCCGTCCATTCTAGTGGGTATCGACACGCAGTGTAGGTGCAACTGTTTGTTGCGGCCGGTCATGACGTGAACCAAGATCGTCTCGACCGCCGGTGCCAAATCGCCTTCACACCGCTGCAATTCGCTGCCAAGCACGGTTACGACGACATTGCGCGCTTCTTGCTCCAACACGTACTTGTCTATAGTACTCTCTAGTATGTGTACACGTTGTCGGATGTAATAGGGCGCGCAGGTGAATGCGGCCAACAGCTTTCGCCGGACGCCGTTGATGTTTGCTGCGCGCCACGGTCACCCCAAAGTACATCCATAGCGTTCATCGTACAGGGAATGACCGATCCACGTATTCTAGATGGTGCAGCTGCTCCTTGACGCCGGCGCCTCGATCGTCGCCAAAGACAACCTTGAAAACACGCCATTACACCTCGCAGCGGTCGCAGGCTGCGCACAGGTACACCTTTTGCAATAGTCCAACACACCAATCGTGCTCTATCTGATTCTAGTCGACACGCGCCATTTTGACAGCCGAAGCCGCGTACATGCGGGCGTGCATCGTCAACACCAACGCTTCTCTGTGCTTTCTGGACGAAGGCCACGCGTTCCGGCGGGAACTCGCGGCACTCTACGACGTGATGATGGAGAAGAAGCTGCCGCGGAACGTCCACCGGCGCTTTGAGCAGGCGTGGATCCCAGACGCGGTGGATTGCGCGTACGAGGTAGCGCCGTCCCCTCACAGCGTCGCCGCAGCTCGTAATTGGTGTTGGTATAGCGCTTGTTCCACGCCAAAAAGCTCCCCGTTCTCAAGCCGTCGCGTGCTGTGATCGACCGCGTCTTGCAGCGGTACCGGTACCTTCAAGACCAGTGCCCGGATGCCCTTGACGAGGTCGAGCGCCAGCGGGTCGAGGACGCCCGCGCCCACGGCGTGCACAACGCAACCCACCTTCAGGTACCCACCTCGTCGTCTCCACGGTGGGATTAAGACAAACGGCAGATCTACTTGGAGGCCATGTTCAAGGAGGCGTATAAGAATGCACCCAACCGCCAAGGCCGGACTGCGCTGCACTTGGCGTGCGACGAGAACCTTGTGTGCAGCCACGAGGTACTTGTCCAAAAAGCGATTTTGAAATACAGTTGGCAATAGGCCGTGCTGCGGGTTCTGCTGAACACGTTTGGGTGCGACCCCAGCATTCGCGACCACCTTGGGATCGCACCGCTCGACGTTTTGATACACCGCAAAGGGCGACCGGGGAGCCCCCCCGAAGACAAAATATTCGAATCCAAAGTTCGAAGCGACCGCGCGGCGCGCCTGCAACACAACCAGACGCGGCGTCGGAACGAGCGCGACACGCACCGCCGGGGCTTTTTCGAGTCGCAGCTGCTTCAGCTGCTACCGATGCACCCGGTACGATCAAGATGACTACCTTCCAGTGTGAAAATGCGATAGGAAACCAACGAGATTGATCTGAGCGCGGCCAAAGAGCGCAGTCGTGTGACGCGTGAACTCGCCGGGTGGCGGGTGCGTATCGTGAAAGCGTCGCTAGTCGTAACGACGTTCTATGTAGGAATACTTGGACCTTTCGAGCAACAACTCGTTCTACGAGCATCCCGAGTCAGGGCACCTCACCCTCGAGATGCCCGACGCGATCAAACAGTCGATCGCGAAAACCCTGCAGTGGTACACCCGCCGCTCCAACGGACGTATTTTGGAAAAACGAGGTTGCTCCAACTACCGTATGTACACCACGGGAGCGACTGCGTGCTAGACGGCTGGACAATGCACCGCGACCGACGGCGCGCGCGCGTCTTCTTCTTCAACCAAGCCACAGGAACGTACCAGTGGCACCAACCCGATCGCGTCGACGGCTGGGTCAATACACCGCCGACGATGCAAACCAAGTCCCTCGACGAGAGCGACGAGAGTGACGACGACGACGTGGCCGAGTTATTGCAGAAAGAGCGGCTGCAAGATGTATCGCAAAAGCTCTTGCGCCGCCTTGGCAGCGTATGTACTTCCGTCGTATTGTTATTCTCATAAACGGCCTAGTGGGAAGAACATCTCGACAGCGCGACGGGCGGTCGCGTCTACTGTCACTTGGCGACGGGTCGACTAACGCGCGAAAAGCCGGACGAAGTGCTCCACGAAGAGCTCAAGCGCCAGGCCTACACGCTCTTGATCCAGTCGGCGCAATATATGGACAATGTTTGTCCATATTCCACTGTGGCCCACGTTGTGTAACAAAACCGCTAGGTCGGCGCGTGGGACAAGTACTACGACGAGACGACCAAGCACGTCTTTTACTATAACCACGGGACGGGTGAAGGCCGGCACGAGTCAGAAGGCAACGAAGCGGCGTGGCGCGGGGTAGGGTTGGCAGAGGGCCTTTATTTTCGATAGCGTCTTGATACTAGGAGGCCCAAGATCCCGCCGCGACTGCGAAACAAACACGGCGACTTCGAGACGACGAGCTCGCGAAACGCAAGGAGCAGGCCGAGTGGGCCGAAGCATTGCAGCGGGTCCACCGACGCGACATCCACGCGACCGTACAGCGCATCGTGCCGCTGGACGAGCACGCACGCCGGTTACAGCGTCTCAGCGCGGCCATCGTGGACTCGTCAGTGCGAATATGTAACATCCGTGTTGAACTATACTTTTAGGATCCACAACACGTACGCGACGCACTCGGTGGGGTACCGCGACGCCCGCATCGAGTCGGAGCTGCGAACGCTGCACAAAGCGTGGACGCTCGGGCTCTTTGTCAGTCAAAACCTCGAGTTGCCGGTCGTGATGACGGGAACCCGCGAGATTGTGATGGCCATCCAAGCCGACGAAGACGAGAGTGCTGCTATCGAAGACCAGGATCGCCACCCAAGTCTCTCGGAGCGTCGCCGCGTCGAGCGTCTTGTCGAAGCGGCCATTGCGCGCCTGGACGCTCATTGTGGCCTTTGTCTCTGGGGCTGCCATACGTGGCTGCGTCTCGGACTCGAGTTGGAAGCGCACGAATACGACGACTGCCGACACCGGTGCGTAACGACGCTTCGCAAATGCAGGTCTGATGGACGTAGACTCATGCTGTGCCGACTCGGCTGCACGGTTGTGCACGAAGCGCACGAGTGGACCGCGCCCCATGGTGTCGTGACCGAGATGGTGTGGCACGAGGCCGACGAATGCGACACGCGGCTCGTGCGCTGTCCATTGGAGTGCGGTATGTGGGTCGGCTTGGACCAGCTTGAGCTGCATACGACCGAGAAATGCGTGCGTCGCCCCGTCTCAGACCTCACGTGCCGACTCGGCTGCGGCAAGGTACTTGGCGCAACGTCCTGCATATCTATGGAGCTTTGTGTAGCATTTTGACGGCGCCAACAACCAGATCTTGGAGCTCGAGCAAGAACGAGCGTGGCACGAGGCAGAGCACTGTTCCTTGCGCATTGTCAAGTGTGCGTGGCCAGAGTGCCACGAGACGATGCTCGCAAAAGACCGCAAACTCCACCGACGCACGCACCTCTGCGGTACAACTCACGCTCTTGATTTATAAAGCTGATGCTATCTTAGCCTCGGGCATAACCACGTTCAAGTCCGCCGGCGCGTTTGACTTTGTCGTGCCGAAAGAGGTCAAGCACATCAAAATCCAAGCGTGGGGCGGCGGTGGCGGCAGCGGACTTTTGCATGGCTTCAAGAGCGGCTACGGCGGCGGCGGCGCCTTTGTCGAAGGCATTCTCCCCGTCTTCCCCGGCGAGGTTGTCGTATGAACCATGACTGCGTGCATGATGACGTTGGTGGTAGACGCTCTTGCTTGTCGTGGGCGGAGGCGGCCAAGGTGGCGTGTTTGGTGAAACCGCGCCGAGTGACACGGAGAGTGGACTGCCGCTTCTGACGCGCGTACGTCAACTCTTTCAACAATCATGTCTGTGAAGCAAGCCTTGATATATGCGCTTTTGTAGGCCGGCGAGGCGACGGGCGGGACCCCCGGCGGCGGCGCAGGCTACAGCGGCAACAACGAATGGGCGTGCGGGGGTGGCGGAGGCTACTCGAGCGTGACACGCAAGGGCCCTCATGGCCTCGTTCAACTACTAATTGCTGGTGGCGGAGGCGGTGGTGGCTGTCGTGACGGTCTTGGTGGCGGTGGCTTGCACGCCGAAGACCGCGGTGAGAAGAGTGACGTCCGCAACGGCCGTCTCGGCTCACAGACGCGCGGTGGCGCTGCCGGTATTCACCCTATTTTTCATGTATTTTGCGACAAGATTGTCCATTTTAGGTCGGAGCAGCAAGGAGAACGTCGCGTGTGCGTTCCCAGCCAGTGACGGCAGTGCGTACCAAGGCGGGCACGGCGCCGAGTTTGGCGGCGGCGGGGGTGGCGGCTTCTTTGGCGGTGGCGGCGGCGGCTTCTCCCCTGGTATCGTCGGGGGCGGCGGCGGCGGCTCCTCGAACGTTGAGAAGACGAGCTTCACCAGCATCCTCGTCGAGCGCTCGTACAAGCGCGTACCCGGTGGCCGTGAGAAACACCCACCAGCAGCAGAGCAGGGTGGCATTGCCGGCGAAGGCGGCGCAGGTGGGTAGCATGCATGCTTGCATTATCGCACATGGTTTGCACTAGGCGTATTGACGCAAACTTGCGCGGGCAACGACGGCTGCATTCGCATTGCGATTCCAGGCTTTTACAGCGACATGGACTTTGACACGGAAGACGACCGCATGCGACTCGAGCCAGCCCCGTGATGCCATGGTAGGTGCCTACGACTAAGGGACTAGTACAGCAGGAATCGAAACGCCATAGTGTTGAGTTGACGATCTGTGGGAGCATCATTTGATACTGGGGTTAGGGCTGCGGTTAGGGTTCATGCAGTGGTTGACTGAGAGCGTTCGCACAAGCTACAAAGTGCAGTCTAACCGAGCCAGTGCTCCATTCATCCTCCTTCTCACAAAGCGTCTCAGCGCCAACGGACGCGCCAACTTACTGCCACCTTGCGTCTTCCTTCACAGCGCAATCGCTAACCGAATCCAACCGGATGCTGGTTAAGTGCGGTTGTTTTAGCCACTCTGTAAGTACGAATATCGTACTTACGAATTGAATTTGGCGCCGCTTCAAGATCGCAAGTCGCATGGACACCGTGCTCGTGGCCGCGGAAGAGCTCTACCTCCTCAACCAGCGCTTCACGTTGGCGCGCGTCCAGCGCGTCTACGAGATGTATCGGCGCTACGTCAACCCACACGTGACGGACGGCGGCTACGCACTCACGCTGGACGAGGTGCTCTTCGTGCTCGAGATCCCTTCCGACGACGACGAGGTCGAGGTCCGCGCCTTCTTTGAGCGCATGATGGAGCGCAGCACGACCGAGGCGCGCGATGCGATGGACATGCTTGAGTTTCTCGTTGCGTTCACGCTGCTAAGCCGCGGAACTCTCCGCGCCAAGGCCCACTTCCTCTTTGTCCTTTTCGACTTTGACGTCGAGGACGAGATCGACCAAGAAGAGCTTAGCCTTCTCATGACGCTTGCGACGAGCGGCTTGCACAAGCTAGGGCTTGTAGAGGAATTGCCGACGTTCGACGCCATCACGCAGATGAGTGCCGATGGCTTTGCCCGCCACGGCGTCGCTGCTGGTGCCAAAATGAACTTCAACCAGTTCCTGGACTGGGCGACGTTCCACGCCGACCCGCAGTCGCTTCTGCAGCGATTCACGTACGGTATTCACTGTCTCACGATCATCAATATGCTTTTGATTAGATGTGCGCTCCGACTGCACCATCTAGTGCACGGCTTGAGCCGCCTCGCCCACCGACAAGTGGACCCGTACTACCGGTACCAGTTGGCGCTGCAGACGCCGTCGCCGCCCCTTGACGCTGTCCGCGTGCTCTGCGGCCCGATCGTCGGCCAGGTACGCGGTAGCGTCAGACAGTGCTGAGCGAGCGACAGGTGTCGGATACGACCATCGACGTCCTGTACGAGTTTTCGACGGCGGCCACCGGTGGGTCTTCCTTGAGCTGCATCGACTTTGTGAGAGCCATCTGTGGCTAGTTACCTTTTACGCCTTTGAAGACAAAGCCGTCGTCGACCCTCATTGCCCGCCAACCGACACGGCGTCCCGCAGGTTGCGTCTTGCAGAGTCTCATGTCCTCACTGTCGCGGAGCATGAGCCTGTGCTGGTGGCGTTCACAGCGCTCACGCCCGGCGCCACGTACTTGATCGGGCTCACAGGCGTTGCAACCGGCGATGCCAACACACGAACTGCCCGCGTCGCGACGCAGCCGCCCACTGTAACTACACTGCGTATCACAGTGCTCAATCACTTGGGGCCAACGCTGCTGCCGTCCCACGATGCTCTCTCGATGGCGACGGCCAGCGAGCTCTCGGCGGCCACGACGTCGCCCCGGCTAATGCTTCACTGGCACTTTGGTAAACTCAACATCATCGTTGGCTGCACGAACGAAGGGTGTAGGTACCTTCTCGCCCGAAATGATCCTGCACGCCCTCGACCTCCTCGACCTCCAAAATGTACACATTTCAGAGCTTTGGCGGTTGGTGCCAAATACGTTAACGTGTAGTTGGCGTCCGTCCAAAGCACGACGGACGCGATCCAGTGCCATTGTCGTCAGGTGTGGGCACCCCTCGACGACGTTGCCTCAACCGCTTCAAACCTCGTTCTCACTGGATGGAAGGATGCCCTCTACGGCGGCTTTGACGACTCGCATATGTCACAGCTCAAGACACTGCCACAAGCCTCCCGTACTTGGCTCGAGACCTGCGTTCAGGCTATGTGGACGAGATATGTCACCGCACTCTATCCGCCGACGACAGAGTCTTCGAACGACGAGCTCGCACTGTACCGTCGCGGCCCCATCGCGCTGATATACGTACCGCCGACACTTACCAGCACCGACACCCTTCAGCACCTTTTACGTGCCACGACATCGTCGGTTTGCGTGGTGCTAACGACATCGCCGCTGTTCCCTCTGGAGGAAGCGCCGCAACACCCTGCGTCGACCAGTCGTCATCTTGGCGCCTTGTCGTCCTGGCTTCTTCAAGGTTCCTCAAGGCGGCTCGTATTGCTGGCGCCCACCCACGGCGCGGGGGCAACATCGACCGTTCATGTCAAGGGAACATCCTACTCGTTTCAGCAGCTATTATGCGGTGCACTGCGACAACGGCGGCCACTCGGACAGCTTATGGACGGGTACCCAGCGTACGACGTCAACAAGTATACTGTCGAGCACACGTCGTCCCACTGGGAGACACATTTCGGGCAGCTGGAAGTCCAAGTAGATGTACGTGGTCCGTTCATTGGGCAGTATACCGGATGCTGGTTGTAGGCAACGGTCGACGTTGCTGCACACTGCATTGCGACTGCGCGGTGGGCTATATCACCGCGAATCGTGGTACTTGTCACCATGTTTGCGTGCGCCACGGCTCCCTGTCTTGGCTTAGGTAGGTCCCGTTGTCGGGCTCGTCACGGCGCGGAGCGCCCAGCTTTTGATTGAGCTTGACGCCGACGCGGTGGTTCTTGGCGAGGCCATCGACATTGTGACGCAGGCGCGGTGCGTAGCGTTGGTTTCCGAGCTTCCTCATTCACGCTAGGTACGTCTGCCGCGAACGACTCTATCGCGCCGAGCCCGCGGTGTTGACGTTTGACCATCTGCAGCCGCAACGGCGGTATCGTGTGACACTGCAGGCAAGAACGTGCCGCCTCGCCTGTTGTCACGAAGTGTAGGGGCTGCGCTGCGCATCGCCCATCTATGTTCAGACGCCGCACGAGCGAGCGCCGTCATTGCACGTCACGTGGGTGGGCGGGGACGATGCCTTTGAGAACCGGGCCTTCCAGCCGGTGGATTCGTTTTGGCCCGATTACCGCGAAAGCATGACGTTGTGGCCGACCACGGACATTACGGTGCTCCTCCATCGAACGTCGCTGAGCCTCGCGTCGATATGCGCAGCGATGGCACACTGGCGTGGCGCGCCGACGACGGCCGAAAGCGTCGTCAAGCAGTTGTTTCGAGCGACATTTGTCACGCAGTGGAATGCGCAAGACAACGCGGCTGTCTTGGCGCATGGCAGCCACTGTTTTTTAGGGACCGGCTACGACTGGAGTGCTGTCAACGAGCCGATCAGCCGCGACGTGGTCGTGTGGGCGCGCCAAGTCGCCTTTGCCTACCAGCGCCACGGTCTCTGGCCGACGCTCGACCCGTTGCGCCGGTATGGCTACCACTGCCAAGACGGCATCGGGTTCTTGCACCTCGATGTGCTCGAGCATTGTTTGGCGAATGCCGACATCTACCTTCAAAATGTACGCAATTGTCGATGGCATCATCCAACTCAATTCGACTAGACGCCCGAGTTTTTGAGTCCCACTCAATGGCAGCTCGTTGAATGTGTGCTCACGCAGGTTGTGGGCCTCTGCTGCACCGTCATTTCATGCAGCTCGCCGATCGTGTGGCATCAACATCGCCACGAGGTGCCTTCTTCTCGCTACCTCGGGCTCGAGTGGGTTCTCTACCCAACCGAGCAACAGCGGCTATTGACCCTGGCTTTTGCATGGAAAGCAGCGGTAGATAACCTGTTGTGCTCACGAACGGGGATCATGCGTTCACTGTAGGTGCCGGGGCGCGACCTCATCTTTGTCTGTGCGGGGCCTCAAAGTGCGACGACCACGCTCGTACACGCAGGCGTCTCGGTGACGCAAGTTGTCGTCGGTCCTGTCGCTTGCGTAGTCGAGGACCTTCCAACGCTGCCCAATACGACGGGCGCGCTCTGCGACGGCACAGTGGCCTTTACTCACGTCTTTGGCGCGTCACCCGAGTATGCGAGCACGATCTTGACGCCGCATGCGACGCAAGCGCGGTGGCGACTCCACCGACATCAGCTGGCGCAGCCCAACGCCAAGGTGATGTCCTCGATCCTACCGTCATCTTGTAAATGGCGCGTGTAGATTCTTGTCGGCCCCGTGCTCGGCAAACTCACACCGACATCAATTCGAATCCTCATCGAAGTCGACCGGGATGTTGAAGCGTGCGTCTGCGTGTGCACCACACCACTCGCGACCGACCGGTACGCCACACAAGTACACATGTGTCAAGTTGAACCAAACTAGCATCACGGCGACGTGTGCGCTTCGAGCCTACACCCCGCTCGCCTTTTCGCTCGTGGAGCTCACACCCGCGACCGAGTACATTGTCACGTTCGAGGTACTTGCTACGGGTTCTTTGGTCGTGCGGTGACCAGGGTTAGGGTATCGCACCAGCGTCGGTCGTGACCCGCTTCACGACGCCTGCCACGACGCCATATGCCTTTTCGATGCTCGCCGTCCACGACACCAACTGGCAAACCGTGTTGACGCGGTCGGCGGCTAGCACGGCAATGTTGTCGACATCATCATGGGCAGACATCTTGCGCAGTCGGTCCATCAACGCTACAGAGGCGGCGGCGACGGCCCATACCAACGGCGACATCCTCGGCGTCGACGGCGCCACCAACCTCTGGCAGCGCGCCGACGTCGACCATACATCGGCGCCGCTTCGAAAGCCGATCGTACTTGTACACAACGGCGGCCACGTCAACTTGCGCGCCGCCTTTAGCGATGCTGAAGTAACGACTATCGGTCTTGGATGCAATCACACAAAAGTGGTTTGTAGTTGGCGACCATTGTCATGCGGCTTGTGGCGATGGACGAAGCGCACTGGGCGTCGGTGCTCCCCGAGGTACGCGGTCCGTCGTGACTCGGTTCATTTGCTTTTTGTAGCTTCAGCACGCGATGCAAGAAGCCTACCGCGTCCAGTGGAACATTCCGCCGTTTCGAGACGCTCTGCGCAACTGCAGCAATGTCATGCTCTTTGACGAGATGGATTTGTACTTTCGCTTGTCGGTGATCGAAGGGCGGCTCGACGAGACGCTGGACGCAGCCAAGGCGGCGCGGGTCGGCTCGCACTTGAACATGCAGTGCTGATAGGGAGCGTAGGTGCTTCAGCTGCTCCGGGACACTGCGTACAACGTCTGGCTGCTCTACGCCAACCAGCTGGCAACAGACGTCAACCCACCCGAGTCGCTCACAGCAACACGGACTTCCATGTTTGCCAGCTACGGCCAGTGTACACTCGTCGTGCTCAACCAGCACGCCACACCCAAGGAGGCTACAGCGGCAGCTCCAGTCCCCAAGTCGAGTGACATTGACCTCTCCAAGGTGACGCAAACCAATAACTTGCTGCCGCCTGGCGCGTGGCTGACGCTGGACGACGCGCTCCTCTACGCCAAGCAAGGCTGCAAGGTGCTTCTCGTGGTTCTCGCTTTTGACGCGCTTGAAGTTGCGCTCAATCCCCTCTACCTTGTCGGTGTCAACCGGCTGTTTGAGAAGCTCTTTGAGTGGAAGAACCAGGCGCCAGGAGCCGACCGCGAGCTACACCTCGTGACGCTGGGCCCTGCGCTCACAACGTACCTCGTCACTGACCAGCGGAGCCAAGGTGTTTGTGGGTTGCAACAGCTCGCGTCGATCTCTACGCCGACACGCGCGTCGTCGACGCCGCTGTACCCACCGAGCGGCGCCATCACCAAGAGGTTTCTGTATGCCAAGCAAGGTACATCTACTCACTAGTTGAACCTACGTATACGAGTGGTGGTAGGCAATGACGCCGCGGACGCGACCCAGAGCTTTGTGTCGTTTGCGTATTTTTCAGACCTGGATCGTGTCCAGTGTCACATGCAGCCTGTCGTTGAGCCCTACAACATCCCGTGCAAAGCGCTGGTGCGTCTCTGCTCTCTATCGATCGAGTCATGGACCACTCACGACGGCCGTAGCTCGGGCCTGTTCTCGGTCGGCTCCGTGTGGTCCAAGACCGCGAGACCGACAAGTACTCTGTGACAGCGATGCTGCTCCTCGAAGTCAATGCCGCCCGCGCCATTACGTGCATTGTCCTCGACATTCTCTCGGGCGACGAGTACGAGCACGCTCGTTTCCGGTACCGACCAACTACCGTTGTGTAGGCAGCGGGTGACGCAAGAGCTACAGGCGTACACGCCCTCGGTCTTTCTCTTGGCGACCCTCGACGTCGATCGGCGCTACACCTACCGTTTTGAAGTACGTTGTTCAAATGTTGCGTTTGGTAAGCTCCTAGGGGTAGGGTCTCGACGACGAGACGCGATGTGGGACGTTTCACACCCCGTCCGAGCACACTAGTGTCCTCAACATGGTTGCTGTGAGTTCAAATCTCATCCAGTTTCGGGATCCGGCCGTCGTGAACTCGTGGGACCTGCTCTTGCAACGGTAGACAGTGGGAACACGATGTATTCTCATTAACTCTAGGCTTCGTGTGCCGTGGCACGGTCTCGATGTGCTGCTGCACGTTGGCGGCCAAGTGCCACTTCAAGAAGCCGCCGCCGAGTGTACCCACTGGCTCCAAGACGAGTGCGACCGTACGATCCAGAGCCGATACCCTTATGACAGGCGCGGCTGTAGGACGCCCCATGGACACATTAGCGCAGGTGGTGGCGACACTGCGTCCGCGATTGCGCCGTCGGTTCCAGCAAGAGTACTGGGCAGCGTGGAACGTGCCGCACTTCCGCCACGTCCTTGCGTGCATTAGCAACTGGATGGTCCGCGGGCAAGCCGACGTGGCGACGACGTACGGCCGGTCGCCCGACTTGCTGCTCAAAGAAGATATGAGCCTGCGAACGCTCGAAATCTTGAGCTACATCCACGAGATCGCCATGGACGTGTGGCGAGCGTACCAAGGTGCTTTGGGCTGGGGCCCCGACGCCTCGGACGCGGACGAACCACAAGGGAGTATCGCCGAGTCCCATGTGACGACGCCGGACCTTCCGCTCTATTATGCGCTTCGGCTCGAGCACATTGGTGTGTTTGTGTTTGACCTGCGAAGCACGCGTGTTGGTGATGTCATTTCGTGCAACGGACGCCTCTCGACGCCACTGCCACCGACGGTACGCGCCACCATCGACGACCGGCTACCACGTACTAGGGAGTAGGCGCGACCGACGATTAGCGAGGCCCAGTGGCTGGCCTTTGAGGTACAGATTTGCAATGATGTTACCTTGCTCTCGGTCGACAATACATAGACCTTGCTTCGAAAGAAGAGCGTCCGGGCGTTGATCCTCGTCATGGAGTTTCCGCTGCTGCTGACGACCCCGAAGAGTGCGCCATTGACAGCCGCCCGGCCGCTGTTGTACAACGCGCTGGACCTGCAGGCGCACTGGGTGGCATGTCCGTCGCAGCTGGGCCAGCTCCTTTCGCTGCTCTTCAAGTGGAAGGAGAAGATCGACGGTCGGGACGTGGCAGTGCTCAGTGGCAACATGGGCTTTGGTCTCGAGACGACAATCAAAGACAAAACCTCGACGTTTGAGCTGCACAACTACACGACCGGACCGATCACATCGACGGTGCAGCCGTTCCCGTTTACGGATCGTGGTACGTTTGAGAAACGTTTTGAGTTTGAGCAGCGCTTTGTGTCGCCGCTGCCGAACTACGTGCTCTTGGAAGTGGCCATTGAGTCGCACGTGGTCGACGCGGCCGTGACGCTGACGTACGCGTCGTTGATCGGTGACGTGCTCGATTCGGCCAACGCGAGGGTGCTGCATGCGCCGACGCGCCTCCGTCGACGTCCGCCGTGGTGGCGCCGCTACTGCCTCCAGGACGAGCGAGCGTTCTGGACCACGATCGTCGTCAACAGCGTCGAGAGCCAATCCATCCTTGCCACGTACCTTGCCGACGACAAGGCGTACCTCAATGCGACCAAGCGCTGGTACACCAAGTACAACTTTGTCGATACCACGCGCCTCGCCGACCTCCAGAGCAGCTCCACCAGCGTACGTTGTCCAATTTTATAGACAATATTGTCCATACGAGCGTATGTAGCCCGAGACGCTGCTCGCGAGCTTGCACGACGTCGCCAAAGATATGTGGGCAACGTTCCCTCCCGCCATCAAAGCCGTAGCCACCGATGACCTTTCCTGTTCGCTGATACCGCGTGGGCTGCCGTAGACGGTCGCCGTGCTCAGCGATGTGTTTGTGGTCGATCTCGCTCTCGAACAACTCCAGCTCGACCTCAGGTGCGTCGACTTCAACCTGCAGCCCCTTGTACAAAGTCGCGCGTAGCGGTCCCATTGACGTCGAGAGGTTCCGCGCCATTTGCACGGGGCTTGCCAAAGGCGCGTGCGCGCTCAAGGCGGCGGCGACGTTGGCGGCCGAAGACGCAGCGATTGCATACGAGGCCGACCGGTTGGCCAAGCTCGAGCAGCAACGGACGTCGGCGGCAGCGACCGAAAAGGCGGCCGCCGATGCGGCCGCGGACGCCGTTGCGATGGCGGCGCTGCAGAAAGCCAACCTCCTCGAGTACGCCCAAGAAATGAACAAGCGCGAGAAGGACCGGCTGGAGAAGGAGGCGGCCGACAAGGCGACGGCCAAAGCCGCCAAGCGCGCCGCCCGCGAAGCCGAGAAGCTCCATCACCACGACGACGACGTGGCGCTGCACAAGGAGAAGAAGGCGCTTGCAGCGCTCAAGGGTCGGCTCGAGACGCACTACGCATCGTTGGGGCAGACGCCCGAGTACGAAGCCATGGAGATCGAGTGTGGCCGGCGGACGCGCGAAGTGCATTTGCTGCAGCAGCGACGGGACGAGTCCAAGGCCCGCGATGCCAAGACCAAGACCAAGCCAACTGCAGAGACGAAGGGATCGACGTAGACGCATTATCTATCTCGCCTGCTCGTTGTGGAGCGCTTCGCACTCGTCAATCCAGTCGGTGTACACGTCAATGGGTTCGCTCAAATCTAAGGGCGCATGAGATGGCAGGATGGCAGCCAGAACGTACAATTGATGTTGGTCTGGAACGACTCGCTGCAGACGCGGCAAGAGAGATGGCCAATGTTGCGGTCGCGGTCCCTACATGGCGTTAGCAGCGGCAAAAGGACGGTGGGCCGTACATCTTGCACTCGACGCTCTCGTCATGCGAGCAGAACGGGCACTTGAAGACGCGGCTCACGACCTGCTTCTTGCGCGTCACGATCTTCTTGGTCGACTTCTTGCGGCGGCCCATGCTGGCTTCTTCTCGGTGGTGGACAACGGGCCGACAACTGGAACGAATTGCCGGATAGACCGGATATACAGTGCTGTTTGCGCCGTATATAGTGTGATATCGGACCCGCGCCATTTTAGAAGATGTGCGAAATTGCACACTGGTGTATTGTGCGACGACGACAAGGTCGCCGACGCGACGCCCTCGTCCCAAGCGTAAAAGGGTGCTCCGGTTTCCCCAACGGGTGGGGTTTGCGTGCGCCTTGTCGCTTTCATTCTAGTGCTTCAACGCTGAGTGCCGAGGCCGATTGCAGAGAAACCGAGTCACCCGCGGTGCAAGGTCAAGATTAGCTACTACACTCTAGTACATTAGTAGTTGTGCTGTGCCGCGTGTTGCTGATGATAACGACCAAAACGAAGAGATGGCATTTGCCATGAAAAGGGCGAATATAAGATCTTGTTGCAATCATATCCTAGTCGACTAGATGCATGCACAGTCGACTAGATAAATGCCTCAACGTTGAGTACTAGACACCGTGAGCATCGAGTGCAGCTCGAGGTCGCGTGTACAGGTCGTCATCATTATACATGCTGACGTGCTGTGCTCCGGAGAGGAAAAGGTGTTGTTGTTCAGAGGTCGTGTGTCAAAAACGTACACTATTTCAGTATTCGTCCAAGAATTACGGATACGAAGGGGTGTCGCGGCGCATCTTGTACCGCGGTAGCATTAAATCCTGCATCCCGCGTATACTATAATCAAGTCATAGAATGGCCAACTGTATTTGCTCTTGATTGGTTGGCCGGTCGCGCCATTTGATCCGGATACGCGAGATTGGTCGCGCAGATCCAAAGAACCTCAACGTCGAGCAGAGTCATGTTGCGCCGGTCGATCACGCAGCTGGGCGCCGCGAGGGCCTCGCGCGCCTTCAGCTCGCACACGGCGCTCCTGCGCGAGTACGCGTCCGAGGGCGACTGGAAGCGCGCGCTGCAAGTCATGTCCGAGCTCGACAAGGCGGGCAAGACCGACGCACTCTCGTATGAGCTCGCGATTGAAGCATGTGGCCGCGACCGCCGCATTGACGCGATGCAGGCGCTCAAGGACACAATGGAGAAGGACAAGATTGTGCCAAGCACCGGGACCATCGACCTCTTTGTACAGCTCTACATGCACCTCAACCAGCCCGAGAAGCTCGTGGAGCTCGGGATCCAGCGTCTTCGAGCCAACGAGCCCATGAGCTTGGCCGCGTACCACTCAATGATTGACGCGTGCTGCAGCCTTCGCTCGATCCCGTACGCCGAAGAGATTCTGCAGAGCCTCGGTGAGCACGCGGCGTGGGCGACGCCGCTCGGCTGCGACGAATTCGCCGCGCTCATCCGCTGCTTTGGCATTTGCCAGCGCGCCGACTTTGCGATGCACGCGCTCTTCACGATGCAAGACCGCGGGATTGAGCCCAACGTCGAAGTCTACACGCAGCTCGTCCGCGCCCACATCTCGCTCGGTAGATATTTCGGCCCCTCTGAATCTGAATCTGAAAATACACTAGGTGGCATGAACCAGGCGCTGCACGTCTTCTCGCTTTGCAACCAACAAGGCATTGTGCTTGGTGAGAGCATCCACGCAGCGACCATCGGCGCGCTCTGCGAGAAGAAGGCGTTCTGGCTCGCGACCGAGCTCTTTGCCGACATGGAAGCCAAGAAGGTCGAGGCAAGCCACTACTGCCTCTCCAAGATGATCCTCGCCTACATTCGCACCAACAACCGCGACGGCGCGTACGAAATCTGGCGCCGCATCCAGTCGCGCGACCGCCCAGCGACAATTGCGACCTACATGGGTATCATGAGCGACTGCGTCGTTACGGGCGAGCTCGATATCCTCCTCCTCGCGTTCCACGAGCTGCAGTCGCACTACGACGTGCTGCCGCCGGCCGCTTACAGCTTTGCGATCCGCGCCCACGGCCGCAAGGGCAACACGGCCGACGCCATCGAGATGATGGAGGCGCTCATTCGCGCCAACGGGTGCCCGCAAGACGCGACCACGTACATTGCGATCTTCAACGCCCTCGCGCGCTCGTCGGGTATGTCATGCTGACATGTCACGAGTCTGCAGGCTGACACACATTTGTAGTGGACCGGTCTGTGGACCAGAACCGCCATGACATTGTCAAGTACTGGGACCTCATGATGCGGCACGTGTCCAACCTCCAGGCGCCGGCCTTTGCCAGTGCGGCCGGTGCGTTTGCGAGCTGCGGCGACGTCGACTCGCTCAAGAAGCTCATTGAACACACCAAATCGCACCTCCCGGGCTCTGAGAGCCTTCTCTACTCGGGCGCGATCTCGGGCTTTTCCAAGGCCAACGCCGACTACACGGGGTACATCCGCGATTGCATCACCGAAATGCTCGAGAACGGCATTGCGCTCAACGACGCGGCGGTGCGCGCGGCGTCGGATGCGTACGTCAAGCACGCGTGCTGGGACGACGTCGCCCACCTCATCAAGAAGATGGACCCGAAGGCGTTCAACCGCCCGGAAGGCGTGATCGGCGACGTCATTTCCAAGCTCTTAGACGCGCAAAACTGGCCCGTCGCGCGCTTCGCCATCAACTCGGCCCACGCGATGCACATTGACCCGCACATTCGGTCCAAGCCGTACCACCTCCAGGTGCTCGCCAACAACACGAACGAGTCGCCCGAGTGGCGCATCGCGTACAGCCTCGCGCTCGAGACGGTCTCGTTTGGTACGATCAATGAAGAGCACGTGTACGCCGTCTGCAACGCCATGAAAGTGCTCTTCCGCGCCGAAAAGTACAACCTCATGGTACATTTTCATTCGATTTGGATGCATTTTCGTTCATTCTCATGGTTCAGACACTCACATGGCTGTAGGCGCGGCTGTGGTATGCGCTCAAGGCCAAGAACCAGCTGCCGCTGCCGATTGACGCGTACAAGTGCATTGTGATTGCGAGCTTGGAGTCCGGGTTCGAGCACTCGGCGATCATGGCCGCCGACGAGATGCTGGCCATGTTCAGCGAGCACCACGCAGATATCGTCGACTCGACCGACGTCTCGGACGTCTTTTCCGTCATCATTTCGACCTTTGCGCAGTACAAGCACGACGAGGTCGTGCTCAAGCTCTTTGAAGCTATGGCGAGCTTCAACTTGACGCCGAATGCCTATGCGTTTGTCGCGGCGCTCAAGGCGTACTCGAACCTCGGCCGCACGGACCAGATCCCTACGCTGCTCGCGTCGTTTGAAGAGTGCATCTCTGCGAGCAAGTACAACGTCGACGAGCTGGCGGAAATTTTTTCGTCGGTGATTTCGACGGCCGCGACCGCCGGCGACGACGCGCTCATCATCGCCATGTACGAGCACATGGAGGCGTTCGATATGACGCCCAACTCGTATGCGTACAACGCGATCATCCGCGCCTACTCGCGCCGTGGCAGCCTCGACCGTGTCGCCGCGATCCAAGCCGCCATGACGCAAGACGGCAAGAAGGTCAACGACCGCGTCGTCGAGTCGCTCCTCAAGTCGTACATCCTTGCCAACGACGTGACTAACGTACTGGCGACGATGCAGCAGTTCCAGTTCACCGGCGACCGCGCGCTCCTCACGTTTCTCCAGTGCAACCAGCCGCAGCCCGTCGTCGACTTTCTCAAAGCCCAAGGCCACGCCCACCAAAAGCACGGGCATATCGTGGAGCGCGTCTCGCCGGCTATGCAAACCAGTGCGCTCAAGTGGCTCCTGAAGCGCGGAGCGACCATGGAGGCCGCGGATGCGTGCACGTTCCTCCTGCAGAACGGGTACCGCGTCACGGGCCATGTGTTCGAGACGCTCCTTGACCAGCTCAGCTACCACGGCGCATACGACCTCGGCACGGCGCTCCTCGACCTCTACAATGAGAAGCGGTCGTACGTCAAGAACACCGACTCGGTCGTCGAGTCGACCATCATCCTCTACAGCAACGGCGGCAAGTACGACCACATTCGCGACTTGCTCACGTCGCCGCGCCGCCTCTTTGATACCAACCAGTACGCACTGGGCATGGGTCTCTGCGTCGACAGCGGCGCGCACGCGCACGCGCTTGCGATTTTCGAGTCGCTCCGCCACCGGTTCGTCGAACCGAACGGCCAAGTGTTTTGCCTCGCGCTCGAGAGCTGCATGGTGCTCAACAAGCCGGACGGCGCGCGCCAGATCCTCCAGGACGTCGCCCGCAACCGGTTTGACAGCAAGCTCCAGAGCGAGCTCAACCGCCGGCTGGCGTTTAGCTTGACGCCGGAAGCGCGCACGATCGACCCGGACTTGACCGACAAGGTCGCCAAGTTTGCCTTGTTTCTCGAAGACCACGGGTTCCCGATCACAAAGACGTTTAGCGACAAGCTCCTCATGCGCCCGACGAGCACGTACCTGGACGCACCGACGCGCCGCCGCATTCTAAGCCTCGCACGCGCCAAGTCGGAGGGCGGCAAGTACAACACCACCAAGCAGTCAAAGAAGCCCACGACCGTGCGTCCGTGGTGGAAGGGCGACGCCTCGACGTGGCACAGCAAGGCCAAGTAGATACACCCACTGACTAGACTATGTATTGATTGATGACACTATTGCCCAATTTGAAATGACAATATCGCACGACGCCGGAACCGCTCTGCTACAGATGAGCTTGGTGGCAACAGCAAGTTGAAGTGGCGGTTTCTCAAGTGCTGATTGGCTGAAATGTAGGCCGTGGCTTCGATTTTTGAGATTGCAGTTTGCGGCCGAACACGAATGATGCTCCAGCGACTGACGGCGACGACGACGCGCCGGGCGGCGATGGTCCGCGGACTGGCGACCGTCGCGCCCTTTCACTTGGCCGTGCCCGTGCACAGCCTCGCGGAAGGTACTTGTGCGCCCCGTCGCACCCGATTTCATCTACTTGGATAGCGCAAGCCTTTTACGGCGGCAAGCTCGGCTTTACCGAAGGCCGGTCGTCGGCGCACTGGCAGGTACGAAGGCTCCGACATCGCATGCTGGTTCATGGCGTCGGATATAGGACTACAACATGCTCGGACATCAGCTGGTCATCCACGCCGTCGGTCCCGAGTACCGCGGGCGCGACTACCACAACCCCGTTGGTATGACGCTGTCTTTTCCGAGGTTGCTCCGTCACGAGCATCCTACGTAGACATGGACGACGTTCCCGTGCCTCACTTTGGCGTGTGCTTGACGGTCGACGAGTTCCACGCGCTCGCCAAGCGCGTTCAAGCGGCGGCCATCCCCTTCGTCGTCGAGCCGCATCTGCGCTTCGAAGGCCGTCCAGGGGAGCAATGGACCATGTTCTTCAAGGACCCGAGCAACAACAACCTCGAGTTCAAGGCCATGACCAACCCTGCCAACCTTTTCGCCAAGTACGTTGAAAAGTAGGACTCGTGGTTGTAATGAAAAGGGTATATCCATCTTATCCCAGATCTTATTCCGTTCTTGTTGTTGTGTAATACAGTGTGTCAACGTAGCGACCGGGGTACTTAGAGCGAATCAACGTCAACGGTCATCGCCTCGTCGGCGCTCGCTGTCGTATGCGCGCTCGTTGTAGTCTCGGTTCGCAGCGGTATCTTGATCTTGTGCACGGTGGCTTCGTGCTTCTCGCGCGCCGGAATCGTCTTGAAGACGTGCTGGCACGCGCGGCACGTCCGGCTCTTGTTGCGCTTGGGCTTGGGCTTGAGCGGCGGCGCGTTCGGGCCGTGCGCGGTCTTGATGTGCGCCGCGACCGCGTCTTGGGTCCGGAACCGGCGTTGGCAGCTCCCGCACGGAAGCGTCTTGGCGGTCACCGCCTTGCACGTGGGTGTGTGCTGGCGTAGGCTCTCGAGCGTCGGCCGCGTTGCGCCGCATTTGTCGCAGACAAACTGCACCGAGCGGTCGAGCGTTTGCACGACGGACGCCACGGCCTCACTCGACGTCTCGGCGAGCATCGCGTCATAGATGTGCAGTAAGACGGCCGCATCGAGCGCCGCGTACGTGAGCTGCGCGGGCTTGAGCGGGCGGAGGTTCCAGTTGGACTTTTGCTGGGATTTGGTGAGACGCCGCCCGAGGGCCATGTACGTGAGCTTTTGCAAGCTAATGAGTGCCGTGTGTCCGAGCGTGAGCCGTGCGAGGTCGGTCGCTTCGATGTAGCGGTGCACCACGAGCGCGTCGTCAAAGTCCTACAAGAGATGTTCAACGTGCAGAAATATCGCGAATAGTACCTTGAGATCGGTCTCGAAGCCTTGGCCAATCTTGGTGCATGTCGTGGACGCAAGGAGCTCGGCGAGGACCAACGTCACGTTCGCCTTGGGGAGTGCGAGCAAGTCGAGAATAAACACCGTCTCCGCTGCCGACGCTGCATCGCGCATGGCGATCTGCAACAGCGATACGGGCTGGCGAGGTGCGCCCTTCTGAAAGACCGGGCGCGTCTCCTAGAGAGGCGTGAGATGCGCGAGGTCGCGGTGATATGTACCGAATCCAAGCCCACGAGCATGGCCGTTCGCAGCTGCTCGTGGCATGTCTGTAGCTCGGCGAGATTGCGCACAAAGACGACGCGCGTGCTGGCGCCAAGCGTGAGGACAGGCACGCGATTGAGTGCGGCCTGCAGCTCGGCCTTGGATCCTGGCAGCGGCAACATCACAGTCGAGCGTTGATTGTTGGTGTGGGCGCCAACAGATGGTCGCGGCATGGATGCAGCGCTTTGTATTATATAAAAGAGTCATACGATTAGAATGATGCAGCTTGTCATTTGTATACGTATAAAGTACTGTTTAAATGGATTTTAAAATGCTCGTTTGGAAAAAGGTGCTGACAGGCCACCGATTCGCGATCTTCTGCATCCGTCCACGGTCCACATAGAACATCAACATGTAGAGTGATGACCTATTGCTACGTTATACTACTCGATGTGTATGTGCGGACTACTGCACGGGCTGCGACGTGAGGCCGAGGCTGTAGCGGTACGCAACCGCATCGTGCGTCATCGAGGCGTCGAGGAGGTAGTCGTTGTTCGAGTCGGGGCTGAGCGCAACGGTCGAGGCTTGTGACACCAGCTTTGGCGAAGACGCGGTTGTCACCACGTTGCTCGGTGCGGCGTGATTGACAGTGTGGAGGTTGACACCGACGTTGAGGAGGTATCGGTAGCTGACGGCGTCGTGCGACACCGGCGCATCCAAGAGGAAGTCGGCGCTCTCAACGACCACCGTCGGCTTTGCGCCCGAAGCAACACTCTTGGGCTGCTTGGGGGACGTCGTCTTGGCGGCGGTGACCTTTTTCTTGGGGGTCTCTGCCTTGTGCGCAACCACTGGGGCCGCCTTGGATTCAACCTTCTTGAGCTTGGTGGATCCGACCTTCTTAGGGGCAAGTGCCGGCGCCTCGACCTTTGGTGTCGGTGCCGAGATGACCGGAGCTTCTTTCGGCTTGATGGCCTCCACATGTCCCGTTGCTGTCGGCTTGGTGGGTAAGGCGGTGGTCTTGGCCTTGGCGGCATCCGCCTTCGCCACCGGTTCCTTGGGCTTTACAGCTTCGACCTTGACCACCGGCGTTGCAGTGACAAGCTTGGCAGTATCGATCTTGGCGGGCTCCTGTGCCTTGGTAGCTTCGACTTTGGTGGCAGCTGTACCCTTGGGCTTGGCCGCTTCGACTGCCACTGGCTTGGGCTTAGCAGCGTCACAGTTTTCCGTATGGCGCTTCAACGACGCGTGCGTCTTGAACTTGCGGGTGCAGTGGCCGCACGCGAGCTTCTTCTTCTCCTTGGGCGCCTTGGGTTCTGCCATTGGTTCTTGTTGCTGGTGCGTCGCACTATGGTGCTCAAGGCCGACTTTGGTCGAGAAGGCGCGGCTGCACACTGCGCACTTGTGGTCGGCGGCTTTGGGTGGGACGCAGTGGTGGCGCACAAGGCTGGCTTCGCTCCGGAAGACATGCGTGCACTTGGCGCAGTGGAGCTCGACCTTGGGCTTGGGCACGCACGTCGTTGCGTGCTGGCTGAGCGCCATCGGGGACTTGAACTTGCGCTTGCAGAGCGCGCAGGCCACCTTGGTCTTGCCACTGACGTCGTACGTCGTGCTGAGCGACGCTAGCGTGCCGTCGAGGTGCGCGACCATCGCGTCGTGGAGCCAGAGCAGCGCAAGCGCGTCGAGCGCGGCCCGGGTGCGCTGCGGCACCGAGAGCGGTCGCAGGTGCCACTCGGCGTGGGGCGCTTTGGGAAGGCGTCGGCGCAAACACACCGTCACGAGCTTCTCGAGGCTCAAGAAGACCGCCGAGTGGGTCAGCCGCTGCAAAAGCGCGTTCACCTCAACGGCGTGGCTGAGCTGTTGGAAGCAGGCGGCGGACGGGTACGCCTCGTGAAGCGCCTATACACGTAGATCGTTAATCGGTTCACAGTCCAGAGCGCCAGTGCCCACCTGCAGTGTCGGAAGAATGCTATGGCCCAGCTTGACGACATTGTGCGATGCAAAGATCTCGGCGAGTGCGTCGTCGCAGTCCATCGGGTCGAGCGCGAGGAGATCCCAGAGAAACACCTCTTCGACGCCGCTCGCATCGCGCATCGCAAGCACGACAACCGACACGGGCTCCTCCGGTTTCCGCGTCGTCATGGCCGGCTCCTACTCACGTGCATGCGTCGGTTAGCGTCTGGCTTGGTTGATGCTTACGTACCGTATGGAGGCCAATCAACGTCGCGTCGCGCAGTCGCACTTGCGCTGCCTGCAGCAACGACGCCTGGTTGACCACGGTCACGGTCTTCTTGACGTCAATCGAGAGCGCCTCCATGGTCGTCAGCATCTTCTTGCGCTGGTTCTTGGCTGCTGTCGTCTGCAGCTGCATGGCGAGCGCTGCTGCGACGAGGCGCGCGCGCTCGTCCGGAACGGCAAGGATCGGTGCCATAGTGAGTGGGATGCAAAGGGAATTTCAAAATGAGACGCTGGCACATCGGCCACGACGCCTACGTCGTGCTCTTGGCGCCAAGATCGCCTTGAACGTGTCTTTGAGCACTGCGACACAAGTACCATTTGAGGTTAAACGCGTTTTATGGGTGAAAGTACGTGGCACGTTGGACGGACATGGGACAAACAAACAAACGCCCCACAGTAGTGCTTGGAGCTGGCGTGCATGCATATACCATGCTTGATGACTAAATCATGCGTGCGATGGGACCCGAGATGCGTCCAGACGGCCCTTTCTCTCGGAAGATTTTGTGTTGGAAATGCGTGTCTGATGCCCGAGGCAAAGCAGTGTTCAGCGGCTTGCATCGTCAATAGGTCTCGACGAGAGCCTGAGGTAGGTCGCCGAGCATCTAGGAATCTCAGGCATGTGCATCCGTCTTGTTGAAGCATGTGGTAGAGGTATCGTGATTCTTTGCACTCATTTTCCGACGGCAACGACAGCTTGTACCCCGTGGATACTACTCGCTCTTGACCCGATTGCGTATATTACCTGATCCGAAATGACAAATCTCAGGCGCTTGTGGTCGCGGGAGACGGTCGGCATGGTGTCGAACCCAGCAATACCCCAGCGTTGGACAATGGGCCAGTGTAAAACCTATTTCACTCATTCGACGTATTTGGCCGACGCCACGTCCTTTTACCCATCTCAGAGTGGGTCCACGGACGCCTTCTGGCGGCTCCGTGCTTGCCCATGAAGTGGTGCCCTTTCTTTTTGCCCCAACCCTTGTCTTTACCCCTCGCAGCCCTATGGCACCGTATTGAGCACGCATATACGAGTATAATTCCTCGAGTCATAAAGTCGGGTCGAGGCCGCCAAGGGTCGATTCGATCAGCATCATGTTCTTCATCATCCCGACGCAGCGCTCCTGTGGTTGCACGACTAGGAATTGGAAGCACCAAGTAGACGAAAAGATGTGGGAAACGCGTCGGCCGCACGTCACATTCACACCAGAATGTCTTTGCAAAATGCAGCACGAACGAGCAACAAAGGCGCATGTTGTATCCTATCACACCTAGCCCCGACTAATAGTAAGGCTATAGTAACGGTCCATCACGAACGAAGAACTGTCAAGTCACCTACAGGATCGTCCTATGCTGTGGGCAAATATCTTTATCTGAGCGTATCCGCATATGTCGGTGCATGAGGGCTCAATGCTTGCACTGAACGCTTCGGAGGTATTCTACGGGGCATGATCTGTCGCTTGCGTGATCGACCTACACGAGTTGATCCGGTCCATCTCTTCGCTAACGCCGCTCGTTTCTCTTGGCGGGCGCGTCAAACGCGCAGTTTTCACAATGGCGAGCTTGCTCAGGGGCAATGGGCGTAATGCCTTCATTACCGCCACGACCTCGGATGAGGTGAGGCGGGTTACTTTGTTAGGAGTTGAGATCTAGAATGCTAGCTCTGCGACGGCTCGCAAGCAACGCCCCTTCGTGAATAGGTCGTTTCGACTTCCTTCCACGCAAAACACCCAATCTCTGGTCATATTCGTGGCCAGGTCGAGGTTTGTGACTCCTGAGTGTGGACGTCTTGCTCACGGCACATACGTACCGACCAGCACAGCTTTTCGGGCGGCGCTTGTTCGGGCGTGCGACGTACGAGTTGGCTTTGTAGAGAATGACGACTTAGAGCATCTTGCATCACAGCCGTCGCATTCTGTTACGAGTGGAGCGTTGGATCGCGAAAAGATCGTTATGGCTCCGAATGTTACTCGACACGCCAAAACGCCATGTCCTGTTTCGTCCACAGAATACTCACTGGCTACTCTGATACTACTTCAAAGTGTACGCTTAGTCCTCTATTCCTTGTGAAGCCAATCGCAGTAACGTGTAAGCTATCCTTTGCCTATATCTCGGTACCTGAAGCATTTGAACAAGCTGTCCACGGAGCGTTTTCATACAGTAAATACCAGTTATCTAGTAAGCGGTTTCCTCGCGTCGCACGTTGCTGATGGCATGCCGTTTGCTGTCCACTGTCGTTGTGACGATGCTTCGTCAAGCTCAATCGCAGCCACGTTTCTGTCGACTCGGTCGTCGAAAGCTGACGCGCGTGGGTTATAGCGTCGTGCATCGCGTTGCGTGACAGAAGAAGATCCGCGCGTTGTTGCTACTCTAGGCATGCGGATCTCGAGGTGAAATTTGAGTCGTTGATTCACATGAAGGAGAACTCGATCTGTAAACAATATATGAAACCAACGTGGATAGCACTGGACACTGGACAAGAATAATGGTGACGAGTCGTGGCCGAGAGCAGCGAGCAATATCTCGTTGCAACAATACGCGATTGAGCAAGATCAACGGTGCGTCCACGCACATCGCACAAAGGGGCCGACGTCGCTTGCGTGATCAGACGACGCAGCTCTTTGTACAAGCACATCGCTCGTTGAGACCCTTCTACGCGCTAACTGTCCAATCGCGCGGAAAGGCACGGCAGCGAACGTCGGGGCTGCCACACAAGTGACGAATTGCCGTATTCAAGTACGGCAGTTACGAACAGGACATGCCAGCGTCGTGGCCACCCCATGTGAACTCGAATGCATGTTGATTGGGCGCCGTCCACACTAACCGATACGCCGCACTCGTAATGACAGAATGACAACCGACAATGTGTGGCATGTCTGCCGTGCCGACGCCGTATCACGACCATGTTACGAGCTGCGACGACAGGCATGTACTTATCCTAGGCAATTCCACTCGTGTCCCAGCCACAAGACATCCATCCAGCAACCGCCTTTTCCGACGGGGTCTCCGACGGGGCAGAATCCGACGGCGTCTACGAACCCTCGTCTGTGAAAGAAATGAATGGCCCGTCGCCTGTCGACGGAGCTCGCTCGTTCGGCCGATCGACTTGTGTACCCATCACTTTTCAACTTTTCACAAAACCACAATGAAGTTCCTCACGATTGCCGCTGCGTTCGCCGCCACTGCGCTCGCCCACGAAGGCCACGACCACAGCGACCACGTCGACTGCAGCACGGAGCAAGCCGCGACGATCAAGACCTTCTTGAGCACGCCGCCGCCGGCCGCGTGCACCAGCGTGTGGACGGCGCAGCCGACCCTCGACCAGCTTGCCACGTATTTTGCGAAAAACCCGGCGTCGGTCGCCAAGCTCTGCGCCAACGCCGGCTGCAAGACGTACTTTACCGGCATGGCCGCGCTCCCCGACTGCATGTACATGATCCCGAGCACCTCGATCGAAGCCAACTTTAAGGACGGCGCCAAGGATGCGCTCGAAGGCTGCGGCAGCTCCAACTCGACGGCCCCCACCAATGGCACGACGATCACGACGCCGGCGCCGACCGCGGCCAAGACCACGGCCCCGACTTCTGCCCCGACGGCCAAGCCGTCGTCGGCCAACGCGCTCGCCGCCTTCTCGCTCTCGGCGGCCGTCGCCACGGTGGCCGCGGCCCTCGCGTAATCCAATCGAACGTTTAGTCGATCGGTCCTACTACTGGGTGCTGACGACCCCGTTGATGTCTCGTCTCTATTCTCAATACAGTGCATTTTAACGTGTTTCATCCACTGTTTCTGGCACGAGGCAACCGGCATACTTTGGAGCGTATTGTTCGTCGCTACACGCCGCTGCACAGCTCACCGCCGCCTCGGTGAGCTATGGCGGTCTCGCGGCTCGTCGACGCACCGGCCGAGTCACGGACAAGCTTGGACCTCCTCCTGACATGGATTCAGGCACCCAATTGAGCGAGTATTGAGAAATGCAGCTCATTTGAGATATTTACGATACATTCCATGTCACGGCGTTCTTAACCGGATGCCATGTGCGTACTTAGCCGAGGCAGTAGCCGTGAAATGGTCAGTGGCAAGTTGCAACACGATGAGCGTGCACGAGATGGCTGCTGCGCTCGCCGTGGCCAGCGGCCGCCAGCTCAGCGACGCCAGCGCCGGCCCCGATCCGAAGGAGCCGATCGAGATGATCATGCTCTACACGGTCGCGCTCGCGCTCTCGTCCAGTATGTGCTTTGTCACGTGCCTCACGGTCTTCAAGTGGGCGTCGGTCCACGCCAACGCGTGCCATGGCACATTCTTCATGTTCTTTGTGAGCAAAGGCCTCTGGTTCTTCGTACGGCTCGTGTACACCTTTAGCATGTACCTCAACGGACGTGTGCCCAATTTGCGCGTCCCGACGATCCTCTTCTCGCGCGTCGTGTCCGACTCGTGCACGATCGCGGCCTGCTCGTGGTTCATTGCGTCCGTCTACGAGCTGCAGCGATGGGTCTTTCGCCCGCGCTCGGCCATTGAGAGCCGCCGCGCCATGCGGCGCTACAACCTCACCTGCTATGGCCTCGCGCTCCTCTACCTCTTGCCGGTCGGTACCGTTAGCTACGTCGAGCTCACCGAGCACGATGAGCCACAAGAAAACGACTTGACGACGACGCTGTACTACACGGCGATGGTCATCTTTGTCATCCGCATGGTCTCGATCGTGTATCCGATGGGCGTCGCGGTCGCCCTGCACCTGCGCGGCGACGACATCAAGGACAGCATCGGCGACGCGGTCCTCGACGGCCACTCGTTTCGCAACATTCGGCTTGTCGTGACCGTCTTTTGCGTCCTCAACATCCCGTTCTTGTTTGTCGACAGCCACCTCTTCTCGCTCGACACGATGAGTTCGTCGTCGGCCGTGATTCTGCGCGCGTGCTTTCGCATGCTGCCCTACTCGAGCGGTGCAGCGACCTCGTTTGTCATGGGGTATTATCTCACGGGCTTTGACGAATTTTACAAAGTCAAGCGCGAGCCGCCGACGGTGCGCGCCCACGACTCGGCGTCCGCGTCATTTGCGTCCTTCGAGTGCCACATGACGATCCGCAACCAGCACTCGTTCTTTGTCGTGTCCGATTGAGGACACATGTATAGACTTAGTAAGAAAATGAATCTACAATTTTTGATTAAGACATAGTGTCCACACTCTTGCACGGAAAGCACGTCGATCGCGAACACTCGAAACTATACGCTAGACGTCGTACTTGGCGAGCAACTTGGTGGCGTCACGCAGTGCCTTGAACTCGAGGTTGTTGCCGCTCGGGTCCTTGAGAAACATCTTCCACTGCTCGCCATGCGTGCCTTCGTAGCGCACGTGGGGCTTGATGTGGAAGGTCACTCGCTGGGTCGTGAGGTGCTTTGCGAGCCACTGGAACTCGGGGACACTCAAGCAGACGCCGAAATGCGGCATGGGAATCTCATCATGAGCTACACATCGACTTGTAGTCGGCGCCACCGCAAATACGAGTTCGTACCCACGGGCAAGTCGAGGCACCGGTACGTCGGGCCGGCATCGTGGATCACGAGCTGGTGTCCCCACATGTTATAAATCTATTCGCATTGGATCAGCGATCAGCCGAGATGTCGGAGGGAGCCTGGTACCTGGTACTGGGTCGTCCCGTGACCTTCCTGGAGCGCCAGGATCGTGCCGTAAAAGTGCTTGGCTAAACGACATATGCGTGGGTTGGAGGTTGAGCAAATGTGAGCTATTGTACCTTCTTTCATGCTGTGGACGGGCACAGCGAGATGGAACGGCGCCATTGGTGCCGCCTGCTTCTCATCGACAGTCTCGGGTTTCGACATGGTCACTTGGCCACTGGCCAAGGACACCAACGCGCCGTTGGCCTAAAAATATACGCGGATGATGGCGCCTTGCCAACGCTCGATGCTAAACTCGTCCTGCTGCGTATGCTTGCTCCTTAGAAAATGACCGTCCCGGCGTTTCCCGAGCGACATACCCAGCTTGGACTGTATCAATCTATCGAGCTGAATCGACACAAATCAAAAGAATATATAAAATTCAGATGGATTTACGTCTCGCTGTAAGCGGTAAACATCGCTTCGGGGTGGACGTACGCCTTGAACTCGAGGTTGTTGCCACTCGGATCGCGAAAAAAGATCTTCCACTGCTCCCCGGGACGACCAGCGTACCGCACGTGGGGCTTGTGTACGATCTGGACGCCCTTGTGTGACGCGACCCGGGCACAGAGCGCGTGGAACACGGGCACGGTCAAGCACAAGCCAAAGTGGGGCATGGGCACGTCGTCGTGCTCTATTTGAGAGGACTTTGTACAGGCATGTTGGCGGGCGAAATTGCAGTACCATTGACGATCTCTAGCGCCCGGTAGGTAGGGCCCGCATCGTGGAGCACCAGTTGGTGGCCGTACATGTTGAGCATCTGCAGAGACCATTTGCTTGTGTGTCGTAAGACATAGTGTACGAGGTCATACCTGCCAGTACTTGGACGACGCGCCGTCCGTGCAGCCGAGCGCATCTTTGTAAAATGCTGTGGCTACAAAAGATGTCAAAGCGGGAGGTCGGCAGGGTGATTGTACCGAGCGGGAGATCGTGGACGGCGATCGCGAGGTGGAACGGGGGCATGTACGCGCTGGACGATGGCAACGCAGGGCTCATGGCGCGAGGTGGTAACTTCAAGAGTGCGCTGGTTCAACAGCAATCCAGCTGCCACGTTTTTAGACGCGGAAAGTTGAAGTGCGCATTGCGGAAAGGCTATGGACGCGTGCACGTGCACTTCAAGTGCTCGCACTTGAAAATGCTATCACGCGATTCGACAAGCAAAGAACGCAATTCTCCAATTTTCCGCGCGCTGATTTGCTGGTCGAGTAGCGAGAAGCAACCTGGTTCTTACGGTACACCCCGCGTTGTCCTCCGATCAGGTTGATCGACCAGTCTTGCGAAATGATAATATAATTTTGTGAAATGATCGCTCGGCCAGGAAAAATGTACTGTGGTCGCACGACAACGTCACTGTGCAATGATCAATATACGCACTTCTTACGGGCTGGACTACGACGCACATGCATCACTGTGGACCATCTATCATTCCTGAATGATTGGAGTGATAGGAGACAGCCGCGGAAGCTTTTACCAGCAATAAATCACCAGGTCGACGCTGAAATTTCCTCCTCGTTGCTGGCTTTGAACAAGCAACGTGGAGGAATTGGACTGACGAGCCAGGGGCTCGAGACGCTACAGTGGAGTTGGTTGTTCAACCACGGTATTCTACCAATACGAGCAGCCGCAATACCCGAGCTCGTTCGTGTCTGGTCATGCTATCGTAGACCGCACACTCGATACATAGATAGCTTCTCTCGCCCGTCAACGCGTTCCTAGCTATGCCACTTGGACTCGATCTTGACCTCAGCTTTCTGGAGTAAGCAGTGGTTGGCGGCTCGTGAGGCGGGTCCAAGCCATTCCGATGCAAATGGGAATGCTGGTCGCTACCGCTGTATCCCATGCTGGCGCCGGACCCTGTCGCTCACAGATAGGAGTTCGAACACGGTGGTCAACCTCCTAGACACGACGTCACATGCAATCTATACGCAAAATAGAAAAAGCCCGGCAAATCGAGTGAGCCCATGTGCTGGCTTCCCTACGACACACGCGCGAAGATTCCTTTTTGATTCACCCACACTTGACTTGGAGGAGGCGACGCACGAGCTGCAAGGAGCTGCTGTGGCGCTCACGCGTTGCGACCTCTGAACCCACGACACCATCTGCTCGTTCACAACCAGCGGCAACCGCACGTGTCCAGCCGAATCTGGGATGGAGCTCGGCCGTTCTCATATCGTTTTGTGCTATATGAGGCGTCCCTGTCGTTGCGAGACAGGCTTCTTGCCGCTCGAAAGTGTCGGTTGTTCCAGCGTCCGTTGCGATACTCGAAGGAACTACCTTTGGCGACCCAGTTTGCACCATAGTTGTCCATTGAATCTGATGCAGATTCGAATCCGGGGGCCAACGAATCTTGAATGGACCTGTAATGGATGTCGATGGTGGCAACGTCAAGTCGCTGCATGAACCTGCGCTCCATGTCATTTTCAAATTAGCGACCAACACGTCTCATCATGAAGTTCGCCGCGTGTCTTGTTGCGCTGGCGACCGCCGTCGCATCGGACGAAAGCCCGTCGTGGGTCGGCGGCCTCGGCACGATTCACTCGGTCGCCGATAGTTGCATTGAAAACGACGTGCATGTGTGTGCGTACCACGCCCGGAGCCGGCAGCTCGGCGCCAGCGCGGCCGCGTCGATCACTCTCTCGTCGACGTCGATCCCGCACCTCTCGACCCTCAACGTCACCTTCCAAGTCGAGTCGCCGACGCCGAACGACCGCATCACCGCCTACTGCGCGTCCAGCGTCAACAGCACCGTCGACAGCGACTACATGGACTTTCAGCCGACCAAGGGGGTCGCCAGCGCCACGCTCACCTTTGGGCCGCTCGTCAATATGCGGTGCGACTACCAGTTTCGGTACCAAAAAGAAACCAGCCCCAAGACGTTCGTGACGGTCGCGACCAGCCCCGTCGTGACCATGACGGCCGGCGTCACCGAGCCGCTCCAAGTGCACATTGCACTGACGGGCAAGGCCGACGAGATGCGCATCATGTGGACGTCCGGGTCCGTCGCCGCACCGCGCGTGCGCTACGGCATTGCGCGCGACAACTGCGGCGGTGGCGACCTCGACAAGTCAGCGATTGCCTCGAGCAGCTCGTATGCCGCGTCCGACATGTGCGGGGCACCGGCGTCGACGGTGTCCGCGCAGCGCTTCATTCCAGTCGGTACGCTCTACGACGCCGTTCTCACTGGCCTCGCACCCAACGCCAAGGTGGCGTACCAAGTGGGCAGCGACGTCGGCGGGTGGAGCGACGTCTTTACGTTTACCATGCCCGATATTGCGTCGCCCAAACCGTCGAGCTTCTTTGTGTTTGGCGACATGGGCACGTGGACCACCGCGACGGGCGGCCTCGGCCTCGACGGGCGGTCGCTCTCGACGGCCAAGCGGGTTGCCGACGACATGGTCAACGGACAGTACGTTGCCGCCTTGCACATTGGCGACCTCTCGTACGCCGACAGCGTCGGGTACATCTGGGAGCAGTTCATGGCACTCGTGCAGCCCATTGCCGCCAAGTTGCCGTATATGGTGAGCGTCGGCAACCACGAGTACGCGTACACGTCGTCGGTGCAAGCGGTCGATGTGTCCGGCGAGACCAAGTGCTTCTTTGCGTCGCCCGACATGGCGAAAGCGAGCTCCGGCGGCGAGTGCGGCGTGCCGACCGCGCGCCGGTACCACATGCCCAGCAACGGCAACGGCGTGTTTTGGTACAGCTTTGACCTCGGGTTGGCCCACCACGTGGTCGTGAGCAGCGAGCACGATTTCAACGCGGGCAGCCGCATGCGCAAGTGGCTGGAAGCCGACTTGGCTGCGGTGAACCGGGCCGCGACGCCGTGGGTCTTCCTCCATGTCCACCGCCCGATGTACGTGTCGATCGACACCAAGAACGACCAGGCGTACAACAAGCTGTCGCAGGCCGCGTACGAACCGGTGCTCGCCAAGTTTGGCGTCGACGCCGTCTTTACGGGCCACGTGCACAACTACGAACGGACGTGCCCGGTCCTCGGCGGCGTCTGCAAAGTCGCTGGCGACGGCAAGGCATTGGCGCCAACCCACATTATGATTGGCACGGCCGGCAAGCTCTTGGACGAAGGCGCGAATGTGCCGTCGGCGTGGAGCGTCGCCAAGAAGCACGAGTACGGCTACGGCCGCATGCACCTGCTCAACGCGTCGCACGCGCACTTTGAGTTTGTGCGCGACGTTGACGGTGTCGTCTCGGACGACGTCTGGCTCGTCTCGGACCATGCATGGGCAGCGTAATCTCTTACGACAAGAGAGAT